ATATCTCCATCCCCTGGTTTCTGGCTCTAGTAATTGGTAGAAACCAATCATATGGTCAAAGAGATCCTGTTCATTCCTCTAAGTAGACAGAACCTTTCACCTTCACTTGTTGTTGTAGGGGGCTGAGATACATACAGAAGGATTGTAATGGACTTCCCATTCTTAAATTATGTATCTTGATTCAGTTTTCTGAGCAGGTATAATATCAATCATTTTCTCAAAGTGTACAGGGATGTTAAAAATTCCAAGCCTTTGTAAAACTGAGATTATCTATGAGATTGTATTATTATAAGACATAATCAATCTATTCTCAGTATAAAAGTTTTGCATAGTCAGAACTTTGCCCTCAATCAGGGAAGAAGTTGACTGTGTGATAGAAACAGAGTGTGAATTAAACAATCTGACAACAGAATCGAGAGTTTTCTCCCTCTTTGTCTCTCACAGAAGAATTTTTAAAACATTTACTTTTTAGTTTTAGCTGGACACAATATCTTTATTTTATATTTATGTGGTACTGAGGATCGAACCCAGTGCCTCATGCATGCTAGGCGAGTGCTCTACCACTGAGCCACAACCCCAGAATTTTTTTTCCCCACAGTGTAGGGAATTTCAAAAAATTCCAGATGTATTGAATACTATCATATAAATTCACAGTAATACTATTCTAAGACAAATTAGAGAAATTACAAATTAGAAATATCAAATTAGAGAAATATAACAGGAGTCCTTATGTTTCCTTTACCTCATCAAAATGAAGTGTCCCACTTAAAGGACTGAGATTATCCTTAGCCTTCTCGTCTACAGTCCACCGAAGTCGGACGGAGCCCTTTCCCCCTTGGGACCGGACAACTGTCAATGTCACATATGAATTGTCATCAGATAACAGGGAATCATTGACCATTATCTGAAAGGAAGAAAATCCAGTAACACAAAAAGAATAACAACAGAAGAAACAAACAGAATCTTCTTTTCACGATGACTGCAGTTTTCAAATTTAGAATTCTATTCATGAAATGTTACAATCATGGCAGAGAAAAATATTTCACCCCACTTCCTTTCCTTCTTAGACACTCAATAACATGGCATTTCCCATCTTCTCTTGCAATTAGATGGAGCTACGGAATTCTTGTGAATAGATTATATCCAGGAGCAACATATGCTGCTGACACTCTGGCCATAAACTTCCACACAATCCTCCATATTCTCTCGTTTCCCATGTGTCAGGTGAATAGAGAGGATGCCTAGGACTTAGATGAAAGATAGAAGGAGTCTGATACCTGAGTTATCAGTTAAAGACAAGGTATCCATAACAATTAGCCAGCTAGGAATATTGGCATAGGACTCTTGTATAAAGAATAACATTATGGGAAGGAACTGAGATTTAGGGGTTCTTTGTAAAGGTGTTCAGGCTCCCCACATAATATAGACCTCAATCTGTCCTCTCAATTATCTGCAGTTTACCCACTTAGTAAAAAGAGATTTTTAGCTAAAAGAGGTTTAACTTGATTTAAAGAGAGGAGATTTGATACATTAATTTGCCAGTATTTTTTTTACACAAGTCCTTATTAAGATAAGTAATTCAAATGAATTACACATGTTAACTCAGTGAAGTAAAGTCTGAATCGAACCTATAATATCCACCTGTGGTGCAAATGCAAAATAACACAGTGCTTCGATTTTTAAGGCAGATACAAACTTAACAAACATAAAATCTAGGTTGATTGGTTGGTTTTCCATGAGATTTTGCATTCAAACCAAGAATAGAGATTTGGAGCTAACTGATATATGTTGAATTTCTATTGTTTGTCAGTTCTTCATACACTTTGCCTTTTTTAAGATCCACAGAAACTCAGAAATCAGATGTGTATGCATATTTGGCAAAAAGGGTGCCTGGAAAGTAGTTTGATATTTGGACTGATATTTACTAAGAAAGAAAAAAGAAAGGAATCCATTATAAATCAATTGTATACCTGTGTTGGTTTTGATTCCACAGATATAGCATTAGTTTGGGTTTCATATGTAGATTTCTATAGATCTCTGATATTCCTAGTGTGTTGGCATATATACTGCATTATTCTATGAACAGCTTATTAACTTTGATACATTAATACTAATCTTTCCTCAATATTCTTCAGTTCTCAGTCTAATCTGTGGCACAATTAATGCTAACAGAATGTTTACTGTGTGTGCAATATTGTATGTTTATATACATGTTAAAAGATAAACTCCATGTTATTGGGGACTTTCGCAATAAAAAAGATGGGATATAAGGAAAGCAGCTGGAAAGAGCTGCCAAGAAGCTATTCATTCTACACAATAAAAATAGCAACTGACACTTAGTGTAAAGAAAGCCCAGGTACATCAACTCATTTACTCCACATAACAGTTATGGGGAATTATACACTGCGGACTGAATAACCTAAATCTCACTTGTGAATCTCAAGACAAATTGGAAATTTAAGGCTATTTCGATAAGATATTATTTCCAGGCATGATTCAATTAGGTTTAGAGCACTAAAGTTTATGTTAGCAGTTAAGATAAAATGAATAAGCAAAAATTACTTATGAATAGTAGCATAACTTTATTTTCCATATCAGGAAGAGAAACTTAAAAACTCAATATCCAACATCCAACTCCAAAAGTGTGATGAACTCCAAAGCAAAAAAATTAAGGTTTTACCACCTGAAGATTTCAACACTAAACCTGAAATTTTAAACCTAAGCTCATAAGCTAATAGAGACATTTTATAAAAAATTAAGTTATTTATTCATACATATTAAAATATGCAAAGAACACCCCGTGGTTGAAAATACACAAAATATTAATGCTGTCTCTCTTAGAATACTAATATTATGGAAAATTTTACTCTCCTCTTTAAATTTGTTTTATTTTTTCAGACTTTTAATGCTGTCTGAGAGATAATCACAGCTATTCTTTTGCCAATCCATCACTTCTTGGAAACACTTGTGCTGTTTTTTGCCAAGGAAGAAAGAGAGTTTCATGGGGCCACAGCAAAATTGTGCTGTGTTCCTTTTATAGTTCCTATTTCCTAATGAAATTGAAATTTCATTGACCAAATTATTAGGTAATTGTTAAGCTCTATTTTAATTCTGGAGTGTATGAAAAGCCCATCTCTGAGAGGTAAGCTGTAGGTCTAGCCTTTCATGCACAGGACAGTAAAGACAAGGGGCAGTCAAGCAGTTTATCACTGAAAATTACCACAATGATCAAATATAAATGATTAAATAAAGGGAGTGATGACATATGTAATCAGAAAAGTTGCTAAGTATGTGGGGACTATTTAAGGATCTTTATGAATATTTCATCTGGTAATTTCCTTTAAAAGATAAAATCATAATAATTATGGCCCAGAGATCATGTAATAATAATTATTATAGAGTTATAGTACTTTCAGATGTGGTGACACTTTAATATTAGTTGCCAAGTCATGCCACACAAATATTTAATTCTTATGATTAACCAATCATAATAAGCCTTTTCCCCTCCCTCAGCAGATGAACCAATAATAAGTGAACTCTCTCTTTCAGGTCTTGGAAGAAAACAGCCAAGTGAGAAGTGAGAAATGAGGGGGAAGAAACATGACAGCGTACCAGAACTGAGGGAAATTTCCCTCACCAACTAAACCCATCCTGGGATGCCACATTCAGGCCATGATAGTCCTGTTATGTGGCCAGGATGGTGATCTGTAGAATAGACAGAAAATAAAAGATATGGACAAAAAGTACTTCTTGGTCTAGTATACCCAATAAATAGGAAATCGCATTCCCTCTGTAACTGTCTGGTGTTAGGAGCTCACATTATATCAAGCTGTATGTATATGTTGGAGGATTGGCCCCTAAATTAACAGCAAACTCAAAAGATAATTGAAGAGAGATTTGTAAAGGAAGAGTAATGAAGAATTTCAAAACAAAAGTAACAGACACTTTTCTACTTAAAACTATATGAGAATTTCACACTCCCCTGATATATTTAACTTACAGTCTGTTTTTCAAATCCAAATACTCCAAGTGGAGAATCATTCTGTGGAATAACCACAGTTACCACAACATCATCCCCCAGTCTGCCACCTCCAGCCACATGGATTAAGGAAATATTGAACATCTCCATGAGTTCAACCTCAGCATCATCAATTATGGTGATTTCTATCATTGCAGTAACCTACAAAAGAAAGGAAGAAAAGGAGAGAGGAAGAGAAAAATAGAGATAGGAAGGGACAGAGGGAGAGGAGGGGAAGGAAATATTGCAATAATTTTTCCTTATATATATTTCAATAGAAACTTAGAAACATGACACAAAAGAAAAAAGCAATAATTTTGCCTGTTAGATTTGTAATACTTTTAAAATCATGATATTTATAGTAGTTGAAAGTCAGAAATTTACAAAGTCTGCTATTTTTAAGATAAAACATTGTAAATGTAATAAAATATAGTATATTTACAGATAGAAAAAACAAGAACTTCTTAATCTTGAAAAAATATTATAAGTGCTATGAATGCTCTAACAACTATTGTACAAACATAAAACCTAGTGTGTTTTGTTTTATTATATGAAAGCAAATGAAACAATAAAAATTATCATTGACTTCTGCAATTCATATAAATTCCATTGATTTCAAATATATATATATATATATATATATATTTTAATGTAGGGGAAAAGAAAAGCAGGAAGAAAGGCCAAATTTGTTTTGGGGGTTTTTTAAAAAGATTTTTTTAAAAATCAGTATTTAATTCATTTCTCTGAGTTTATGTTAAAAGTTTTATAAACTTATAAATAAACTTGGTTCACCTTGTGATTTCCCTAGTGTCATAAACCTATACTAGGTATATATTCAATATTTAAAGTCTCTTTTTGTATACCACAGGTAAATTCCAATACTTTGACATAGATCTTTACCAGAAAATGAAGTTTTCTACCTAAAACCTTTAATTTAACAACAAGGAGAACCAAGAAATCTGGATGTCACAGTCAGATAAACGAAAGCTTGAACAAAGTCAAATGCTAAAATGGAAGCATATTAAAATGTGTGCATCTCAAGTCGGAACTGCAGGATACAGACTGTCTTCCATATGGATGTGGACTTAAAGGACCAGGATGATACTAAGGATGTTGGAAAATGATGAGACTTCAACTATGTGCTCAGAATTACTACTGATGACGTAACTAAAGTTGGAAGGTTGCTTTGGTGAAAAATCAATTTTTAGTTTCTGCTTTTAATGTAAAAATCTCATGTACTTAACATTTCCTCCTCCATGTTAATAGGAAATGATGCAAAGTTCTAAATCTGATAATAGAAAACAAAAACTCACGATTTCAAAAACATTAACTATAATAGGTCTCTATGTGTAGAAAAATGTAGATTTGCATGCTTATCTTTTAACAGAATTTCTTGAGCCCCTAGGGGCAACCAATAAGTTTATGAATACTATGCAGATTTGTCAAGGCAAGAATAAAGCTACCTATAGATTCTGCTATATGAAGTTACTAATATTTTCATGGTTGTGTATATGCCTTTTCCACTTTTTCATGGAAAATATTATAAAGATATCTCATTCTTATATATTACAAAACACCCAATTTAGAAAATTTACAATACATCAGGAATATTTTGTAATTTTTAAGCTTGGTAGACCTAAATCTAGAATGTCATTCACTTTTTCAGGTTTTAATAAAATAAAGGGAGTTTGGGACATTAATTTAACATTTAAAATTTTTATTGGAAATTCTAAATTAAAATATGCATTTATAAACAATAAGAAATAAATAGAGGGGGTAGGATTGTGGCTCAGTGTTACAGTGCTTGCCTAGCATGCATGAGACATGGATTCAATCCTCAGCACCACATAAAAATAAAATAAAGATATTATGAAAAAATTGTCCTTAACCTTTATTAAAAATAAGAAATAGAATAAAAGCATTTGTGATCATAAATACAGTCAAGTTCATCACATAGATTTTTATATACTGCAGGCACCTCTAAGTCAATCATTATCCTGTTTTAGAATTTTTGGTTTTTAATGGAATCAGGTGGGGAAGTTAAAAAAAGGGTGAGCTAGGCACAGTGCCTATAATCCCAGTGGTTCAGGAGGCTGATACAGGAGGATCATGAGGTCAAAGCCAGCCTCAGCAAGGGAGGCGCTAAGCAAGTCAGTGAGACCCTGTCTCTAAAAAAAATACAAAATAGAGCTGGAGGTATGGCTCAATGGCCCAGTGCCCCTGAGTTCAATCCCCAGTATTTAAAAAAAAAAAAAAAGGGGGGTGTAATTCTTGCTTCTTAAATTTCTCTTCCTAGGCCCACATTTATTAATAATATCTGTGTTTGACTTGACACAGAAACATTCAGAGTTATAATACAACTGGCAATCATTAATGCATGCTCATTTGGTAGATACCTATAAAATTCTTGAAGAAGAATCAAAAAATACTAACACGTTCATGACAAACTTACTTGCCCATCTGCAAATTCAAGAATCCCTTGAGATGGATTAAAGTCTTCCAGGCCAGCAGTGCCTGGTATTGCTTTCCAATAAACATTTACTGTCTCGAAGCTTCCAGCCAGCCGGACTACAGGAACCTGAAGAACGTTCAAGGGTGGAGGCACCTCATGAGCAGTAATAACTCCACCAACATCCTTGAATAAAGAACACAAGTTGAAAAGTAAGACAAAAGGGGCAACTATCCTAAGTCATCATATTGTAAATTTTGCTTCCACTTATATCTCATACTTCACTCTTCAAATTATAAGTTAATAGAACGGAAGTAGGCATGATAGGTCTTTAGAACTTTTACTCTGAAATTTCACAAAAAAAATAAACTTGATGAATCCTTTGAGCTAGTCAAAGAGAACTAAGAATTAATTTGAAAGACAAATTTGGCTGTTCATCTATTTTAAAATACCTACAAGCAAAGCCAATTGTTTTGCAGAAAACACAAAAACACTGAACAAATCATCAGGGATGAGCTTCTACATTACTAAAAATATATGAAATTCAACTCACCCTAGTAACATGAAATATAAAAATTCCTCTGGGATCATCATTTTCCTCAATCATTATCTCAGCTATTTCCATTCCTGGTCTCTGTACACTTGGCTGCTCTGCAGAGAAGTCAGAGTTCACCAGGTTTACCTCAGTAATGATGATGATAAATCCTTCTTCCAACTCAGGAGCATCATCCTGGGAGGTGGGGTAAAAGAAATAGCGCTTTTCTGGTTTTGGTTGTGTTTGTGAGGTGTAGAGCATACTAGTCTTGAGCCCCTGGGCCCAAGAAATTTTCCTGCCTCAATCTCCCTTGTAGCTGGGACTACAAGAATTAGCAAGGATGGTAGATTATGATAGACATCATCACCCAAAGTACACGAATTGGTGTCAACATACTTTATATACAATCAGAGATATGAAAAATTATGCTGTATATATGTAATAAGAATTGTAATGCATTCTGCTGTCATTTATTTAAAAAAACAATTACAAAAAGAATAAACCATCACTCCCAGCTAATTTTGAAAGAAAAATATTTAATTTGCATTGGAAACTTGATATTTTTCAGTAGGGAACAAATGAGTTCATCTACATGAATGGGCAGCTCTATCACACACAAAAAGATTCATATTCAACTGTATACATTCTCACTGACAACTTCAGGATCCATGGGATGTTCAAGATTAAAGGCAATGTTTCTAAGGAATGCTCATTCTCATTAGCAAATAAAATAAGTTTTCAAAACCTATCCCACAAATTTTATTGTTGAGGTACCAGGGATTGAATCCAGGGACACTTAACCATTGAGTCACGTCCCCAGCCCTTTTTAAAAAATTTTTAATTTTGAGACAGGGTCTCGCTAAGTTGCCAGGGGCCTCACTAAATTGCTGAGGCTGGCTTTGAATTTGCAATCTTCCTGCCTCGGCCTTCCAAGCTACTAAGATTACTGGTGTGCACCACCATGCCTGACCTATCCCTCAATTTTTACATGTATTGAATATGCCTTTTATATATAATATTCCAAGAGAAGTTTAGTAAATTTTACTTTTCCTTTAAAAATGAAAGTTCTAGACCTGTAAATCTAGATATAATACTATATTTAATTCATTCTTAAAGGTTTTTATTTTATTTTTGAACATGGAATAAAATTTCAAAACATAAAAAGAAAACATGTAGAAAGGGAAAGGAAACCACCTTCCTACACTATTCCTGTATCTTTCCCAGACAGTCCTCTTCAGAAGTCACCACTAGCAGGAAAACTAATATTATGACATTTACTAATAATATAGACATTTATAATAATCAACATATAGTGCTATTAATATTACAATGTACTATTTATTAATACCTTAGTTGATTTAAGTGCATAGTGTTGGGAATCAAACCTGCCACATGTTAGGCAAGTGTCCTGCCACTGAGCTATATTTCCATCCCCAATAATTATAACATTAATACAACTATTGCCACTTTCAGTTTTTTTGTGTGCATCACTATAGATTTTTCCACATATTCTCTCTCTCTCTCTCTCTCTCTCTCTCTCTCTCTCTCTTTCAATATGTAAATATAGATATACAGAGCAAACACTATACCTAAGCCATCTGAATACTAATCTGGATTCAAGTAATTGTATCCCAAAATGAAATTATTCCCCTATCAAACCAACAATAAAAATAACTAAATTGTTTCATTTTTTCAGATATTAGTTTAAAGCAACTAAACAATCAACATAATAGTACAGACAATCAGGCAAATAATTAATCCAAATACAATGATTCAAAGTTCATTCAAATTTGTCATTTTTGTAAGCTAGTTATAAAATATTTATTTATTCGTATTAAATATTTATTTAGGTGGAAAAATTACTCACATTTTCTTTATTAAAAGGATCATTAAAATGATTTTTACCTGTAAGAACATCACAATTTTACATTGAGAAGCATTTTCTTTTCTTTTCTATCATATTTATTGCCATCCATACTTACTGGCAAAATGGCAACATTCACATGAGTTTCTTTTATGTTTTCTTTCATTATTATTGTTGTTTCTTGCAGTACATAATCTTCATTTTCAATAGCTTGATTATTTGTGTGTAGCGAGAAACTGGGTTTCGCCTTCAAGTGAATGGCAATGTCCCCAAAGAACCCTTTATCTCGAACAACGTACAACTGCAGATTGGTGATGTTCTCTATGAGACAAACATGCCTCTAGTCAGTATGCTTTTCTGTTTGCTGTCAGTGTTGTTTCGAGTACTCACAGTGGAATGTTCTGCACTATCCTTTTAAACAGGTAAGCAAACAAGTAAAACAAATACAGTACATACTCCCAAGGAGTATTCTGTGCTTTGTCTCCATTGTCCCCAAAGTTGTGCTGAAAATCACCATCCATTCCTAGCATTCTGTCTAATCCCTCAGCTCTGATTCCACATGTAGCTTCCTGTGTTGTACATGTCATACTGAAATTGCTGAAAATCTTAGGGAAGTGCATATGTAAAGTTGAACAGAGGTTATATGTTTAAAAGATTCTTGAAAATAAATAGTGAGATACATGAAGACATCATTTAATGACTAATCATTAGAATAAGAGTGATCCATGGGATGTTCAAGATTAAAGGCAATGTTTCTATGGAATGCTCATTCTGAGCATATACTGAAGTTCATATACTGAGGTGTCTCTCTCAAGATTCAAAGTATTTCACAACACCTACACTTTATTTCATTTCTTAGATTTTTAAGAAATTAATTTGTCATATAAAATGCAGTAAAAATGCCTGTCAATATTCACCTGCAGGTCTATGAATTTCTAATGACCAATGCTATGTCTTTCTTTCCAAATTCCACAGTGAAATTCCTGGCAATTGCTAGGTATTTCAAAAATGTGTGTTAAATAAAAAAATAAATGGCTTATTTTATCATAAGTCTATTGTTTCAGTTCTGAAGGCATGGAAATATAAAGACCCAGGAAATACTCCATGTCATTTTTTTCCCATCAACTCTTCCAATGAAAGATATTTGAAAGTTGGATATCCACACTGTTATCTGAAAATGTTAGAATCATCTCACAGTGTATTCTAAATACATATTATGTTTAACCCTTTTTTAAAATACATCAAATGACCTTCATCCATAAAATTATATTTATCCAACAATACAAATATTTATTTAGGTGAAGATTTCAGCACTTAAAAGAAAAATAACAGGGAATGACCAAAGTACACTTCACAGGATAAAATTTTTTCTCACTAATCTTTTGGGTTAAGCAATTTATACATTGATACCATGTGCTTCTCACTATGTTGTCAGTGCACCATACAACTACTAAAAATGTAGAGAGAAAATATGAGTGAGGAAAACAAACAATGAAGAGAAATAAAAACCATTTACCTCTATTGCAATGACTTCACTAAACTGTTAACATTTTTACCATGATAGTATATCTTTAAAAATTGAAAGTATTTTTAAAAACCTTATTGCTAAGTAGTCACATGATCATAAAATTTGAAGAACAAAAATGGCTATGACTTGTCAAATTGGAAAAGTCATATAAAAATAGAAATTTGCATTTTTTGTAAGCATCAAAACTAAATTCACTTTTTACTAAAGCCTGAAAAATATGTAACTGAATTTACCTGTAGGCTCTGCTACTGTAGTGAAGAGAGACTTGGCATGCCAGCCCACCAAGCCATAGGGAGAGTCACTGGGCAGAGTAGTTATCACGGACTTGTTTCTTTTCTGATCAATAGTAGCACCTTTTGATGGGTCCTCAACCCCTTCTGTGGCAATTCGGGTTAGTGTTATGATCACAACTTCTGATAACTCTGGTATATCATCAGCAAGAAGAGTTAGAGTAATTGTAGACAGTGCCTGGCCTTCAGTAAATGAAATCTAAAATTTTAGAGAAATATTTTATTGATCCTGTCATTATCACTCTGCAGTAAGGATATTAAAAAGTTTGATTTTCTTTCAATTAGGATACAATTTAACAAAGAGTTTAGCAACAATATGTGATTATACAAATAAATAGCTTTTACATTAAAAATAAGAATGGTAGGAAAAAGAAAAAGTAAACCATTTCTAAATCTAAGCTAATAAATCATATAGTCAAGTTGTCATATCCTGGAGCCTATATTTCTTTCTAATTTAGTGTATAAAGTCTTTCTGAAAATCTGTTAGATAACACATGTAAAGTTCTATAAAAATAAAAGAAGGCGGCATGCCAGCTTAAACATTTTTCTCTATAGAATTTTTGTCAGGATTGCTACTCCAGATAGAAGCAACACTTAACAATGAATCAACCAAAGGAAAGAGAGAGAGAGAAAGGGAGGGAGGGAGAGGGAGAGAGGAAGAGAGGGAGAGAGGGAGAGAGGGAGAGAGAGAGAGAGAGAGAGAGAGAAAGAAAGAGAGAAACACAAATCATAGCACCTCTCTCCTTCTCTGTCTCCATTGTCTAAGGAGACAGATCCTAATTTGCTAAAAGGCATCTGAAGTCCCTGTTGACCAGAATTCTGTCAGCTTCTTGAATGCTATTTCCCATTATGCCCACCTCATACCCACTCTCCAACAATATGGCTACAAACCACAATTATTCAAATTGGTATTACAGGCCTATGCATCTACCCCTGTTGACGTACACCTTGCCACTCAGGGAAGGCACTGGAAGATATAAACCCAAGAGCTTTATTAATAAAATCAGGAGTGAGAAAATTACTGCCCACTGGCCAAATCCATTTTTCATAAATGAAGTTTTATTGGAACACAGCCAAGCTTATTCAATTGCATGTTGTCTATGACTGCCTACATTGTCTACTTTATATCATCTAGCACAACTGTGCAACAAAGGCAAACTAGTTGTGAACGAGAACAGATGGCTAAGAAAGCCTAAAATATTTACTATCTACCCTTTACAGAAGAAAGTTCTTATTCCTGAGTAAAATAATTAATTCTTTCAATAATATAGCATACATTTTGGGTAATACTATGCACTAAATTACAAATAATTTTTATCATGCTTTTATATGAAATCTTAATTGGAGATATGTAATTCAGAAATACGACTTAGAGTCTTGGTAGCTTGCATAAAGTAAATATGAAATTCAATGGAATTTGCTGTAACATTCCTTTTTTAAAGTTTTTTTATAATATTTTCTAATTGTAGATGGACACAGTATCTTTATTTTATTTATTTTTATGTGGTGCTGAGGATTGAACCCAGTGCCTCACACTTGCTAGGTAAGTGCTCTACCACTGAGCCACAACCCTAGCCCTGCTATAACATTATTAATACACTGAAATTCCACTCACCTTTCAAAATAAATGAAACTAGAAATGTGGACTATAATAATCAATTTTCGTTTTGGGGGATATTGCCATAAAAGTTTTTTTTAAAAATAATTCTTCAGAGAAGCATTTGGGCAAAACAAAACAAAAAACTTGACTAATCTATAAAACCCAAGGCAAGCCAAGGAGACAACCCATCTTGCACATCAGACAAGAGGCTTCCTGAAACCTCTTTTTGTGAGTCATCTACTTCTGTGGCCATCCTGATTCCACTCTTGCACCTGAGCTCCAAATTTATACTGTCCTCCAGTTAATGCTAATGCGATCCTCTACCCAGATCTCTTCTTGGGACATGCCACCCCACAGCTGCTGGAAACAACAGCTTCTGTGTTCCTCATTGGGAATGGTCCTTACATGCAGCAAATGTCTCACCCAAGATTGTGCCCCACTAGAAGGTGGCATGAAGTAAAGAACTACAAAAATGGGGAAGCCAATGATTCAGCCCTAAAATTGGAATGACTCCAAAGGATCAGCTTGACTGCAGAACTCTCCCACAGGATCAACTTCAATTATAACTGCCCATAGATCAACCTCTCCCCCTCCACTTTCTTTTCTTCCTCTTTTTCTTATGAATGCAACTCAAATAAACCTTCTGCCCATGGTTCCCAACCTCTATCATTATACAACATTGATATACCTTTTCCAGAAGGTTGATTATTTTACCCAGGCCCATTTTATCTAAACATTAATAACATGTTTCCATCCACAGTTTGGGTGGCTTTATCTTTCTGACAATGTAATACACTAAAAATTTGATATATTGAACCTCAAGAGGGATAACTATTTACAGATAATTTGGGTTTTATAGAAAAAAGGAACAATAACCATAGCAACAAAACTAACCTCAAATTGTATTTCTCTCTGTGGTAATTAATAAGAATTCAGTGTTGACATTTCATAACTGAAGCAGGATATCATATATCAACAGTATGGTCTCATATATCAACAGTAATCATAATTTGTATGTGTCTTCTACAATTTTTGAACATTACATACCACTCCCGAGGTAGGAAATATATCACCAATACTTCCATCAGCTTCCCATGCTACAGTTATACGGCCATATGTGCCTTTTAAGCGCTCAACATTCAAGGTTACCAGGCTATCTTGCTCCATTTCTTCTATTTGCTTAAATAATGAATTCTGAAAAACACACCAAAAGTCACAAGGAGTGACTTGAAATCACCTAAATATAGTCTTTTCTTTATTTCATGTTATCATGCTTTTGTAGATTTCATAGTAATAAGCAATGTGAAACAGTAAATGAAAAATAACAGTTAAAAATAGTAAAGTAGGATGACTATGATTTTATTTTAAAACATACAGGTTTAAGTAAATAAAATACTAGTCAATAAAGATTTAATTTTATAGGATTATTTTTATTTTTGTTTTATATTTTTCAAATTTTGTTGAGGACATATAATTAATTTGATTATCAAAAAGCATGTTCTTTTATAAAATAGTACTTATAACATGTAAAAAGTTTGTAGAATGGAAAGGACATGGAGTCAGGTGAGCAAGAAGCCTTTCCCCCAGAGTAAGGTCTGGCAATCCCTCTAGGTCTGTTCTTGCTACTGGTAAAATGTGTTGGACTTACAAGGTCTCCAGCTCCCACCCCAGTGCAGCACATCATGAGAATGAAGGTGCTCCTTCCAATCATTTGCAAATGTAACTTTATGCTTAAATTCACATCCTCTAACCTATTTCTGTTCACGATGTTTCATACCTACCTCACAAACCTTTCAACTGTTTTACCAGCCAGAAATCTTCCTTTGCTTTATATTAGAATTTCTTTCTTCTCACCTATGCTTCCTAGCCTCTTACCTTTTTTCCAAATTAATTTGTACCTCTGTGACTTAATATTCTTCACTGAACACACAACAGAAGATCTCTTGCCAGCCATTTAATGAAATTTCCTTCAAATGAATATTTTAGATAATCCCTTCTTACAATATATCCTTGGCTTCTCAAGGGTAATAAGAAAAAAAAAATATGGAGTTTTAAAGATTTTTTTCTTTCCAGTAAGATTTTTCATGTCTTTTTACTATGATAATCTGAAAAGAGACTCCCCCATTAATTTCTTAAAGCTTCTATTTAGAATGCTAATTTCAGTAAAGATCCTATCCTACAGTGATACTTCACACAGCATTTTAACAAATTGTTACAGATGTTACAGAGTAATAAAATCTTGCTCAAGGCAAACATTCCTGAAGAAAATGCCTTGATTTTAAAATATGCATATAATTTATTCAGAAAAGACAATGCCTTTTTAAAAGAAAAAAAAATCCTCTCTGGCTCCATATTCTCCATAAAGGAAGGTTAGTTAAATAAGGTTTTCATGCAGCCAGAAATATTCAAGATATTCTTGTCATCTATTACACCTCATCTTGAAAGGAGACTGTCCACACAAAAAAGAGCTGTGTTGAGGAATTCTGAAAGGACTAAAGGAATCCAGGGTACTATACATTGGCATGGTGAAACCACAATGATTTAATGTCTCTAAACAATTTTAAAACAAGATTCCTAAAGTGGAATCTAGGTGCCCATACAATTGAGGATAGTCTGTGCTCTTTATCTGCCGAACAGCTTCAAGGTAAGAAGATGGACATATGCTGCAGAACATGAGGGTTCTTGTCCCAGAAATGCAGCTCTGCTTTACATACTTATCTGTTGTCCTGCAAAGGCTGTGCAAATGTTCTGCACCCCTCCATATGCAATGACATGATCATTGAAGCACTCTTGCAAACAACTGACTGAGGACATTAGAATATCCAAAGCTTGTCATCTTACATCCCCCAAACTTGCTCCTCTCACAGTTGTTCATATCTTGGGGAAGGGTAAATTCATGCTTCAGTTCTGCTTATTGCTGAATTACTGCAATAGTCTCCCGAATTACTGCAATAGTCTCCACACTCCTGTGGGAGTGTCCTTCCCACTCACAGTATGTGTTCAATATTATAGTCAGAGAATTCTTTTTACAATGAATCAGGTCACACATTTCTTCTACCCTAACTCCTCCAAAGGCTTCTAAGAGGGCAAACTCAGTACCATGCTAAATAAGGGACTGTGTACAACAATATTGACATAGCAGTACTGATTGTTGTCCCTAAAAAGGCCAGCTCACAGGCTGGTCCTCAGCTAGTGTTTGGGAATATGAATTTCAGGAGGGTTCCCACCATTCCCAGAACTTCTGTTTTTGGTACTGGAGGATGAACTCAAGGATACTTTACCACTGATCCATGCCCCAAACCCTTGTATTTTTTATTTCTAGAGAGGGTCTCCAGGAGAATCTTTGTCTTTTGATCTTACTGCCTTAGTCTCCCGAGAATGATAAGATATGTACCACACCCTTCTCTATTCCCAGAGCTCTCAAGTTGCTCCCTGTGCCCAAGCTATTTGTACAAATAATGTGATTAACTAACATCTGTTTTCCTTCTGGAAGTGTAGAATTTTGGTATGTGCCAGGCAGATGGTACCTACATGACCAACTGCCAATTAAAACCTTGGGCACTGAGTCTCTAGTGAGCCTCTGGTTGGCAAAATTCCACATGTTGTAACAACTTGATGCTATGGAAATGAGTATGTTCTGTGAGACTCTGCTGGGAGGGGATTCTTGGCAGTTTACACCTGGTTTCCTCTGACTTCACCCATGAGCATTTCCCCATGGAGAATTTTGAGTTTGTATCCTTTGCTTTAATGAATCATAGCTATAAGTATGATTCAACACTAAGTATATGAGTGCTCCCAGTGAATCATCAAAACTATGGATGGTCTTGGGATCACAGGCCCCTGGCTAGCCTCCTGGACCTATCTCCCCCTCCTACACTGACTATAGCCAGTGTCTTCCTTGTTGCTTTATAAGGACAAGAGGGCACTGCAGGCCTCTCCTCTTGGTGTTGGGTCCCTGTCTGAACTGTTACTACCCCAGATGTCAATATAATTCAATTTTCAACTCCTCCAGGCCTATTCCCTTCTGTAACTTCATACAGCCCTTCATGACCATTCTATTTTATATTTCCTATCTGCAACCCACACCCCTTCTTTCATGCTCCATATGCCTTCTCTGCCAGATGCTTCTCAACAGCACTAGCACTATCAGATAGAGTACATGTTTTATTGTATCTTTGCCTATTGTCAGTGTCTCATTGATCCCCTCTAGGATAATGAGGTAGAGATTTTTATTGTTTCATTCTCTGACATCTTTAACATCTGACGGAGTATCCAGAACATAGTGTTTATTAAATATCTGCTGCATTTATGGAATAAATGAAAAACCAACTGATCAGGTTTGTTGCCCAGTTCTGGTAAATGAGAGATAAGAAGTTTTTGAGAGGCTTTGGGAAATTTCTTCTTTAATAAAAATGGGATATAAAGTATCTCTCTGTCCCTAACTGGACATGAATAGAAAGCAGTAGCCCAAATAATAATATCAGTTTTCAAACAACCAATGAAGGATCCATTTTGAACTAACAAAGTAGAGAAAGGGAAAGGACCTCTATTGACACAGTACAATATCCAACTTCTTTCTCTGTGGACATGCTCTTAACATTTAAGCTAATATAAATTAAGTTTTCCTTGTATGTAGAAGATTTCAGAGTAAGAGAGATAATAGCTGTAGATATAACTCTAGTTCAGAAGTCAGAATACACCTAGCAAATATAATACATGATGCAACATGAATGGCTGTTCTTTTGCTCACTGGCAAAAGCTGATAAAGGCTGTGTGTGGAGTAGATCTAAAAAGATTAGCATGGCTAGTTTTCCTCAAGACAAGACATCTGCATGTGTGCAATGCACATATAGTTATATCTCTCTTCCATCCTCCCCACAATAATAAAATTTTATGTGATATGTATGACACAACACAGTGTATAGTGTATTAAACAGTCTGTCTCATCATTGCCCTCTGGTAAAAAGGCTAACAGCAGAGCCAAACTCCTGGACCAAGAACAATTAATTTCAAATTGAAATAAAAAGAATAACTACAAAAAAATTAGGACAAGTTGATCCAGAAGCCCCATTGTGTAAGACAGCAAATTCCAAGATGCCAGCAGAATTCACCTTAGAATGCAGAACAGCCATGGCAAGGGAAGAGAGAAAGACTGCAGGGAGTATGACTCACTCACCAGGTGCAGAAAAGTGCTAATTTATAAATGAGAATGAACAAATCACTTTGACTTGCAAGTGTAAAATCCTTAGTATCATTACCTGAGCAAATCCAACAACTCCATAGGCATCATCATTAGACAGAATAGTTATTTTCACATAGCCATTGCTACCAATCTCTGCTCCACCTTTGGGATTTTTAAGCTGAACTTTGAAGGATTCTTCTTCTTCTGGAACTACATCATCAAGAATATTTACTGCTATTGTAGCTTCTCTGTCCCCAGGTTCAAATATCAGTTCACCTGAACTAGCATAAGAAGCGTACATAAAATAAGTTAACAACAAATTTAAATTACACATATACTAGATTACTCATGAAACACATTACACTGAGTAATATTCAAGTTTTGGAAGAATCACATTTCATAAATAAAGTTTTAATTAAAATTATGTATATAGTACTGATGAACTTCATAGAATTCATATTAGAGATATGGATAATATCCCTATTTCTGGCTTAAAAATAGCTGTTCTATTTTATATATTTCTCAGTCATTGAGACTTGGAAATTTGATGCCATATGAAATTTTAGTGAGCATACAGACACCTAGCATAAATGCTGGACCTACCTAGGAATAAAGTCAGACTGGCTGGAGATGTAGGCCAGCTCGTACATGTGTGAGTGGGCAGCTCCCACAACAGCAATTAAATTCTTGCTTGAGTTAAGGGACTTTACTGTAACAGAAACTGCATCCTGAGCAGAAGGTGCTTCCAGAACAAATGAGAACTGATTCAGCTCTGAATTCCAGCAGTAAAGAGCAGACCCTTCTTGGCCAAGTACAAGTATGTGGACTGCAAGAAAGAAAGAAAAGGCATCTGGGGTGAAAAGTGAACTCTCTCATACACTGTCTCCCCCTTTTCCAAAGCAAAACTTTTCCCAGAGTTCCAATTTGACATCTCAAATTAAGTAAATATAATGCCATTTCCAAAAGTACCTGAATATAAATAATAATTTATTAGTGCTGTGGAATGATCAATCCAGCTGGACAATGTACCCACATGCATTTAAGAGAAATGAAAACACTGTCTGGTAACACTCACATGGGTTTTGTATTCTTAAATCTATCTCCATATCTATTTATAAGTACTTTTAAAATATATATATATATATATATATATATATATATATTTAGTTGTAGTTGAAAACAATATCTTTATTTATTTATTTTTCTGTGGTACTGAGGATGGAACCCAGTGCCTCGCACATGCTATGCGAGTGCTCTAACACTGAGCCAAAACCCCAGCCCCTATAAGTAACTCTTTTTTTTTTTTAAGTTGGGTTTTTTTTAAGAGAGAGAGAGAGAGAGAGAGAGAGAGAGAGAGAGAGAGAGGATTTTAATATTTATTTTTTAGTTTTCGGCAGACACAACATCTTTGTTTGTATGTGGTGCTAAGGATCGAACTCGGGCCGCACGCATGCCAGGCGAGCGCGCTACCGCTTGAGCCACATCCCCAGCCCTATAAGTAATTCTTTAAAGTAAAAAATATCTATAATCACACCACTAAATGTTTTAATTTTTGTATTTTCCTCTCTAGTCACTATATTAATTTATATCTGACAGTTGTAAATAGTAAAAAAAAAATTGTATAAAAAATTCTAAATTAAGAATTTTATCCCATATTTATAGTTTTATACAGGTTTATATGTTTATATGTTGCTGTGTAGTATACAAATTCATAATTTTAATGCATAGATAATAATATGTAGGGTTGATCTTCAAGATATATTTAATAATTTCCCTACATTGGCTATTTGTTGTTTTACATTTCATTTTCAATATTAAGTAAAGACAGAATTCTTATTATTTCAATAGATAAATTACTCAAGGTTTCAGGCCAAAGTGTATGAATGAGCAAATTCATGACTCCTAAAGTATATTCTGCCAATGCTTTTTGAAATGCTATCAGAAAAGTGTATTTTTATTAAATTCAAAGCAATGGCACACAATTGTATCTACAGAAGTTGGGAAGGAAGAGGGCATATATGTTATATATAATACTAAACAATCTTGAGGCTTAAAACTGGCCAAGGTGGGTAGGGGGGTCCATATAGAAATATCAAAATTCCAGCACTTAGAGAAACTCAATGGAACATAAACTCCCAAATAAAACTGATTGAGTGTTAAAAATAGCACATGGTACCAGAAAACATGAGGGTCTTTTAAACTGTTAGCCCATAAGTTATAGTGGCAAACCCCATATCCTTACTCCTACATATCAAGAACTACTGACCATATTTGTTTACAGCAATTAATTTAAGTACTATTATAGTTTGTAAATGTTGCATAAAAGATAAAGACCAAGTAAAGTCTTATTAACACATATGAATCTTTAACTATCCATATATTTTGCATAAAGCTTTATAAAACTGGAGATATTCAGAAAAAAACAAACTCAAATGGATCTGAAAGCCCTCAAATTTAGCTAACATAGTCTCAACCAAGATCAAAACTAGAGTGATCCGAGCAACACTGATTTTGTGTCTCTATTTTCATTTCTCAATTGGATTGGTATGAATAGGAAACAAGTTGATAATGAGACATTCACATTAAAAAATATGGGTGCTCAAATCTACTTACAGATGCTCTTCAACTTGTAATGAAATTATGTCTTGATAAATTCATAATAAGTTGAGAACAGCATCAGTCAAAATGCATTCAATACTATTAACCCACTGAACATCTCAGCTTAGATTAACCTGCTTTAAATGTGCTCAGAAAAAGCCTCCAGTTGGGTAAAATCATCTAACACAAAGCCTATTTTATAATTGAATATTGAATGTCTCATATAACTAGTTGACTACAGTACACAGCACAGAATGCAATCTCTGCTGTTTGCACCGTGATTATGGGGCTAACTGGAAGCTGCACTCCCTGCTGCTGCCCAGCATTGCAATTATGCTGCATATCAGTAGCCTTGGAAAAAGTCAAATTTCAAAATATGAAGTATGGATTTGACTGAGTATATATCATTTTCACACCATCATCAAGTCAAAAACTGAAAATCCTAAACACAGCCATTTTAAGTCAAGGACCATCTATATATAAATATAATGAGTATTTTCTCAGAAAGTAAACATTTATAACATTTCAAAAGCATGAAATTGGGTCAGAGAATTGATAACGAAAAATCCTAAATCTCTACTCTGGGGTGCGGAAGTGTGACTAGTACTCATATAAAATTCTCTTCCATTTAGCAAAACAATAAAATAAAAGAAGCAGAAGTTAATTCAAAGAAAGGCAACCAGACAAAACAGTTTAAGAAGTGTAGATAAAGAGAAGTTTGAGTACTGAACGGTAGAAAGTAAGTATTCCTAACATTTACAGATGTGAGACTTTAAGAATGAAGACAGTAAGAGACAGTGTGGCCAGGAAGGGCTACAGAGGAAGCAGCAACATCAGGAGAGAACTGAGTTCCAGGGTACAGAGAAGGGAAGATTCAGAGGAAGGTCTGAGACACAGTCTGTCTGTTCCACAGGACCTTATGGGAGCATCTGGGGAGTTGGGGGAGGTGGGACAGGGCATCTGGCCTAGACATCAGGGTTTGTGTGGTCTACAGGATGTACAGACCAAATGAGGATGAAAGTTTCTTCACCTCCATGTGCCCTGGACTTCTCATGAAGACTAAACAGAGATGAAGAGAGCAACCATTTATTCCAGATGATTTCCAAAAACAATGATGTCCAGAGGTGATAGTTTTGGTGAAGCTAACAGTTGGGGGACTAAGAAAGGGGAGTTAAGGTGCCTTCCAAGCAGCATACAGAGCTTTGAGGTTTAAGTGAGATTTAAAAGGGGGGGTGGGGCTGAATAGGCCCTGGAACATAACAAACATTCAGTCATTAAAGGCTATAGATTTCCTTATGTTCTGAATCCGTTACCCACATATACTCTTTTACCAGCCCTTTAAAAAGTAGAGTTAAACAAGATTCAGTTTGAGGTCTTTTTCTCATACTACATAGTCTCTTTCTAGACCATTCCATCTCAGCCTATACTAAAATGATCCTCTGTACCTAGTGACTTCCAATGTTTATCTGTGACTAAGGATTCTCTTCTAAACTCCAACCAGTAATATTTACTCAAAGGCATCTCAAACTCAACATATCCCAACCAAATTCATTATCTTTGCCCCAGAAAGGCCCAGTCCTCCTCCAAGTCACCTCCATGTTAGTTTTTGTATCATGTTTCCATTGCCTGCAGAAATGAAGGCTCTCTCACCTACCCCAAACATCTTGCTGACCATCAACTCCTCTGGATTTCACTTATGAGATATCTGAATCAATCTACTCTGATTTTCCACCTGCATCACCAACCACTTTCCAAGCTAGCTCTAGTCTAAAGTATGTGTCTCTAGAGTGTCTTCAAATACTTTTTCTTAGTAGCCTCTAAGTTTTTCTACCATGACAGCAAAAAACTCCCCTTTAAAACAAACACACAGCCCTTCTCTCTCTCTCTCTCTCTCTCTCTCTCTCTCTCTCTCTCTCTCTCTCCCCCTCCCTCCCTCCCTCCCTCCTTCCCTCCCTCCCCCTATCCCCCTTTCTCTCTAACTTGTCTCCCTATGTTTCTTCATCACCTTCTCATAAGAAGGACCCCAATACTTCTGGAAAAAAGACAATACTCTTTTAAGTCCCTATCTGATTCATCTGTTTAATCTTTGGTCACACTACTGTCTCCTCTCTGCCTGTTTTGGGTCACACTGGTCTTCCTGGTCCTTCCCTCAAAGCACCACTCACCATCACCACCTGACCTCTGTACATGCTGCTGCCTTTGCCTGGAGCCAATCTCATACTCAATTCTTTGTCTCATGAACTCTTACTCAACCTATAGTTCTCAGCTAAATAATTCTTCGCTAAGAAAGTTTTCTGGTTCTCTCTTTAGACCAGGTCAGTTTTTCCCCATTTTGTATTATGAAAGTACTATATTCCATTCTTTTTATCTGTTTATGGCTAGAAAATTGTGTGCTACATATGATGTCTCTCTTCCCTACTATGTGCTAAACTTCTTCAGGATAAGGACAGACTATATATAATTTTGCTTACCCTTGTTTCCCTAGGTTCTACCTCTATGCTTGGCACATAATTGGCATGTAAAATACATCTATTAACTAATAAAGAAGAGAAGGGTAAAGGGGAATATGAGTTTATATGTCCTTGCAGTCTTTGTTATATTCATTCTTCCCCTTCCATATAAAGAACTCAATCACTACCCAATAATCTCTGTCAAGTCATTAATCAGAATAAAATATGTGATCCTCACAGTCATGGCAGCAATCTAATATTTTTAATAAAATATTTGACACATACAAAATAAGAAACCCCCGAACATTCTTTAATGCATAATTTCAGCTTTCAGGGGATCTATAATAAGCCACTCTAAATAATTACCTACAATCTTTTCATACTTCTACAACCTCAAGTCACAGAAACAAAAGAAATAAAGAGACCTCACAATGGGTCCCTTAATAAACCTCTGGCAGAATTTCCCACAAATTCTTTTAGAAAGTTTGCCTATTATATTTTTAAAAAATCTTTAAAGGCAATTCTGTAACTTTAATTAATGGCCCATTCAGGCAGCACACTTCATCCTTAATTTATTAGACAACTATTTTCAATAATAATAAGTGCCTCAAGTAGACACAGTTAAGCCATTTGAAAACTTGAGGTATAAGAGAAGCAAAAATTAAAAGGCACAAAATTAAGGGACAACTGAAGAAAGACAAACAAGTATATGATGAAAGAAACATAATTTATTCAGCAAATCCATACTGAGCAAATACGAAAATCAATCAAGCTGTATATCATAAGAGAGTGCAGCAACACAGGACTTGCATCAGTGTGTGGACAATGTAAAGAGATAATCTGAGGAGGGGATAAGGAGAAAATAGGCAGGCACAGGATTTTGACAGCAGAATGAAGACAGTCTAGAGACCTGAAAGCCATGCCATAGTCCAGATGGAGAGTGGCGGGGTCTGGGAGAATATATCATGGATACAGGGCTGAGGAGGAAGAAGTAGAAAACACGGAAATGAGATGCAGTGATGTGTGTGTGTGTGTATAAATATATATATATATATATATTAGAAATGAGAGATAAATAAGCTGTGATTCCTGGTCAGTGTTGAGATGACTTAAGGTGACAGTCACAAAGCCTAACAGAGAAAAAGCAGTCAGGCACCTAAGAGAAAAACTGCAAAAACAGTCTCCTATATTTGCACCAAATCCTCCAGTCTTCTCAATATGCTTTACTTTATACTTTTCAACTTTTGTGAGTTAGATTGTCCTCAAAAATCAATATCTCTGAAATCCAACCCTCTAACAATCTCTCTATCCATTATTCACTAGTGTCTTCATATTTTTTATTGCTTCTCTACTCAGACCTTAAGACTATGAAGTTAGGGAATTCTTCATATCTACATAACAATGACTTACATATAATATTTAATTAGTAAAAGTGTGCTGTTTCATTCATATGGAATTGGTATGTCTCAATCCAATAGCAGGACTGTGATTCATTTGGACTAGCCTGTGTAGCCCCTTGGGCTTGGCTTCCAAGTTCCTCTGGGCATCTCAGCAGCATACATGATGATTCAGCGACTGTGTGTTCTCCCTGTACTGTTGACACCTTCCCTAAAGGCAACCTGAACAACTCACATGGCAACTGGACTCCACTGCTTCTCTTTCTCAATGGCCTGCCCAAATGATGACTCCAGACAGCAGATATACTACACGTATATCCAACTTTCTGACTTTTCAAAAAATCCTTAAATGCTAATATTTCCTCTCTTCTTATATATACTTTCATATTTAAATATATATATATATATATATATATATATATATATATATATTTAATGTCATTTTCATTTTCTCTAAATAAAAGAGACAAGAGACAAAAGAAATATCCTATCTTTCTTCTTCATTAACATTTTCCCCTATATTTTAGTCACTTGTTCTCAAGGAGCCTTTTGAAATTCTAGGACTTCTGGAAAGATTGTTGTACAGATATTGATTTTATACTCTTATTAAAATACCCAGTCTCTGGAATGTGACAATTTTATGTCTAATTCAATGAGATTCAAATAATCCTGTTTCACACTGCCTTTAGGATGACTGGTTAGCAGTTGAAAAGTCCTTACCTATTCCAGAGGCTGGTGTGAAGGAATGGATTCTGTTACCGGTAGCAAAATCCAGGGATTGGAAATATCTGAAAGAAGACTGTCCTATCTCCCAGAGGAAAATATCAATGGAATTCTGATCTCCTACAACAATAGAGTAATAATCAAATCTTGAAGTAAAAGTTACAGAAAGAAAATGGCAAAATTGCCTAGTAAGACTATAACAAAATGGTAAGAAACAAATTTCATATGAATCCATTTAATTCAACAAAAACATAACTTTTTAGATAATGTTTCAAATGTCTTTGCATTTACCACACAAAGTGTATGTATAGTTAGCTATTGACCATGACCCAACCATAAAGCAAGAAAAGAAGCAAAATATTTTCTTTTTTTTTAACATTGTTGAAATTTTATCTAAATTTTTGGTAAGCAAAAGAAATCATATTCTTATTTAGAAAACATTTTTGAAACATATTGTCAAAAGTTGCTGAACACTTTTTATTAGTACTATAAATTATTCATGACACCCCAAACATATTCAGATAAAAAGTTACCTGTTTGCACTTGTCTATGAAATCTTCATAGATCATTCTATTCTACCCAACCACCCCTTATTTTATTTTAACAGAACTTTAAATTGGTGGTTCAGGGCACTACAAGAGTACTGGCATAATGCTTATTTTTTCCTCAAATTGCATTTATATCTGATAATTAACATTATCCCTCAAGAAATAGTCTATGAATTACCTAAAAAAATGTTACAAGAGCATTTTCATATAAAACAAACATTATGAAGCTAGATGATTTGGGTAATAGCTATATTTGCATTATAAACACCATGTCATCTTACCTAAGAAGGTATTTTTGGCAAAAATTAAGTAAATATCATCTCCTGAAGACAAAGCTTCAACTTGTGTCGTTCCACTGACTGGCACTTCTTCAAAGTAAATAAATGTGCTGCCAGACCATCTGAATAAAAGGGCGTGTAGCCTGACATTAGCCTGGGAAATTGCTAAGAACAAAGAGTTGCCTCTGTTGAATAAGGCCATGGTCAAAACACCTCGGACAGGAAGATTCTGTTGCAATGCAAAGCTCTGTCCATTCCATCTGAAGACCTGTAGGAAATGTTCAAATATAAAAATCTTCATGACTAGGAATTTAGCACTAGGAAGAATTTAGCCAATGTCACATGTCTATTCTCCTGTATCCTTTTATTTAGTTAGGATGATACTTTTATTAAGTGGGAAAGTACCAAGCCTAACATGCAGAATAAATGAAAGAGAAATTATTTGAAAATAAATCTTAGAAGTGAGTACAAGATCTTCTGATGCTGCAACATCATTTCCAACATCTTGATCAACAGCATATAGAGAAATGCCTAAACTATTTTCATCCTCATGGTGGCAATGCATACAAGGCTTCAGGGTAAGTGTTCATAATATTTAAAATTAAAAGAAAGTGTATAATCGACCTGGTTTCTTATATAATTTGAGCACTTTCACAACAAATTATACTTATTCAGGATATGGAAGATGGTGGAGGAGACAGAAGATAATGGAGTAAAGGAAAGCTACTTCCTAAGCTGCATCCTGGTGTGGTAGGAGCCCTCTTCAAACAAAGACAAGAGGCACAGCACAGCTAGTAGATGTGTGCACATGCAACTCTGTTGAACAATGTGGCACCTTTAGTAACCAGGTATGCATGTGTTCCCCAGAACAAAGAAAGGCAGTGTGGCACACTGAGCATGCAAACACAACTCTGCTAACACTCAGGGCACATGTGCAACTCTGCCAACACCCCCAGTGGGCCTGTGCAGCTCTGTCAAAACTTCCTTATGATTTCACAGTATAGAATAACCACATGAAGTGTATTTTTCCATATAGGAGAGCAAAGGAGCTAATATGTAACAGGGGAAAGAGAGACTAGCAGTGGCTATATAAGGCAAATCTCTGCTGCAATAGGGGCTTGGCTTTTGGATGAAAATCCACCCAGTCTGTCCTGGAACAAAATAAACATTCTTTTATTTACCACCCTGGTTCATGTCTCTGTGTGTGAACCCCACAACAGTGGCCTGGGACCAAAGCAACAGGAGTACAGCTTCTTAACAAGGTGGGTAAAAGAGGAATTTCAATAAAATTTAACATTAGACACTGAAGTGGCTCAGGGACTCAGGAATTTGGGTACAATAACTGAACAAGAAGGAATACATTGGAGCAGACCTGGCAGCCCCACCACCTATGTAGATTCACCACAGACAGAGGGAGCAGAACACAGTCTTCATAGAGAGAAACCTGAAATCAAAAATGCTACCTAATCTTAACTGATCCAGAGGCTGTACTGCATGCTAATGCTTGAAAAGCACGCTCTATATTTCAACTGGTTGTGGAGAGATGAGGCAAGTCACAATGTCCTGCACACAGCTTTCCGGGGACCTAGGCTGGGCCAGATGGAAAGTGAGTAAAACAGTGACTACACTCAGGGCAAAGGGAGCCCAATTCACTTGTCCTTTGTCTCAGGCAGCTCATGTGACCAGCTGAAGTCTCAGCTGGCACGGTGAACACACTAAAGGACTAGACCAGAGAAGACAGTGCTCTTGAGCAGCAGTGAGTAAAGGATCAGCAACCCCCTGTCCCATGATTGGATTTTTGGGAAGGTCTTGAGAACCAGACCTGCAGATGACATTGGCTATTGTCTAATCTAGAAGTGGGTCCATCTAGTCTTTCCAAAGAAGCCCCAGCCAACAAAGCCCAAGAGGCCTAATGAGACCTCAGCCCTACCTGCTGGAACTTCCTTCACAGGATGCTGCAGAGGCAGTTCCTTGGGAGTGCACCAAACTGGTCCAGATGGACAAAACACCAGCTGACAGTTTGTCCTAACCCACTCCACCTCATACTAGTGAGAAGGGAAGCTGAGTCTTACATATTACATCAAACAGCTTCAATCTTAGGCTGCTCCAAGTGGCAGCTCAGAGAGCAACACAAAAACAGAAAGGACTAAACAACCCCACCCTTTGCTCTCTCTATCTGTATACAACTCAGAAGAATTGAAAAGAAAGACTGTTGACATACACAGAAACCACCCAATGTCATCAATTATTTTGTCTAATTCAATGGAGAAGTTTCCTTCACTATTCATTCTTCATTACAATTTTTAAAAATTCTTTCTGGGGCTAGGGCTGTAGCTCAGTGGTAGAGCACTTGCCTAGTATGGGTGAGGCAGTGGGTTTGATCCTCAGTACCACATTAAAAAAATTCAATAAAGTTATAAAAAAGTATTAAAAAATTATTTCCATGTGTGCATCATAAACAATATTATAAATCAAATGGACCAAATGTACATCTACAGAATATTCCACCCTATAACAGCAGAATTTACCTTCTTCTCAGCTGCACACAAATTTTTTCCAAAGTAGACCATATTCTAGGCCATGAAACAAATCTTAGCAAATATAGAAAAAAAAATCAACATATCCCATATATCCTATCAGATCATAATGTAATGAAACTAGAAATCAAAGCAAGAAAAATAATAGAAACCACAAAAACAGATGGAGATTGAACAATACTCTCTTAAATGAAGAAAATATCAAAGAAGAAATAAGAATAGAATTAAGAAATTCTTAGGAAAAAAAGAGAAAAAAGATACAACAGATCAGAATCTCTGGGACAGTATGAAAATAGTTCTAAGAGGAAAATTATAGCACCATTATAAAACTAAAGAATTGTCAAATAAATATGCTCATGCTTCACCTCAAAGCCTTAGAAAAACGTGAACAAAGTAACCCTAAAACCAGTAGAAGACAGGAAATAATTAAGATCGGAGCCAAAATCAATAAAGCTGAGAATAAGAAAACAATACACAGGATCAAGATAAATAAGATTGACACTTAGGCAAACTAACCAAAAGAAAGAGTGAGAAGAAGCAAATCAACAATATCTGAGATAAAAAAGGAAATACCACCACAGACCCTTTTGAAATCCAGAGAGTTATCAAAACCTGTTTTGAAAATTTGTACTCCATTAAACTGAAAAATATAAAAGACACTGACAAATTTCTAGACACATATGGACCTACTCAAATTGAATCAGAAAAATATAGAAAACCTAAATAGACCAATACTAACTAATGAAACTGAAACAGTAATTAAAAGCCTTTCAAAAAAGGAAAACCCAAGACCTGATGGATCTCAACTGAATTCTACTAGATCTTTAAAAAAGAACTAACACTCTTTCTCAAATTATTTCATGAAATTAAAAGAGAGGGAACACTCCTAAATACATTTTTAGAAGCTGGTATAACCCTGATCCAAAACCAGAAAAGATGCATCAAGGAAAGAAAACTACAGAATAATATCCCTGATGAACTAGATGCAAAATTCCTTAATAAAATTTTAGCAAACAGCATTTAAAAACACATCAAAAAAGACAATACACCATGATCAAGTGGGTTTTGTAACAGGAATACAAAGTTGTTTCAACATAAGCAAATCAATAAATGTAATTCATCCTTTAACAGAATTAAGGACAAAAATCACTTGGTCATCTCAATACATGCTGAAAAGGCCTTTGATAAAATCCAACACTAATTCACATGAAAAATGCTGGAGAAGCTAGGAATCAAAAGAACTTACCTAATCATCATAAAGGCCATTTATGACAAACTCAAAGCCAACATCATACTCAATGGAGAAACACTAAAAGCATTTCCTTTAAAAACAGTGGTGAGGCTGTCCACTCTCACCACTTCTATTCAATATAGTCCTCAAAACATTAGCCAGAGCAATCAGGCAAGAAAAGGAAATGAAAGGGATACAAATAGGGGAAAAAAGGACGTCAAACTGTTTGTTTGCCAATGATATGATCTTATATCTAGAAGACCTAAAAAAAACTCCACTAGACCACTTCTAGAGCTTATAAATAAGTTTAGCAAAGAAGGAGAATACAAGATCACCATCCATAAATCAATAGCTTTCTTACACTCAGCTGAGGAAAAAATGAAGAAAACCATACCATTTATAATAACATCAAAAAAAAAAAGAAAAGTGTTAAGAGTTAATCTAAAAAAGAAGGTAAAAGAACTCAGCAATGAAAATTATAGCACACTGAAGAAAAAAATTGAATAAGACCTTATCAAATAGAAAGACATCCCATGTTCTTGAATAGACAGAATCAATATTGTCAAAATGGCCACAATGTCAAAAGAAATATAGAGATTCAATGCAATCCCATTTAAATACCAATGATATTCTTCACAAAATTAGAAAAAAAAACAATTCTTAAATTCATTTGGAATAATAAGAGATACAAAATAGCCAAAGCAATACTAAGCAAGAGAAGCAAAGCAGGAGGTATCACAATACCTGATCCAAATTATATTTCAGAGCTATAGTACCCAAAACAGCACGGTTTTGACATCAAAATGGACATGAAAACAAATGAAACAGAATAGAAGGTGCAGAGACAAATCCACTTACCTACAGCCATCTGACATATGAATAATCTGTCAAAACTATATTTTGGACAGACGAAAGACAACCTTTTTAACAAATGGTGCTAGGAAAACTGGATAGCTATGTATACAAAAATGAAATCAGACCCCTCTATTTCACCCTATACAAACCCAAATAAAAATGGATCAAAGACTTGGGAATTAGACCAAAAACTTTACAACTGCTAGAAGAAAACATAGGCTCCATAGTCCATCATATAGATGCTGACACGGGCTTCCTTAACAAGATCCCCAAAGTGCAAGAAATAAAATGAAGAATTAATAAATGAATGCCATAAAACTAAAAAGCTTGTCTACAGCAAAGGAAACAATTAAGAACATGAAGAGAGAGCTGACAGAAAGGGAAAGAATCTTGGCCAACTATTCTTCTGATATTAAAAAAAAACACTTAGCACCAAATATAATAATAATAATAATAATGCAATCAATAAATGGGCAAAAGATCTAAACAGAAACTTCTCAAAAGATGAAACACAAATGGCCAACAAATATATGAAAAAAATGTTCAGCAGCAATCAGGAAAATATAAATCAAAATTACAATACAATGTAACCTCAAGCCAGTCAGAATGGCACTGCTCAATATGAATAATAATTGCTGGCGATGTTGTGGGGGGGAAAGGTACACTTGTACATGGTTGGTGTGACTACTAAACCACTCTGAAGAGCAGTATGGAGATTCCTCAAAAACCTAGAGATGGAACCACCCTATGACCTACCTATCCCACTCCTTGGTATTTTTCCAGAGAGACGTAAAGTTGACACAATGCAGGGATATAGCCACCTCAAAGTGTACCGAAGCAAAATTTTCAATAGGTAACTTATGGAATCAACCCAGATGCCCATGAGTAGATGACTGGATTAGAATATATATATTATTAGAATATATATATATCACAATTATGATACACACACACACACACACAATGAAGTTCTACTCAGCCATTAAAAAAAAGACTGAAATGATAGCACTTTCTGGTAAATGGATGAAAATGGAAAATATCATGTTAAGTGAAATTAGCCAAAATCAGAAACTCAAAGTTTATATGCAGAAGCTAGAGTAAAATAAGGAAAGGAGAAGGTAAGGAAAGGATAATACAAATGAATCAAATATTAAATAATAGACAAGTGAAAGGAAGTCTAGCAGAGTGGAGGAAAGGGATGGAGAGGGGAAGGAGGATGGAAGGGAAAAGTATATATCATGAACTAAAATAGATTTCCATGCATGTATGAGTTTTTCAGGATGAACCCAACTACTATGTATAACTATAAAGCTCTAATTAAAAAAAGAAAAAAATAATAATTATGCAGTCAACAGTTAGGACTTTGGAGACAAGCATTAAGCTAGGAGCCTGGGTACACTGACCTCCTCCTTTATCACTCTTATTAACGATGAGGAAAAGATAAAAACTCACATAGCAATAACTGAATTAATGATGACCATAAATTGAAACTGGTATGGAAGTCAAAAGTCAGGATGATATGATGAAAGAAATATATGATTAGGAGAATGAAGTTAGAAGGAATGACATGACAGTTTCTAAAACAGATGGTTATGGTGCTCTGAATAAAAACTAGCCCAGAAAGCTGACAGTGCTAAGGGGTTGAACAGTCAAGACAGGAAAGGGGAGGTCATGAAGTATCCTTCCTTTGGTGACCTTACAATTGCCATTCATGTAGGGGTTCTTCAGAGATTGAAATATTAATAATAATTATACAAGGACATGGCATGATCCAGTGCTATACTGAGCCAGAAGAAATATGGTTATCCTACATATATAGTATACTAACTAATGCCAAATTTATTATAATTGGGAATCACTAAATTTTTTTAAATGAGTAACACGAATCAATATTTTTAAAAGATTACTCCCGCTACCAATAGAGAATAAATCTGTGGAGATCAGAGAACTTCAGAGACTAGCTTGGAGACTAGCAGTTCAGGTAAGAAAAGATAAGAACTAGGCTTAGATGGAGATGAACAGAGGTGGAAAGAAATGTCTACACTAAAAATATTATGGAGACACAGATTCAAAAACACTTAATGATCAATTAGATATGAAAGAAAAAAAGGATAATTCAACAAAATATATCACAGAATTCTCCCTTGAGCACTTGCATTTCTGAGGTTACTATTTCCTGAGATAAAAGCAAATACTCAAACACAAGTTTCATAGAGAAAATTAGAGTTCAGCTTGATATACATGATAACACACTCCTAAAATATATTTAAGTGGATGCATCAATAGGCAGTTAGACATTCAAGTTTGGACTACAGAGGAAAGGTTGCAGATATGATTTTAAAGACATTAGCCTATAGCTGATATGTAAAGCTAGCCTATAGTTCCTATGAAGAGCTACAGAACTGATGAAATTTCCCAGAGTAGGTGAAAAGAAAGAAGAAATCTGAACTAAAACTGAATTATGAAATACTCTAAGACATATTGATTCAGAAAAGGGAGGAGGAACCAGCAATGGAGACTGAGCAGCAGAGTTCTTAAGAAGGAAATCCTTGTGGTATCACAAAGCAAGAGTAGAGGGGGTTGAGATTTGGGGATGAGTAAGTCGCATGCTGGTGGGAAGTTGTGTAAGACAGTGATAAACATATCCACTGGATTTGGCAATCCAGTCGCCATGGGTGAGCATAAGAAGTAGACAAAGCTAGCTGACACTTCTCTCACGACGTCCTACCGCAGAGGGGAGAAAATAAATGAAAAAAAAAAAAAAGAAGAAGCTATAAGAGGAAGAGATCAAGGGAGGGATTTCTTTGTAAACTGAACAATTCTCAACTATTATGCCAACTGTAATAATCTCGTGGAGAAAGAAATGCCAGCTATGGAGGGAATAACTAAACCTTATGAAGGCTGAGGGGCAGCCATGTGAAAGGAAGGGCTTCTCCAGAAGGACACTCCTCCTCTGCAGCAGGAGGAAGGGGCAACACTGGATTTTAAATGGGATTTTGAATTTGGTGTTGGGAAAATAAGTAATCTCCCTCTAGTGACTTTCATTTCACTGAGGTCATTAGTTGAAAATGAGGCGATAAGAAGCTTGTACAGAAGCGTGAGAGACAAAAATTATCAATTAAGCATTAAGGAGATTATAAGATGTAGTGTGCTAGAAAAATGTGAAATTTCTGGGGTGATGCTGAGTGCCCAATTGGCAATGTTAATCATGAATTTTTAGTGATACCATCTGTCTAGCTGTGTGATTTTTCTCCATAATGTTTTCCAACTCAATTAAATTCTGATTAAATGTTCATGTTTATGATTACATTTGCTTTGGCTCTTGAAGAACATATAATATTCATAACTGTTGTTTAAAAGTTAATTGGGACCAATCAATATTCATATTCTCCTTTACTACTTTACCACAAACTATGTTTTTTTTTTTTTAAAGAGAGAGTGAGAGAGGAGAGAGAGAGAATTTTTAATATTTTATTTTATTTTATTTTATTTTAGTTATTGGTGGACACAACATCTTTGTATGTATGTGGTGCTGAGGATCGAACCCGGGCCGCACGCATGCCAGGCAAGCGTGCTACCGCTTGAGCCACATCCCCAGCCCCTGGTTTTCTTTTATACCAAATCTCTAGACCCTACCTCATAACTTTCAATTACAGTATTTTTTAAAAGTTGGGGAGATCTTCATTTTCAAAGATTCATACCTGAGTTAATTCGGAATCCTCTCTTTGACTTGCAACAATTAAATAATCTTGACTGTCTGAAGTAAAATATCTTACTTGGGAACTTTCAGAAATAATGATTGTTTGCACCTGCAAGGAAGACAGAAGAGTGGGAATAAAAATTTAAAGAGTTTAACTCAGAAAGGCACTAAATATTATACTAATGAGTTAGTATTTGATGTTTAAGACTTGATGTTTAAAACTGTTCTGATCACTAGGTATGCATATATCATAAGCATACATCATTTCAAGCCAACAAAAATAGCCCCAGGTTAAGATACATGCTACAATTTGTATCAACTTGCAAAAAGTCCTGTTACTCATTAACATAGAATATACATTGTCATCCATTTAGATCAGTCTTACAAATCTGAATTTCTTTTAGGTAAAGCAATATAAAATGAAGATTTGGTTTTTACCAGGAATAATTGGAATCCAGATGTGAAGGTATACACACTGTTAACAGAAGACTTCTCTTCATTTCTTTCTTTATGAGTAATTACAAAGTAGGGAGAAAGACCAATATTAAAGGCCTCACAAGTTTTAGGATTTTGTATCTTTAAATCCTAGAAAATGAGAATTACAAAAAAAAAAAAAAACAGTTAACTCATAATGTATCTCACATTTACTTGTATATTTTATTTTGTGCACTGTGAAAAAAAATAAGCAACGTTTACCTTTACTGGAATAAAAATCCCTTGCCATCGGTAAATAGTAAATGATGATTTTCTTAACATTATACCATATACTGAATCTTCCAAAGTAAAGAAACACCAGCCAGAAACTGGCTTGTCCAAAAAACTTTGAAATATGGAAAAGACAACATCCATTCCCCCTAAAAAACATAAATCATTATTTACCAGTGCATAATTCCTTCTCAAACTTATCTGCTCTAATTTGTTATTTAAACATTGAGACTAATGACTTCATTACAAATGAACTCCCCATGGTGTGTGTGTGTGTGTGTGTGTGTGTGTGAGAGAGAGAGAGAGAGAGAGAGAGAGAGAGAGAGAGAGAGAGGCTAGAAAACTTAAAAATAGTAACTTAAAATAACAATTTTAGATAACAAAAGGAGTACTAATAATTCACTCTATAGCCATATGAACTTTCCCAAGGTCTATTTAAATATAAATACTTGCTAACTGTAATTTTAAAGGGAAATATGCTAAAACATGTTTTCTTTCTTTCTTTTCTTTTTTCCAACACTGGGGTTTGGACTCAGGACCCTGGGCATGCTAGGCAAGCACTCTACCATTGAGCAATAGCCCCAGCCCGTCTCCCACCCTTTAACACACTCTTCTGGTATCTGCAATCTACTGTTTTCTCCTGTACTTCTCACCAGGTCTCCAAATCCCCTTCGTGAGATCACTCTGCTATCCCTAGCCATTCAATCTGAGGCTTTTCAATTTTCAGGCTGGGTCTTCTTCCCTTCTCTGTCTAGAGCTCCTCTTCTCAGATTGTTAAATCAATGTCCCTGACTTTAAAAACAGTAACACATGTCAGATCCCTAAATCTGTCTTCCAGCAGAGACCTTCCTTTGAGTATAAACGCCTTCTCAAAAGGAACTCAAACTTAACATGTGCTAAAACACAATTTATTTTAATTCCCTCGCCAAAACAACACCTAGCCTTCTTTCACATATCTCTTAGACAGTGGCAAGACACTCTATCCTACCACACAAGCTGAGGAACTAGGAGTCATCTGGGTCTCACCCTCACTCTTGCACCCAGTTCATCACCTGCTCTAAACTGCCCTTTTGCTCATCTCCATGCATCCTCTCTTCTCTGCTATACCAACCAATTCTTTACACGGTCCTATGAATAACACTTCAAAATGCAAACATGATCATACCACACCATCTTCCCCATGCCTAAACCACTCAAAGTTTTCCATTAACTCTGGGATAAAAGATTGACATCCATAAAATATTTCTCAAGTTCTTCAATGATCTCTGCTTCTCCCCTATTTCTGTACTCCCTATTCACTGAGGTTCTTCAATTATCATATGTCCTTTTATGCCTGAGTCTCCTGCCTCTAAAGCTTCCCCCTCTTGTCTCCCAGGTTCCTCCAACCCAGTTCTTTGCATAATTGATTCCTACACATTGATTTTTACTTATTTATTTTGGTACACCTTAAATTCTAAGCTCTATGAGCTCGGTACCATGCCTAGGCACTCAATAAATATTCATGGATATAGTAATAAAATTAAATATCTGTTTCCCATTTTTAATAAATCCATAAGTTATAATTCATGGAAATAATGTAAATCTTATACACACAACATTTCTGAGTTACAGCATTTTGTTCTCATAAAAAACTGAACATACTCATGCCAAAGGCTGTTTCAGATACCGTCTCCCACTGCACACTCACAGCTAAATCAATGCCATTAGTACGCAACACATTTAAGTATACCGTTCTGTTGGTTTCTTCAATATCTATAGAAGTGGCTCTGAAATTGTGGAAAGCAGAAAAAGAATATAATTTCTACATATTTAAAATATATGTCACATTACCAGCGTATGCTTAATATGCTTCTACATTTATACAACCCAAATGACATGCACAAATTTGATACATGAAGAAGACAAATGGGTGCTTGAAAATATTCATTTATGGAGTTTTTTTTTTAAGTACAAATGCAATACTCATAATCAGAAAATACTGAAGATCAGTAATTTAACATTACACATTTTAAAACTGTCTTTTTTGAATTTCTTCATACATAAATCAAAAACATCTGACAGGAAAAAACAGGAAATTCTTAGTATAGGAATAAAACTAAATCTCTTAAAATACTATATATAAATATCTGTCAGTTTCCAAAGGAAATTTTATAACTATAATCATTTTAATATGTTTAAAGAGTCATTTATTTGGATTCAGTGACCAAGTATATTTTATATTTTTTCTTGCTTTTTATTTCTAAAATCACAAAATAATGCAGGCCTTTTCCTAGAAGTGTGAACTATGAGAAAATAAGAATTCTGATGACACCATTAAGCAGGCCATGGTTAGGTCTTTGATGTTCTCTGTTATAAGAGAGCTTGTGGACTATGGATCTGTCTTCTGGAATTCATTTTAAAAGTCCACTTTACACTAATCACACTTCAATTTTCTTTTGCATTTTCTTATGTCAAAAATTATTTCTTCCTTATTTTCAGAAGTGATATTTTCTTATAAATAAATTATACCTATTTTCAATAGCAGAAATACTGAACAGCCCCAAAGGGGCCTGATTTTGTAATACTGTTATCAAGGTTTGAACCTGCGCCCCTAATCTAGCACCTCCCGTCGGATTAAACAAGGTGCAAACAAAATGCTCATCCATTTCTGGTTCTGTGTCTAATACAGCAGAAATGTGCAGGGCCTGAAAACAAAATAAAAAAAGTAAAGTTACTAGAATAGAATATATTTGCAAAACACATACAGAGAAATTTACTAAACATTTTAGAAACCAAAATAATGTCTTTCGAAAAACAGCACCTCTTTTTTATTTAATAATGGTCCCCATAATGTGATACCTACAAGTGTTTCATGTTATTACTTTTGGAATTTTCAACACTGTGGTACAAAGTGTCTAAAACATAAATGACATTTTTAAATAACACAGAATAAAATATTAAAATATTAAATTCATGTCCTTTTTTGGGATACTTTTTTATCCTGCTCTGGCTATATAACTTCATTAATCTCTTTCTAGTCTAGGATTCACCATTAAAAAGCCATGGTAGAGGGGTTGGGGTTCTGGCTCAGGGGTAGCACTTCCCTAGCATGTGTGAGGCACTGGGTTGAATTCTCAGCACCACATATAAATAAATAAAGGTCCATTGACAATTAAAATATATATATTACAAAAAAGCCATAGTAGGAACAAATTAGAAACAACCCAAATGTACATCAACAGGAAAATGGATAAACAAATGGTGACCTGTTCAATAAAACACTATTCAACAATAAAAAAAGGATCAGCTACTGATGTCTGCAACCACACAAAATTCAGAAATATGTTGCATGAAAGAAGCTAAACACAAAAGAGTAGATATTATAAGGCCCTATTTACACAAAGCTCAAAAATCAGCAAAATGAGTCAATTAAAACATTACAAAGTGGTTTCCTCTTGAAAAGGCAAGGCGCAAAATTGAACCATCTGGGTAATAGTAGTGTTAATATCTTTAATCTGAGTGGAGGTATTATGGTTTGAATATGAAATGTTGCCCAAAGTCTCATGTGCTCAGAGGTAGACTTTTTGGAAAGTGATAAATCATGATGGCTCTGATCTCATTAGTAGATTAATCCACTGATGGCTGAATGGATTACTTGTATTAAGTGGGTCACAAGGGATAGAGGTGATCCCGGAAAGGTCTGGGTTCTCTCTGGCACTTTCCTCTTGCTTTCTGTTTTCCCCAGGTGCAATAAGCTGACCAGCTTTCCTCAACCCCACCCTTCCACCAAGATGATTCTACCTTGAAGCCCGCTGACATGGACTGAATCCTCTGAAATGCTAAGCCAAAATAAATCTTTCCCCACTAAGTTGTTCTTATCAGTATTTTGTTCATAGTGATGAAAAGCTGACTAATACAGGTGTGTATACTATGTTTAAAATCATTAATCCATATACTTAGAATTGGTGCATTTTACTATTCGTATGCCAAAATAAAAACGTGGAGCAAAAACAGTTGTGTGAGCCAAAAATATTTAATCCAATTTTCTCTAATGTTTAATTTACCAAATGAACACAAAGTTTTACTTAAATACACGCCGAGAAAAAGACACAAAAAATTACAGTAAAAAATATTTTTAAACATTTTAAATTACAAAAAAAATTATTAAGAGAAAAAATGTGAGTAAGGCAATGACAAATTTTAATATGCTTCAAATTTGAACTTTTGTATTTTTCATAATTTAAGTGTGTCTTTGAAGAAATCAAAGATTTTAAATTTGGAAGAACGTTTAAAAAATGAACAAAAAATATGTTGAACTTTACAAAAACTTAAAATTGAGAAAGTTATTTGATTGTTAGATGAATTAGTTTAGAGGAAAGGGCTGCAAATATATTTCTTTAAAGCAGTATTTTAGCTAGCTGGAAAAATGTCTAAAGATAATGCGATGAACTAATTTAAACTTCAACTATATTTTTAAAAATAAAGTTTAGTAGGAACAGAAAATCAATATACAGGAATGGAATATTAATATATAGAAAAATAAGTTTGGAAACTAAACTTATGTAAGGATAGATCACATTCATAATTAATCTCAAATCCAGGATTTTTCTCTTTAAAACACTATTCCTATTCTCAAACAGTTTGAAGCAACAGTTACATGCTGTTTAATTAAAATGTAGCAAAAAGAAATGACTGACTGGGGCTGGGAGCTTTTTTTGGCTTACACTTTATATATAAAGTGAAGTATACCATTTAAATAAGTTTGGAATTTAAAATAAAAAACAATATGTGTATTTTATTATTTACATATTTCTCTATTAATAGTAAATTCCTTCAGTTGCCCTCTATACATATTATATAGTACATTAGCACTTGTCACATAATAATCTAATCGTGTCTTTATTTCTCACCTAAGTTGGAAATATCTTTTTCTTCTTTTGAGGATGCAGGGAAAAATATTTTGTAAATATTAGAGTTATAAGCTTCATCCTTATTAAAGTTTCATACTATACCTTGAGTCGAACACCTTCTTCTAATACAATATAGCCTTTGGAAGGAGTCAGGTCCTTGGATTCTGTTGAAGAATTCACTTCTGTGACAATGAACTGAACTGTCACAGTTCCAAACAGTCCTCGTGCAGGTTCCCGAACAACGTACAAGACTGCAACGCTTTCCTGAACGTAGAGAGCTGCTGGCTCTCTCAGGAAAAAGTGCTCACTGTTGTTAAATGATAGAACTCCAGGGCCATCATCATTAGCAAGGATGGTAATTACAGCTGTCAAAACAAAAATATTTAATGATAAATGAAAATAAGAAGGGCTGTTATAAATGCTGAAATGAGTGTGGATATTTCATTGGAAAGAAAGTCAACTCTCGACCTCAAGTGATCATTTTAAGAGTACCTTTTCCTTTTTTTTTTTTAAAGAGGGGTCATTTTAAAGCATTAAATAAAATTTCATATTCCTTTATTATATGAAAATACTCTGCAATCTTAGAATGGAAGGCAGGTTTGTCAACCTGATGTGATGCTACCTCTCAGAAGTCAACAGCAGAGACCAAATTTAATGAAACAGTGAAAACATTCCCAGTAAAAACAGAAACAAGACAATGATGACTGCCGGCACTGCTACTGCTCAACATGTCCTGGGGCTATCCGTAAGGCAAAGGTAATGGACAGGAAGGTCCAGAACTTTCATCCTTAAATTAAATGCTTGTCTACTAACAAGATACAAGAAAAAATTATCATATGATAAGAGTTTGAAATATAAACTTAGAAGAGATTCAAGATAGTGGAAGAGAGGAAGGCTGCATTTTCAGTTGCTTCATGACTCCAGACTAAAGCAGCAGGAGAACTGTTTCTCAGCAAGGTGGGTAAAAGAGGGAACTCACTGATATTCAATTTTAGAAATCATAGTCGCTTAGAAACTTAGAAATAAAGATGCACAAGTCAGTTGCTGCAGCAGCAGCAGCAGCAGCAGCAGCAGCAGCAGCAGGAGCACTGGTTGGCCACAGAGGGGAGGGGTAATGTATAAAGAGAGAGACACAACAGACAAATTTAGCATGGAAAAACCTATACATGATAAAAAAGTCAAATTTAGCTACCCAGACGCTGCACAACAAGCTCTTTTTTTTTAATTTTTATTGTTGGTTGTTCAAAACATTACATAGTTCTTGATATATCATATTTCACACTTTGATTCAAGTGGGTTATGAGCTCCCATTTTTACCCCATATACAGATTGGATGCATGGTATTATCTCTACTCCTTTATATTGTCTAAGAGTTTCCCTGTGACATAATATATGATCTATTTTTGAGAAGGATCCATGTGCTGCTGAGAAAAAAGTGTAACTGCTTGATGTTGGGTGGTATATTCTATATATGTCAATTAAGTCTAGGTTATTAATTGTGTTATTGAGTTCTATAGTTTCCTTATTCAACTTTTGTTTGGAAGATCTGTCCATTGGTGAGAGAGGTGTGTTGAAGTCTCCCATGATTATTGTATGGTGGTCTATTAGACTCTTGAACTTGAGAAGAGTTTGTTTGATGAACATAGCTGCACCATTGTTAGGGGCATATATATTTATGATTGTTATGTCTTGTTGGTGTATGGTTCCCTTGAGCAGTATGTAGTGTCCCTCTTTATCCCTTTTGATTAACTTGGGCTTGAAATCTATTTTATTTGATATGAGTATGGACACACCTGCTTGTTTCCGAAGTCCATATGAGTGATATGATTTTTCCCAACCTTTTACCTTCAGCCTATGTATGTCTTTTCCTATCAAATGTGTCTCCTGTAGGCAGCATATTGTTGGGTCTTGTTTTGTGATCCATTCTACTAGCCTGTGTCTCTTAATTGGTGAGTTTAAGCCATTAACATTTAGGGTTATTATTGAGATATGGGTTGTTTTTCCAGCCATATTTGTTTATTTATGTTACTAAACATGGTTTGTTTTCCTCTTTGATTATTTTTCCCCCCTTTACTGTCCTACCTCCCACTGTTGGTTTTCATTGTTATTTTCCATTTCCTCTTCCTGTAATGTTTTGCCGAGGATGTTTTGAAGAGATGGTTTTCTAGCTGCAAATTCTTTTAACTTTTGTTTATCGTGGAAGGTTTTAATTTCATCTTCCATCCTGAAGCTTAATTTCGCTGGAAACACAATTCTTGGTTGGAACCCATTTTCTTTCAGTGTTTGAAATATGTTATTCCAGGATCTTCTAGCTTTCAGAGTCTGTGTTGAAAGATCAGCTGTTATCCTGATTGGCTTACCCCTAAATGTAATCTGCTTCCTTTCTCTTGTAGCTTTTAAAATTCTCTCCTTATTCTGTATGTTGGGCATCTTCATTATAATGTGTCTAGGTGTGGATCTCTTATAATTTTGCACATTCGGCTTCCTGTAGGCTTCTAGAATTTGGGATTCTGTCTCATTCTTCAAGTCTGGGAAGTTTTCTTGTATTATTTCATTGAATAAATTGCTCATTCCTTTGGTATGGAGTTCTATACCTTCCTGTATCCCAATGACTCTTAAGTTTGGTCTCTTAATGTTATCCCATATTTCTTGGATGTTCTGCTCATGGTTTCTTAACAGTCTTGCTGAGCTGTCTATGTTCTTTTCAAGTTGAAATACTTTATCTTCATTGTCTGATGTTCTATCTTCTAAGTGTTCTACTCTGCTGGTAGTATTCTCAATTGAGTTTTTAAGTTGGTTTATTGCTTCCTGCATTTCTAGGATTTCTGTTTGTTTTTTATAACCTCTATCTCCCTGTATAGTTGATCTTTTGCTTCTTGGATTTGTTTATGTAATTCATTGTTGAAGTGATCTTTCATTGTCTGATTTTGCTGTCTGATGTCTTCCTTGAGACTCCAGATCATCTGAAGCATGTATATCCTGAATTCTTTATCTGACATTCCATCTGCTGCAGCTATTACCTCTTCTAACGTTGAGTTGACCTGCATTGCTTGTGGTCCTTTCTTTCCTTGTCTCTTCATACTGTTCGCGTTCCTTTCTACTTGGTGAAACTGTTGTGCTATTGAATTTTCCTCCTATATATTTATATTGGTCTTGTATAGTTGCAAAGTCTCCCTCGCAGGCGCGGGCGGCGGCTCTGCCCATCCTCCAATTGGGGCAATGTGCCTACCACGCCGGCAGGCCACTGGGCCTGCTCTGCCGGTCGGTAGCAGTTCCGCCTACCTTGCAGGCGCGGGCGGCGGCTCTGTCCCTCTGAGGGCCGCTAGGCTTGTTCTGTCGGTGGTCGCAGTTCTGCCTACTTTGCAGGTGCAGGCAGCGGCACTGCCCCTCTGCAGGCCTCTGGGGCTGTTCTGCCGGTGGGTCGCAGGTCCGCCTACCTTGCAGGCTCGGGGGGGGGGTGGCTCTACCCTTCCTCACGCCACTGGGCCTGTTCTGTCTGTCGGTTGCAGGTCTGGCCTGTTCTGTTGGTGGTCACAGTTCCGCCTACCTGGCAGGCGCGGGGGGTGGGGGGCGGCTCTGCCCCTCAGCAGGCCACTGGGCCTGTTCTGTGGGTGGTCACAGTTCCATCTACCTTGCCGGCGCAGGGGGAGGGGGCAGCTCTGCCTCTCAGCAGGCCGCTGCTCCTGTTCTGCCGGTGGGTCGCAGGCCCGCCTACCTTGCAGGAGTGATTGGAAGCTCTGTCCCGCCACGGGCCACTGGGCCTTTTCTGTCGGTGGTCACAGTTCCACCTACCTGGCAGGCGCGGGGGGTGGGGGGCGGCTCTGCCCCTCAGCAGGCCGCTGGGCCTGTTCTGTGGGTGGTCACAGTTCCACACAACAAGCTCTTGTTTGAAATGAGCTTGTTGTGAAATCTGTTTCTCTCAACTGACAAGGGAAGACCTGACATGGAAGCCATCTTGAGGAGGCCACCTTGCAGTCTGCTGCTGCAGAAGCCTGCAAGATCATACAAGCACGGCCATAATGTCCCATCATGTGGCCCAACGTGTACCTAGTAGAACACAAATGCAAGAGTTATGGACAATATTGTACCCATGGTGATTCAAGTAAGAAATACAGAGGGGAGTGCAACTCACTAACCCTTTGAGTCTGGTGGCTCACGTGACCAGCTGAAGAGGTCATGAAACTGAACAAGTGGGTGTGAATACACTTAGGGACTAAGTGTGGGAAGGCCATGTTTGTGGGCAGCAGAGTGTATAAGACCCTTAGAGAGGTGTAACACCTGGGGAGGACTGGCTTTCTTGTCCTACAAATAGAATTCTAGGGAGATTCCTGAGATCCTGGCAGAGATTGTCATCAGCTTGGCACTAGGAATGTGTGTTCTCCAGGGAAGACAATACTCAACAAAGTCCTTAAGCTCTGATTAGACCTAAGCTCTAGCCACCGGAACATCACTACTAGGACTGTGCAGAAGCCCCACACTGTGCAGAAGCCCCACACTGAGTGCATCAATGCTGTCTGTCTGCACAAAACTGCAGTTGATAGTACTTCCCATTCCTTCCTATCTTATAATGGTAAGAAGGGAAACTGAAATCTATTTCAAACAACTTCAGTGTTAGGCCAATCCAGTGGGCAGCTTAGTGAACAACACAAAAAGAGGAAGGAGTTAACCCCCAACCAAGGTTGTGTCTCTTACTCTCAATACATAGCCCAAGAAGAAACAGAATGAAAGTTGAGCATAGGCACCAACATCCACCTTTATCAACACTTTGAAACACCTAAGTGGAGATAACTCTTTAAGTGTGCATGTGTGTATATGTTCTTGCTGGAGTGATTGGCTGGTAGACAGACAGACGGACATATATACATACATACATACATACATACATACATTTGTTTCTTTTTATCTCAGTTTTAGCATTTTTTAAAACATGTTTATTTTTCCTTGAATTGACCCTTAAGGGTCTGTTTTTGTCTTGTTTATTTTGGTTTTGTTTTGTTTCTTTTTTTACTTGTTTCTCTTTCTCTCCTTTTTTTTCTTCTCATAGTCAAATTCTCTTGTTCACTCTTTTTCTTTCCCTTTACTTTGTTTTATCTGTTTTTTCTCCTCCTTCTTCATAGCCATAACTGGCAACATCTTTTCTGCATTCTCTCTGTTCATGTTTTGAACATTCTAAATTGAGGAAATGACTCAATAATATCTTTAGTACCAGCTAACTCTTTTTTTTTCTTTACATAAATATACACATACAAAAACACTGACATAGAATTTCAAGATGCTTAATTTAAAATGTTTTTTATTCTAAGTAGAAATCATCAAGTCTCTCTAATCTGTCTTTCCCCCATATTAGGGAAACCAGCATGAGAAAGAGGTGGCTATGGAGAAGAAATTGTCAAATACCTATTGTCTGTTGCCCCAGTTCCAGTCCAGGAGAAGGATTTGTTAAAATGAGCTGAAATTTTTCATCTCCTTCTGGAATGTCATCATCAAGAATCATGATTTCTATATTTTTATGTCTTTCTCCATCAGCAAAATGAAGAATCTGGTTAAAAGTTAAAAGGAATAATATCATTTTGAAAAACATTTTTTTAATAAAATGTTTGGGATGAAACACAATATAGGTGCAAATACAAAGAATTAGCTATCTTAATTTATTTAAATTGACAATGTTTTATTTGAAAAGTAAAATTTATGGAGGAAAAGAAGAAGCTGAACATCTGATTAAGGGGAAAAAGTTACTAAGAAACAAAGTAAAAAGTTTTTAAAACACTAAGTGTTTCAGTAAGTTAAAAACAATGAAATAAAGGATAAAAATTTCAAGATAAGAAACACTTTGAGAAGGTCATCTAATGATATGAGTTCCTTAACACAAGATCTGTGTTCTCCAATATCAATTGTTACAATAGAAAAATTAATCTGCACAGAATAATCGTTACAATAAGACTAAATTTATATTACTTACTAAAATAATAAAATTATTTGCCACATGAAAATCTGTTCTAATTTACTGTGAATTAGGTTATATAATAGTGTACTAATTTATGTAGGACATAAGTCACTATAATTCTCAGGGAACAGTAATTTTAAAATAATGCACAAAGGTCGTCTGGGATAGATGTTAAGACCTACCACTGGCGTGAAGATGTAATCCAGCCCCAGTTGTGCTTCCATATTCTGGGCGTACACAAACAAGGACACATGGCCAAGAGCCTCTCCACTTCTGTGCGCTACCAACATTACACTTCCATGGGTTTCATTTACTTCAAATCTGTAAGAACAGAAAGAGAAAGTAAAGAAAGTAATTTTTTTTTCCTATTTTGAACTTCTATTTGGTAGATGGTAAAAGATCTGAAGCTTGGAGAAGGGCTCACAGAGCCATGGGTTCACCTGCTGTGCTGCCATTGGATCATCCCTCGGGCACCATCATTGGCATCAATAATGATTTGTGCAGTCAAGCCTTCTGAATCTGAAAAATATGCAGACATATTTAAATAAATACAAATTTATTACTATAAATTTTGTATAAAGTTTTATTATTAAACTTTAAAATTTTATTATGCTTGATCTAGAATTTAAAGATAGTCCCTCTGAGATTATACAATTCCTAATATGAATATTGCTGATATTACTCAAAAGAATTTAAGACTACAAAGGCACCAATGCTAATAACATCTGAAAAAGACCACTTTGCTGACAAGAGCCACTGACTTATAAAACTTAAATCAACCACGAACAGCATGAAATAATAAGCAACTAAGGTTATGGAGCTTTTCCTATTATTTTAATAAAATTTAAAAACTCGGTACCTCTGTTCTGTAACAGAACTGTTTCAGATGGGAAGGAGTAGAGAGGCAGAAAAAAGAGGTAAAAGAAATGAGAAGAGAAGGGCAGGCAAGGAGTGGCACAGAGACAAAGACAGGTCTGATAAAGAGACACAAGGACAAAGGATACACAAACCAGAAAGCAAGAAAGATGGGGTTTCTATTAAGGAGAAGAAGAAGGAGAAGGAGAAGAAGAAGAAATCTTTGTAGAATGAAAAAAAGAGACTAAGGTTGAAGTGAATTTCTCTTATCATTTTTATTTTGTACTCTGTCCATCAAGCTTAATACGTTACCAATACCTGCTATTCAGTCTTGAAATATTAACTAACCCTGTTACTTATGTTTGTTTGATTGTTTTTTAATATTTGCTCTTTTCCTTAGTCTAGGTTGCCTGTGACAGCTGCACAGGTAGAGAAAGGAGTAGGGGTTTATGCACTTCTCTCTAGATTGAAGAGAGCAATACTGAGAGAATATAAAACCAAGAGAGAATATAAAACCAGGATTTGTGCCCATCAGAGTATCCCAGCTCTGCCATTTCATAGCTGTGTGATTATGGACATATTATTTAGTTTCTCTTAGTCTCAGTCCCCTCATCTATAAAATGGGAAGATGTAAGTAACATCAGTTTGCCACTGAAAACATATGAAATAGGAGCATCATAATGCATTGAACATCAGTCATATACTCAAACCACCTGTAATGTGAATATCACAGAAACAGAAAGTATTTTATTAGTTTTCTTAGTATGAAAAATGTTTATCACGTAATCAGACTTGATGGAACAGCCTAGTCATTGCACTCTTCTATTTTTTTGCAAAAGATCTGAAATTTGTCAAACAATAATATGTAGGAAACTAATTACTTCCTTTCAGTGTTTTCAAACTTGTCACAATGAGTCTCTGATGCGAATAAGGAATGCTGTTCCTCAAGCCACTGGGCTTGCCCAGGCTTCTCCTTCACCAAGTTAATGTCCCCTGGATGCAATATTCTTTCTACCCTCATGATGGGGCCATGGAGCTGGGCACCCTCTGTACTACTCACTCCCACCCCCTAGTGGGCCATCACACACACAGGCTTCAGACAAAATTCCTTAATACTAAAACATCCAAACTGCAAACAGGAGTTTTTGCTCCAACATGGGAAGTCATCTTTTTAAAGGAATCTACATAAATCTATACCAAAGTTCAAATTTTACCTTTCAGTCTGTAATGAATTAACTGAGTCTTTTCTAAAGCATGAAAAGAAAAAGATCAAAGGTCAAAAAAGAATCAGAGAACACAACAAACAAACAAAAGATCTCTTACCAAAAAGAAAATAAAATCACCTGAAAGTTGGAGAACTAATGAAAATAGCTAATTAAATGTTTAAAGAATATGAAAATAAAATGCCTTCCCAAGAACTAATTCTATTTTGAGGATTACAAATTTGCTTATAAAATAGTTGTAAAATGTAAAGCCCACCACATAATAATTCTTAATGTGTTTATACTGTCCAATGCCCAAAACCACAATAATGCTGCTCTCTAAAATAAATGTAAAAAGCTCACATAGTTGAAATGAACAAACACACTTCTGATTAAAAATGAAGTTACTTTACTTCACTAGAAGGAAGTAAAATTAAACAAGCAAACAAAAGAGACAACATACCTAGTCTTGGAGGAAATGAGGTTAAAGGGGCCATGATAAGTTCCACATAGGTTAAATTCACCAGGAAATATTCTTCTAGTTCAGGTATATCATCCTACAAAAATTACATACATTAAATTCCTTTAATTACAAATCAAAAGCTATTTTTAAGTTGTCTTACAAATATATATGCATCAACAGTATACAGAGTATCAAAATGAAATTGCAGCAGAAAATATCTAAATTGGAAAAAAATAGAAGTATTAAACTTATACCTAGCTGTATAGGTTGAACAGTATGAAACCACTTAATAATATATTTTCAGCCTAGACCTACATAATACACAAACCAATTATATAAATATATAAACCTGGTTATTTTAAATGTAACATGAACAAAACATTTTAAACTCCATAATATCCAATATTTAGAATGAGGGATAGAATGATATCATTATAATGTATACACACACACACACACACACACACATACACACACACATTACATATATGCTTTTCAATGAAAGAGATCTTCAAAATTCTATAATTTTAGGTAAGTTGCTTAAATATTAAGGCTCCAATTCAATCATCTTTATAATGGAAGAAATAATAGCTACTTTGGGGTGAGATTGTAATAATAATTTAAAATAATGTTTGTGGAGTACATGATCTACAGACAATACTTTTAAAATGATAGTTATTATTATTAATCATTAGACCACATAATAACCAATGAAAAACAAGGCTGGTGCCCAAACAGCAAAATCCATGTCAGGAGGGACCAGCCAGCCACTAATAGTTACACACTGTGTAACTATTGCTTTTGTTTATCAAACCTGCAGTGTTTTAATCTAGTGCTACTCAAAGAGCAGAAAGGGTTGCAAAGAGCTAGGGAGAAAGAAAAGTGAAACTGAAAACCCATGTTTAAAAATTTAGACTATAGGGGGAGGAAAAGAATGGCTATATATTTTCTGTTTTTAAAACTAACATAACTAAGGAATAATTCACTTACTTAAATTCAGTTACATTAACAGATGAGACATTTGAAAGATGACTTGCCTGTGATTTTTGTCAAATCCTGTGTTACCTGTTACATATTGATATAATATTACCTTTTATTTTATGGATTTGGAATTCTCATAATGCTACCATAGCTCATAGTGCCAAAGAAATCATAAAAACTACTCACTTCAGATGGCTTATCCTACTTATAAATTCATAAAAATAAAAGACCCTGAGAGAATAGAACCTTTTAAAAATGGAATCTCCAAAATACATAGTAAACTGAAAAATATTTTTCAAATGAAATATTCATTCTCCACTACATACCGTCCCCTAACCTCACTATAATACTATTTTTATAAACCTCTTGGAAATGTATTTTAGTAGCTTAAACACTAAGCTCTAAATCAACATGGGAGTTCACAATATGAAAAATTATTTAAAGTACAATTTCAGCCACCAATGATTACTTTAAGCTTGACCATAATCACATTTTATGGTATCAGTCTCTAGTGAGGTTCCTGCTGTCTCTAATTTAACAGGTTCTACCCACAAAGACTGTGACCTACATGGATTTGCTGGTCCAATAAATTGTTTGGAGTAATCAAAATGCTCCTTTGGAACCTCTTAGGCCAGTTTCTTCCTATAGGGAACTGCCCTGAGGAAATTCTCTTTTTCACAAGATGTTTCTATAAGCAAAAGCACAAAAGCAGGATAGCCCATCTAAACAGGAGGAGAAACTTCTGTGTGATTTGAAAAAAAAAAATCATGAAAAATAATAAGCTGATTTAAAGGAACCAGAAGAGGGAATGAAACAGAAATGAATTCAAGAGTTTCTGGAGATTATAGTTGTAAACTATACCAACTTTATATTAAAGGCAGAGTAATGTTTTAATATAGAGAGAATTAAAAATTATCACATAATCTTAGCTTTCATGAAATTCATTACTTAAAAAGGGCTTGCATGTTTTGCTTGCTGACTTGTACTTCTACTGGTTGGTAGAAATCTCTTCCTGGAAATATTAATATGTTTTAGGATATTCTCTCAGGTTCTACTTTGGGGTTACTTTAGGTTTGATATAATCACAGGAAAGTAACAAGAGAGTTTTACCTCAAGTATAGTGATGTTGATGGCTGCTGCTGTTTCCCCTTCTTCTAAAATCAGAAAGCCAATTACTGGGACAAAATCAACTTCTGCTTCTGCAAGGTTTCCCTCAGTTTGATTCTTCAGACTCAGCATTCCAGGAACCGTGGTATACGTAACATTGATAGCTCCTAATTGAATTGGTTAAAAAAGGTTTTGTAGTTATTTAAACTTCTAAATAAGTCTCACTATGTCCTCAGATCTTTCCTTTAGCAACTGCAGTAACTTCTACTGTTGTCCTCAATTCCTTGGCCTTTCCTATTTCCACAGTCTTTACCATGTGAGGATCAGCGATGGCCCTTTCTGGGTAAGGTATACAAACCCCACCTGGGGACTCTGAGTTTGTGTAAAAGAAAATAAAATTGATGATGTGCTAGTCATGAGCCTAGACCTAAGGTTTTCACTTGCTTTCTTGTGCTTCTACTTGTCCAGGAGAAGAATAAAAAACATGGAGAAGAGCCAGCCCAGCCAAGCCCAGTGTTATCAGTGGACCCACATGCCACCTCCTACCACATCCTGCTGAGATTTGTTACACATCATTTCTGTGCAAATAGATAATTCCCTTGGAATCTTTTAAAATTAAAGAAGTTATAAAGTACTATCCCCAAACTAATAAATATTATTTTTTTCCTTCCCTGATTTATTTTAGTAATGGCTTTATCCACACAAAAATACTTCGAAAGCCCTTGCCAGAAACCCCATTCATTCTAGAGCAATACAAACCTAGAGATCCAAATTCTCTGTTGATGAAAAGCTGAATTGTTATGTTAGCCTCCTGCAGCAAGACAAATCTTGATGAAAGAGCAAAATTTAAAACTCCATGTGGTTCATCACTGGCTTCCACTGTCAAGACAGCTGCGTATCCTTGAGTATCAAGCAGAGCAATTCCTGCTGGTGGAACTCCTAAAAATATCAGGGACCCCATTAGGAAACCTAACAGAAATTTGGCATTAACATCTAAATATGTAAAACATATCCCCACTCTAAAGCATTTTAAAGTCACCAGAAAGGGTTCTCCTTTGTCACGTCTCTACAGAAATCTCCAGGTGACAAAGATCCTGCATTCCATCCACCCTTCCAGAAAGTAAATCATGAAGTTTTCACTTGGCATATTATTGTCATTACTGATTGTATTTGTTATCTGAATTTCAGAAATGGAGTAGAATCTAGGGAACGTACCTAGATGTCTACTCAAAAAATGACTAAATTTGAATTGTTATATACTATAATTGGTCTAAAATCCAAATGAGTTTGTTGACATAAAATTAATTTCAAAATTTTCTACCCTTGAAATGTATTTCATTCCATAAATAACTATTTAGCAAAACATTTTAGAGCTTTTTTCACTTGTCCACAAAGTATTCCCAATCCTGTGCTAGTGTTCTTTGGATCTAACATTTCTAAGGAACAGACAATATTTAAAGTAACATTTTTAAAATTGATATTTAATTGTTAGAAATACAGAAAGCAATACCGTTTCTTTTTTGAAAAGAAAAAGTTCAAAACTGAATTCTGAACTACCTTGTGTCCTGACATCGTACAGAATGACTTGATACACTTCTTTTTCCTCAGGAATGTTATCATCCAACAAATGCACCAATATTGTTTGATTCATTGTCCCCTAGGTCAAAAAGAAAGAAACCCATATTTGTTTTGTTACTGACCATAAATGATCTCCTCATTGTATTAACCTTATAAATCATGCATACAAACATATTTTCATTAAACAAACATGTCTGTAAATTAATGAAATTAATTAAATAATGAATGTTGACATGAGAAACCAGACTTAAAGCAGAAAGGAGCTAACTGTGGAAGATTCTGAAGGCTGAGCTAATTAATGTAAATCTTATCTAATGCGCACTATTAAAACCTTCACACAAAGCAGTAAGTTGGGGAGATTTTTACAACAGTGGTGAGTAGGAAAACAATGGAGCAGGGGAAAGAAGATACCAGTATTGCAGGGATGTCAGTTACACAAAGTACGCTGTAGTGCCCAGGCAGAGGTAATAACTATTTGGCTTAATACTCAGAAAGTGAAAATGAAAAGAATGCATACATCATCAAAGAAGAATTCATACCAATGGGTGTGAAAAGAGAGAATGATGATAACTACAATACAGTGCTGTTGATTTCTATCCCATTTTCCTCAACACTTTTTTTTTCCTAGAAATTTATGGTGAAACTTTTCTTTGTGGTATTACCTCAGGAAAGAAGAGTTGTCCAGTAAAGTTAGCAATATTGAATTCTATATTTTGTCCAATAATTTTCCAGTTAACAGTAACATTTCCTCGCCCAGGAGGTGTTCTTATCACATGGAATTGCAACATTTCTCCTGCAAGTGAAATGTCCTCATTGATAAGTACTTAAAGGAAAATGAGCATTTACATTGGAACTCAACAAAACCCAAATCTCAAGCATGCAACTACTGCAGCAACTTTTCCAAGAACATTACAAAGCTGATCTGTTTTGTATTCTCTAGAAGCCTTATACATGCTTATTGCTTATTAACACTGGGATCCCACTTCTAAATACTCATTCAGGAAATTCAGTATATAAAATTTATAAGAGCACATGCTAAAATGGGAAACACAAGCTAGTATACACTCCAAAACATGCACCAGAACATGAATGTTCTGTAAGTCAAAGAAAATAATAAAGTCCTCATGATCAAAACTATAACATGAGCAAATTCTTTCTTCACTTTTCAAAAGGAAACAAATTCCTTACACCGATATGCAATGTGATTTTGCACAATGCATGCATAAAAATGCTTGCAAATACCTGAAAATCACATTTCTTTAGATTGTAACTTACATATACCATCAATGATTTTGTTTTATAGAAAGAAATACAAAGGAAAGGTGTCAAATCTGTATATCAATGTCTGTAACTTCATCAAAGTCACAGTCATTTGGCCCAGATAACTGAGTATTTTAGATACTTCCCATTCCTGATATTTATCTCTATGTATCATTTTATAAAACTGGAGAAAATCATAAGAATTTCTTTTTCATATTGCTAGAAGTGGGAAGAAAACTGCTAAGAATTAAGCTGATGACTGTGACTTGCTGAAAAAATACTTGATTCACTAGTTTTACATGATGATGAATACAAGTTAATGTATTCTAATAAAAAATAAAGAATACTGTTATAGAAAAATAAACAGAGCAATGCTTAAAAGGTTTAAAAGAACGCATCCTTATTCAAATTTTATACCACATACATATAATGGAAATCCACAACTATGCATTTAAAAAGTCACTTTTACTTAGTTATACAAATAGGTTTGCCTACAACATTAGCAAGTCCTTCAACATTTTTTAAATAAAGGGAGTAAAGACAAAACAATAAAATGTAATATTTTATCAAATTACTACAGTTTATATTTCTGAAGATAATAAAATGAATACATATTTCTAATAGAAATTTCTTAAATAAAAATATCATGGATTTATTAATTTAGAAACTATTATATTAATTGCTAAAAACAATAATTTTTCATACTAAATTTTAACACATAAATTTAATCTAATGAATCATTTTTGTAGAGTGGAGAATACATATAAAAAAGATAAAAGCATCACAAAAATGTTTTAATTCATTTTAAGTATTTCAGTACAAACATTAGTACTCTAAGTATTGGCTTTTCCTTTTCTTTTTTTTTCCTTAGCACATAAGTACTGCAAGTGAAGAATCAAATTCTCTAAAATATTAGGTATAACAGAAAAAAGTGTACAATCAGCCATAATTGTCAGCCTACTATTTAAATTTTTTATTTGTATAACTCATTTGAATAAAATATAGACAGACTGTACTATCAAACTCTGGAGTTTCTCTATTGTACAAATTTCTTATAGAGCAACTTGTTGAAAAATAAGTTTGTTACTGAAAAGTATAGGAAAATCCTTGAAGTTAAGATGTTTCACCTGCAGTGTTGTCTGCTTACACAAATAAAAAGGTCCTAAAGTTGCAAATCTAGTAATAGTTCAAAAATAAAATTATGACAGTTTGATTAAATGCAAAAAATGCAAAGAAAACACAAATAGCAAGAAAATAAAATGTAGGTCAATAAAGATCCATGTTGAAGGGAGACTTAAAATAATAAAAAAAAATTATGGCTGAAATTTGTATATGAAGATTTGGGAATCAATATTTCATTCTGAGGTTAAAATAAAAGTGAAATGTTGAAGGGAGGAAAAAAAGTATTCCCACAAACTTACTATGTGGAAAAATATGCAGTATAACACTACTTTATAAATTTCATTTCTGAAAATTTAACAAGTTGCCATAAAAGTAACTTTCAAGAAAACATTGCAAGAAACAAAATTTGAAGTATGGTACAATGGGGCACACACATATACACACACATCCAGATAAGTGAAAAGTAAACAAAGTATTTCTTAAACACATAATCTTATAAACCTATTGCAAATTTATCACGTCAATAGTAAGAATAGTGTGCAAATTTTTCTAAACAATAAAATGTTGAAATTGATTCTTCTTCTTAATACAGACACCTAGAAGCTAGGCCTATTTAAAATGCATCTGGGAAAAAAGCAGTGGATATACCACAGGGTCACCTTCTACCAAAACACAGAGTTGACCAACAAAGTTAAGGGAAAACAGGAAGACTCAGAAACAAGTGCTTAGTCTTCAAAATCTAAGATGAAGGACAGTAGGAAAATTCTTGAGAGTGTATGTTCAAGTTATCCCATAAGAAACATTTTCCTAGGTGCTATACTGCCTTCTGGTTTTTCCCAAGAATGAAAGTTGGAGGAACACCCTCAACTATCAAAGTCTGACCACATTACTTGAAAATCATCTTGATATAAAATTCACGAAGTCCACCCAAAGTGGACAACACATTTCAAGCTTCAGGCAAAAGATCTATCAAATAGTGTCTAGACCTAGCCTAATACAGATAAAGAAAATAAAACAAAAATGCATTTTAATAACCCTGAGTGTTTCATCCACTTATTCCTCAAACCAAGATTCTTTTTATAAAGATAAATGGCAACTATGAGGTATATATAATAATAGAAAACAAAATAGAAAAATAGCTTTGTCAATAAATGATACATGATATATATGGATCACCCAAATTTATTGACTCTACAATGAAAAGAAAATGGTTAAATATTATAGGAATATGAATAATTTAAATCATAGACTGCCAATGTGAATACTTTTAAAAAAACAATTTCTAATATAGCATGCCAATATTGGTATTTTTAAAAATAATTACATTTCTTATTCAAATCTTTGTGTAAAAAAGCTTCATGCTGTCTCTAAGAAAAGAAAAAATTTTAAATCTATTGAACATGACATGATGATTATGATGCTGCTGAGTTGGGTGAGTGAAAAATCTAACACAGGTTTATAAAAAGTACATTTATGCATGATTTGCAATCACAGTAAAGTCCATTGTCTCATATTTCTAAATTCTGTCCATTACATTTGAAAAAAGTAATATTTACCACTGGGCATCTCTCCAATTGCTTTAGGACAAAACATAGAAATAGGATTCCTCAGAATTCAATACATAGCAATTCCTTCTTGTAAATCACAAACGGATTTCTAGAGCCCAAAGTCCAGTATCGTCTACATTTTAAATCTAATCACACAAATGAAGCTCCAACACCAGCCAGAAGCAATGTTGAGATTGTTGAGAGCCCACACAGCACGAGCTTTTACTCTATTTTTTTAACAGTTTTCCTTGAAAAATCACCATGAGGTTTTCATTAGTTCACTTTAGTAAACTCATCTTAATATACATTTCTCTATGAAGTTTTTGTGGTAGTATTATAAAGAATACATACATAAAATACTGAATTCTTGAGGTTCATTAAGATTTATTATGTTCATTTTCAAAATCATTATGATTTTGAAAAAATAAAATTAATTTAGGCTGTCAAAAATGGCTTTATTGGAATAAAAGGGGAAAAGTAAAAAATAAAAATTACCCTTCACTTTCATTTGAAAGATATAAAATATCTATGGAGTGCTCATGCAAGCAATAAAAACAATTCAGTGTTTTCTGTCCCATACCAAACACATAATCATACACTGGTATGCTGATGTAAATTTTTAACCAATAACCCACTTGGACCATGTATTTTAATTACAAATCCATTTTCCTCTTTGTGTCTCCTGCAGTACTCGGCTGTTGATAACTGAAGATACCAGAATATGGTTTTTAGGTGAAGTTCATCCAACCCAACGAGAATACAGGTGCTGGTGTCTGCGATTTCTCCAAGATCTTTGGTGCCCAGAAGGAGAGCCTGGTTTCTTTAGAAACCATGCATTACTATCATCACCACTAAACACACACAGGATGCACGTGCACAACACTAGGTATCTTACAGTTAAAATCCCCTTAAGTTAATGCTGGAAATTCATATTTTTTTTATTTTTTAAAACTGAAATTCCAGGACTAGGGTTGTGGCTCAGTGGTAGAGCACTTGCCTCATATGTGTGAGGCACTGAGTTCAACTCTCAGCACCACATATAAATAAGTGAATAAAATAAAGGTCCATCAACAACTAAAAAAATATTTTCTTAAAAAAATGAAAAATTCCATCATATCACAGCAAAGCACATATCTAGTCTAGCTCTAAATTCCTTCTTTCATCTAACCTTTCCTGGCCTTAGCTTTATTTGTAGCCTCCATACCATCAACACTTAAATTCTCTATTTATACAGTATCCCCTGCCCAAGTTTCTTCAACAAAGCAAAAGCAAATTCAATATACTCCTCTTTAATTTATTTTCTCCAGTGTTACTTCTTTCCTTGTTCTCATGGCCAAAGAGCAGTGCTTCTCAAAATTTTATACTATAAAAAGGCTGGGGTTGTAGCTCAGTGGCAGAGCGCTTGTCTAGCATGTGTGAGGTACTGGGTTCCATCTCCAGCACCACATAAAAATAAATAAATAAACAAAATAAAGGTATTTTTAAAAATAGCAAGAGAACACATGGAATATAAGCCCATAGATAATGCTTTTGGATATCAAAGCAAAGTGAAACTGGTATAAAAGTTTATCTCATCATAGACCATTAGCACTCTGTGAACTGGAATAGGCCTGAGGACACTGCTTTTTTTTTTTTTTTTTTTTAAGTTGTAGATGGACACAATCCCTTTATTTTATTTATTTATTTTTATATAGTGCTGAGGATCAAACCCAGTGCCTCACACATGTTAGGCAATCGTTCTACCACTGAGCCACAACCCCAGTCCGAGGACCCTGCTTTGAGGGCACTCCCCAAAGGCCACTAAATCCTTTAGTTTATCCTTAGATATCATCTTTCTATCCCCAATTTTTCTTTACAATCCATCCAGAGCTGCTACTATTTTCTCTAGCCCATCTGAAAATCTTACTTGTTGGTTACATTAGTATGAGACCCATTGATTACTTCCTTATTCTGGTAACTGATGAACATTTCTCCCTAGTTTCTTCTGTCCCCTCTTTGTCCTCTGAGCTCTTACTTTCCCAGTATCTTAGCTTGCTGTTCTACATGATTACGTCCTTGATAACTTGTTTTCTCCTATGTTCCCAAAGATTGTATTTTCCTGATTTCAACTATCTCTGAAAATTCAACTTCTATCTCTGAGATAGAATTAAAGTCTCTTACCAAATTCTTCCTTTCACATGGACATTACTACTCACATTCATTACTCTTTCAATTAAAATCACTTCACATATTTATCAAAAAATCCTTGCATTGTCAGGTTCTACAGCAAATACAAATTCAAACAAAACAGTCTCTCCTCACAAGGTGCACTGTAGTGTGGGCTTTGGATCCAGCGCAGCTGGGTTTAAAGCTCCACCTCTGATCTCCAATTCAATTTCCTTATGTAAAAATCTTGTGTATTCAATTATACCCAGTTCATAGGACTGCTGCTAAAATGAAGTGAAATAACTGATGTGGAGCAACTGTCACACAGAAAATACCCCATAAATATTCTTGTTGTCATTAATATTAACTATCCCAGCAGTGACATTTTATTTCTACTATGTTACCAAAAAATTTTTGGTAGTTAACGATTTGTCTTTAGATTGGGTTTATGGCAATTTGTTAGTCACTCTTAATCATTATTGCTAAGACAACATGCAATTCTACACCATTAACAATAGTAAAGAGTGTCAGAAAATGGCTCAAACATTTGCATAAATAATTTCAATAAACTTGCAAGTTGGGAGAATATACTAAGGAGACAGATGGTAAACACTGAAATGCATTCAGTTTCCAGCACAGTCACAAATTAGTTATTTGACCTTGTCAAGTCATTTGATTTCTCAGCTTTGTTTTCCTCATCTGTAGAGATCCATATACATGATCTATATCCTTTTTATTTCTTAATTCTTTAAGATAAAATTATTTTTTAATTCTAAATACAAACTATGTGCTGAAACAATCTGTAAATTTTTTTTGAATCTCAAAATAGACTTATTCAAAGACAAAAAAACAAAACAGTTGTAATATCTAAAACACAAAAATTAGCCTATATATGATATGCAATAAAAAATAAAGATTCAAGAAAATTACAGTGTTTCAAGACAAAAAAAATAGATATTATATAAGATTTTCCAGTTTGGCACTCTTTATAAAACATACAAAAACAATATAAAATCAAGGCTAAAATGTTCACTGATTTTAATCTAGTACTTGTTTTTAACAGGGAGCCAATATTTTACTGTTTCATAGTAAAAGCTACTAAAAAGCATATACTACATTTGCCAAGAACTGTGCCAAGCACTTTACACTTATTATAAGCTCATTTAATCCTCATGAAGAAACCTATGAAGTAAGTGATATTTTGCCATTTAACAGATGAAAAACCTGGACATCCCACACCAGTGGAGAATGGCAAGCTGGAACACAGTATCATTCTGTAAGCCTCCTACATCTAGTTAAGCAGTGCACTAAGCCTCCTCCCAAACATGTCCCGCTTGGATGAAAACACATAGTTCAACAAAATAATTAAAGGAAAAAAATCACAAGCTTTAAAACACTAGGCAAAAAATGATACCCATAGAAAAGGAAATGAATGTGCTCAAAAAAAAGAACCCACCTTCATGACCAATGACAGATCTGGAAGCAGTCTGAAAGCTAACAATTCCCGCCACATTGTCATTGGCCAAAATGTCCACTCTCACAGTGTCGGAACTGGGCAAAATTCTACTTCCTCCTTCAGTGTACACCAAACTAACTATGATGCTTTCATCATCCTCTGGATCGGAATCATCCAGAATGGTTAAAATGGCTGTCTTTTTGGTTTCACCTATAAAAAAAATATTAATGGAATTAAAAACGAAAGTTAAGAAAATCACCAATGTAGAGAACTCAGAAAGGCCCCAAATAATCTCTACCTTAAAAACGGAAGTAAAAAATAATGTGAGTTCATTATAATAGCTCAGTATTTGGGGCAATATTAACACCATTAAAATCAAATTTTCTTTGTTCATCTATATATATTTTTTTACACATAAAACACCATAAATATTCATTAATGTGTAGAAAAGAACATTATGAGTTACTAAAAAGTTAAAGGGTAGAATTATTTCAAAGAATCATAGCTTTATTTCCTGGTCTTTAAAAAACAATGACCTAAGTAGAGAATAAGCTTTAAAAGCATTTTATATCTAAGAACAGTTCCTTTAAAGACAATGGGGTCTCATTCTCATTCTGGCATTATTGTGGAAAATTTTTAATCAGGTATTCAACCTAACACCTCCCTGAAAAACCAGAAGCACATAGGGAATTGTGATCAAAATGGCAGAATGGGATAGGGGCAGGAAATGGATGACAAATACTGAGTAAAAGAACCAGCATGAATAAGATAAGTCTTTGGGTAATTAGACAATGTCAAGTACCAACTTCTAGGATGTAGAGCACTGTGGGAAGCAGGCAGAAAATAAATTCAAAGGCAGGCAGGATGGCCAGAGGGGCCTAGTAATTTGCTTTGCAATTTGATCTAGGACCCCAGTAGTAGATAGGGCACCAGTGAGCATCCTAAAAGCAAATACTGCATCTGTGGTTCAGCCCATGGTGTCCCAATTTACTTCCTCCCCACTCTAGGAAGAGGATAAAAGAGAGTAAAAAAGAAAAGTTAGGAGAAAGCAAATTAAATGCTGATGTTCTTTCCCTCCTGATCCTGATGCAGTGATGAGATTGCCTCAAGACAGTAGATAGTATCTAATAATCTAAGTTAGCTATGAAATATAGTCCATTTTATGTGATGCAAAAATTATAATTCAAGAAAATAATAATTTATATAATGCTATTACTCTGTATGATAACTTTCTTTGTAGTTTGCAGAGCCAACAGAAAATCTAAATTTTTATCACCACTCCATCCTCATTACATTTTCATTATTTCTTTTGAAACAAGGGAAAAATGTTATCAATTACCAAACTACCCCCTTCCATCAATTACATCATATTCCCCTATTCCCCAAGTCATTTGCTAAGCCATTACGAAAATGTTTTCTACTATTTTAAAACCATATTATAAAACATAGTGCTGACTAGATGCTTCAAAAAGTTTACCTTTTCAAAGGATGCCTGTACCATACCCCTAACTAGTTTATGAAAAAAAGTGTTTGCGTTAAAAAGTTAAACAACAGATATAATGGGCTGATCCTAGATATGGAACTATGAATTAAGATTTATTTCCAGGCTGGGGTGGTGGCTCAGTTGTAGAGCAAATGCCTAGCAAATGTGAGGCATTGGGTTCAATCCTCAGCACCACATAAAAATAAATAAATAAATAAAGGTATTGTGTCTGACTACAACTAAAAAAAAAAAAGTTTTAAAGATTTATTTCCTTCACTTCATTGCATATTGTGAGGATCTTATGAGTAGTCACTACTTTTTCAATCAGGAAAACACTTTATTAAAAAAATTTTATGGAGTCTATAATTGCCCAAAGCAGGATTTCAACAATGATTTCAGTAAAAACTTTCCCACACCCAATTAAACTAAATACCTTTGTTTTGTTTATTTAGTTTTTTATGTTTGTTTGTTTGTTTTTAATGTGGTTCTGGAAATCAAACCCAGTGCTTCACTCATGCTAAGCAAGCACTGTACCACTGAGCCACAACCCCAGACACCAATTAAACTATTTTAAACATATGAACTTTTCTGATCTTAAATATTAGATGATTGGACTAGTCCTTTAAAAAAAATCAGTGAATCTGACCCTAATTCTAATTTGTTGACCATATTATATATAATTATAATACTGATAAAAATTTTTAAATCCCACCTAAGTTTAAGAACAGAATTATAGATTAATTTACACTGTTTAATTTAATGTGAATGTGGTCACCAAATTTTATGCTATTTAACTTTTAAGTTATTTTCATTGACGATTTATCCCGACTTGTCTAGTGTATTTGAAAATGCTTACACATTTGCCTAGGTAGTACTGCCTACCCATATAGTGGTTTTAAGTACATAACATTCTTGTAATTTTTCTTACAAAATTAAAACCTGCCTTATGGTTGCCTCTAAAGGCATTGCTATCATGGATAAATGAATAAAATTCACATATTCCCTGAAAATCGATAAACACTATAATCAATAAACTATACTATTCAATAACTAAAAAGATACATGCAGAGTCATGTCTACCTAAATATGTCACATCAATCATTAATAAGCTAATCAAGTCCTATTTTTTCCAAAACCATACTATACTTCTACAAGTTAGCAAGAATATGCATACAGGAATACACATATTAGCAAGAATTGTCTTGAACATTATCCAAAAAATTGACTCTAATGACCTTACCAGGGAAAACTGAAATCCATTTAGAACCATGACTCACCTTCAGCAAAAGTCAGAATGTCTCCAGCACCTATAAAATCTAAACCTTCAGTAGCTGTTCCACCAACAACACGCCATTCAACAGTCACCTGACCTAAGCTGCCTCCTGTCCTGTGGATCACCAGCTCCACTGAGGTCTGAGGCTGCTCCTGAACTTTGACAAACAAGCCATCTTCGGAGGTATTGGGACTAATACTATAAATCACAAACACTCCAAAGGCATCACCATTTAGTGCTATGGTAACTGTAGAAGTATTTGGCTGTCCAATGGTTGGCTGATTTTCAAAAGTGGCTGTGATGTTCATGAGATGAACTTCAAGGAGAGAAATTAGGAAACTCTCATCCATCTCTGGAAAATCATCAGGAAGAATAGAAACTGTGAGATTTGCAATTTCATCACCTTCCAGCATTATGGCCCACTGCCTTGTCACAGGCTCATAGTCACTACCAGCCACAGCTTGACCACTAAAAAGAGATGCTACCCTGGTCATGTTTTTCTTGTAGGTCCAGAAGTCTGAATGATTGACAGATGGGTTGATGGAGGATGTCATCCAAAAACACTGAGGACCCTCAGAAGCACTGAAAAATGAAAACGCCGAGCAAGCATGTTCTTTGAGGCACAGAGTGGCACAGGTGTACTGGGGCTCCCCCGCTGCAGAGACATTCACCCAAGTTCTCCAAAGTGGGTCAGGCACCCCTTGAATTGGTGATTCATAGTAGGACAGTAAATCTTCACCTTCCTCAACTGCAAGAGCCACTACATCAATGTCGGAAGTACTGTAGAACAACAACAGCTGCCCAAAGTGCCCTCCACTAAAAGACGGAGGGACAATTAAGACAGGTTAAGCACTCAAAGTAATCTGCATATTGTACAAACAAAAGAGCAGTGCTGATTGTGGTTTTTCTTTTTTTATGTTTAAAATAATAATACAAACACAACATGCTTCTTAATTGCATGTCTTCAAACATTTTTTTCTTAGGTAGGGAACTTTTGCTAGTTTTCAATCAAATAATGATTTTTTAATAATATTTACTTTTTAATTGAGCTATGAAAATATCTTGCAAGATATGCAAATGGTATCAATTTCAGAATTTCCAAGCAGAATTAGAAAATGAGTTTTAATTACTAGGTTTTACTGAAGATAACAATAATAACAGTACATTTGGAAGAAATGTAATGACTTGCTCTAAGGTCCTTCAATCCTACATTATCTGTTCCTAAAGAAGCTCAGTGTAAACTATGCTGCCTTCAAAAAGAAATGCAGGAAAAAAACAGAATCTGAAAATCAAGCACTTCAAACAACATCTGAGTGTTCTTTAACTTAAAGTTGTATTTAAGTTCTACAGACTCTAGATTAAAGTAATAAATTTATGAGATTAGAAAACAAAAAGGTGTATAATCTACTATTCATTTCACTAACAATAGGTATAAGTATGATGGATCATTTTATTAATAAACATAATTCAACCAACACATTTACCTATAAAATAAATCATAATATGGAAAAACCATCAAATCCAAACTATTTAATTGTAGGGGGATCCTTCTTCACCACCCATAATTCCATAATCACCCATAATCACTCCCAATATGTGAGCAGCCACCTCTTATACCTTCGCCTGACAGTGATGTTAGCACAGGAACTTCTTTCCAGAGGCTCTTGAACACGATAAACTGACTGAACAAAGGCTACTGTGCCATATGGATTATCATTGGCAGGAATAATAATATTTGCCACTCCATCTAACCCAATAGTGCCTCCACCAGAGGCATCAGTTAGTTGCACTTGGATAACCTAAAAATAGAGTGAAAACTTCCTTAACAGCATCCCAGCTCTGAAATTAGAGTAAGAATGATGCAGGTAAAAAAATCAGCAAACATATCCATACAAGCAGAAAAATAAAATAGACTAAGCATAAATGGATTCAAAGAAAACTCCCCCAAAACATTTGCAAACCCAGCTTAGAATAGAATAATTCATTATCAACTTAATAATAGAGCATGATTATACATAAGAAATACAGGCTGTTTAAATTCCTTAATATTCAGTTTTATAATCATATTAATCAATTTTAAGATTCCTATTTATGTTTATCATTTCAATGATATGACTTTTATGTCCTATACCTTTTTATTGAGGGGAAATATTGCATATGCATTTTAGCTCAGAGTTCAATCTATTATGCTTTATTTCCCATGTTATCTTGAATGGAAATTCTGACAAATCTTATAAGAAAAAACATCATATTGTATTGCAACCTTTAGAAAAAAGGAAAGAGAAATGTTTTCTACATATAAATGAATAATATTTTAGAATTGAATTATGATTTGCATTCAAGAGAAATTTTATGGACTCCTATAAAATTTAATACTATTAAAGAATAAATGCTAATATAATACTTTTATAAGGTCTAAGCTTTAGTAATACTGGAATTTCATAAAATAAAATTATCTTCAGACAATATGTTAGTGATGGATGAATCAACTTTCCCACTGAGACTCTTAATTTTAGTTGCCATATTGCTTCTTCATCATGAAAAATATAAAACAGGAAAATTACTGAGCTTATTTGTTAAATAAGCTCTGAAATTAGAGTAAGAATGATACAGTTAGATAGTAAACTCTCAATAATAGTTGAAGAATAATAAATGAAGAGTGGAAAGTCAAAATCTACACTTAAAAAAGATTGGCTTGCATCCAAGCCAAAAGAGACCATGAATACAAATTAATAAAAACAAATGTAGAAAAAAATGAACATAGTTTTATATATTTTTAATTATTTAACACCATTATTGAAAAATACAATGTAATTGCACAAAAAAATCGTATACTAATAAAATCTCATGTAGACAAAATCTATTTCTAGAATATTTCTCCTCTTGTTATTTGTAAAGATCACTTTTATACTACCATACTTTGAACATTCTTGCAGAAATAATTTATCTGACATCCTCTCTAAAATGTCATAGCCAGAGTCATCTGTTCTAGTCACTATAAGACAAGGCACAATTTACAGTGTCATTCTATACTAGCCATTCCTCTCACCTCTTCAGTCTCCGGAACGTCGTCAGCCAGGACCTCTAACAACAAGGTTTGAATGGTTTCCCCAGGGGCAAAGGTCACATTACCTGAGACAACTCGCAGGTCGCCAGTAGCAAGCTGTCCATTAATGGTGGCAACCCACTCAATAGTAACATTGCCGAGTGTCCCAGAATTTCGAATTATTGGCAGGTTTACCTTCACTGAGTTAAACTCAGGTTCCTCTACAATAAGTTTAGTGATCTGAAAACCTGGAGGGCAGACGGATACAAAGTATAACTGAGTCAACACAGAACTAACAAGGACCCTTCTACAGTGGATTCTTTCTCCCCCTAAGCTACCTATGTAGCTACACTCCACAAAATCAGGGTACCATGCTGTGACACAACTTTGTCAGGCCTGCCAAAGTTTCCAACCGTTATTTTTCATTGTGCTAACAACAGAAATCATAAAGTGAGATGTCAACAGGGGTCATGTATATACCAGCCATGAGTGAAATAATCCAGTGGGAACTTGGCTAACTATACAAACGGCCTGCCTAGTCCCTAGGGGTAGTTGCTATTTGCTCCCATGATTGATACTATGCAGGAAAGGGAGGCTTGATGTTGCCAGATTTTCTTACTTATCAGGAAAGCCCAGAAAGTCAGATCTGAATGGCAATTTCTACAAATTAATTTTTAAAGGAATTACCTAAGACTCACAAAATGCATCTGGGAACCAAGTCTGAACAGAAAGATAAAAGTTCGTGATTTCCATCTCTATGTTAAGGGGTGATTTACTTACTTTTTAAAAAAAAATTACTATCCATGCCTGTCAGTCTACATAGGGGTCCTATGTATCACTAATAAACAGTTAAAAAAGAACACTTAATCAAATCAATTCTGAGTCTCTACAGAAAAGAAATGGCCATTATACTTGACTTATACAAACAAGTAAAAGAGAGGTGCAAACAAGCACGATTACCAAATAATCCATAGGGGTCATCAGAAGCCTCAATAATAATGACAGCCTCTGTCAAAGCCCCTAGTTTCGCTCCTCCTGTTGTTTGATTCAGCAGCTGCACAAGGAAAGATTCTTCCAGTTCAGGGTAGATGTCGTTAATGATGTATATTGGCACAGCTTTACTGGTTTCCCCTTCCAGCAAGACCACATCTGATGAAGCTATACTGTAATCTTCACCTGCAAAGACAAAAAGTAAAATGTTAACATTTATTCAGAATATGATAAACATTCCACACACTAGGGAAACAATATTTACCCCAAACTTTATGGTATACTTGGGGAGACATTTTCGAGGATATTAACGATATCTATTCTAAACAAAGTTTTCTAAAACTAATAAAAGTTGGATTTGATAATATCATAAGATAATGGAAAAAACTTCTTAAGGTTGTTCAACTTCATGTCTTCATTTTCAGGAAGATGTTTATATACTTTACTATAGATTGATTCTCTGCCTCCCTCCTTCCTTCTCTCTCTTTAGAATGAGATAGACAATCATTACCATAACATGGTTCCTTCTCTACAAAAATAAATAAATAAAGAGTACAATACTTTAGAACAAAGAAAAGAACTAGAATTCCAATTTCACTGGGGAAATAAACTATACTATTGCAGAAACGGCATGTTAGCATCCTCAGTGATACAGCTGGAAATGATAAACTTTCCTACAAAGCTGGATAAAAAGCTGCTGCTGAGTATTGCTCAGGGTGGCAAGAAAACAAGCACTGGATAAGGAAAGGAGGGAGATTCCCTTTGGATCCTACAGGCTAACTCCTCAGAACACTAATTCCCCCCACCTGTCAATAGATGAGGTTGTCTAGAGACAGTCAGGCATTCTTCGGTTTGTGCATCCTCTAATGTGCACAGATGAGGTAAGCCTGGCTTGTTTTTCCTTTTTTTTCTTTTTTGAAGATGGACAGAATGCCTTCATTTTCTTTACTTATTTATTTATTTTAAATTATTTATTTATTCTACTCTGTTATACATGATAGCAGAATGCAATTCATTTCATATTACACATAGAGAGCATAGTGATTTTTTAAATCACTAATTGTACACAAAGTATTTTCACACCATTCGTGTCTGCATACATGTACTTATGGTAATGATGTCTAACTCATTCCACCATCATTCCTACCCTCTTGCTCCCTCCCTTCCCCTCCCTCCCCTTTGCTCTATCTAAAGTTTAACATTCCTCCCATCCTCTGCCCCCATCACCATTATGAGTCAGCAACCTCATATCAAAGAAAACATTCAGCCTTTGGTTTTTTGGGATTGGCTTGCTTTACTTGGCATTATATTCGCCAATTCCATGCATTTACTGCAAATGCCATGAGTTTATTCTCTTTTAATGCTGAGTAATGTTCCACTCTGTATATATACCAAAGTTTCCCTATCCATTCATCTACTGAAGGGCATCTGGGTTGGTTCCACATTTTAACTATTGTGAATTGTGCTGTTATAAACATTGATATGGCTGTGTCCCTGTAGTATGCTGTTTTTAAGTCCTTTGGGTATAAACCGAGGAGTGGGATAGCTGGGTCAAATGGTGGTTCCATTCCAAGTTTTCCAAGGAATCTCCATACTGCTTTCCAGATTGGCTGCATCAATTTATAGTCCCACCAGCAAAGTATGAGTGTGCCTTTTTCCCCACATCCTCACCAACACTTATTGTTGTTCGTATTCATAATAGCTGCCATTCTGACTGGAGTGAGATGAAATCTTAGAGTAGTTTTGATTTGCATTTCTCTAACTGCTAGAGATATTGAACATTTTTTCATATGTTTGTTGATTGATTGTATATCCTCTTGTGAGAAGTGTCTCTTCAGTTCCTTGGCCCATTTATTAACTGGGTTATTTGTGGGTTTTTTGATGGTAAGGTTTTTGAGTACTTTATATATCCTGGAGATTAGTTCTCTCTGATGTGCTTGTGGTAAAATTTGCCCCCATTCTGTAGGCTCTTTATTCACCTCACTGATTGTTTCTTTTGCTGAGAAGAAGCTTTTTAGTTTGACTCCATCCCATTTATTGATTATTGGTTTTAATTCTTGTACTATGGGAGTCTTATTAAGAAAGTCAGGGCCTAATCTGACATGATGGAGATTTGGGCCTACTTTTTGGATCAAACCCATTGCCTCACACATGCTAGGCAAGTTGTTTGCCACTGAAGTACAGCCCCAGCCCAGGCTTGTTGTCTTTTTTTTAGCAAGAATCATGTTTAGATGATTTATATTTTAAATCAGGCATCATATCCCCCTCATTCACACTCCTGTTCCTTTGAGTGAACACTAGAATTCTAACTGAACTGTTATTGGGCAAATCTCTCTCTAAATTCTGGATCTCCTGTATCAAAGAAGGCAGTCTCCAAATGTGTGCATTTGGCAGTCAAATCATTCTGCTTATACATAAAATAGTCAATGCTAATCATTGTCTCTTCCATATTCTTCATAAATAAACAAGTAAGATAATGGCAGATAAGCCTACTCCAAAGAACCAAAATTAATGGCTACTCATTTTTTCCTGCATTCCTTAGTAGTCATTTACACATGAAACCCTTTCAAAAAATGAAAAAATTCAGAGAAAGCCAATGACATCCTTAGTTTACTTTTCATTGGCTTGTGCATACTTCAGCTGTCATAACTTTTGAATTTTGGTACAATTTTACCAGTGTCTTTTCATGAATTCTACCAATTTGGAGTCACAGATATGTAAAATCTCTAGATTGGTATCTAAACAGACACAAGAGTACTGATGCTTTCTAGTTGATTTTTCGAATTATGTCCTTATGTGGCTTTGTTAATCCAGACACATGACCCTTTAAAACACTTCGCTGCTCCTTAGATATCTTTTCTTACCAGCTACTGCAGTTATTGGCACAGCTTTAAACTTCACAGAAACATCTGCAAATGCTCCTCCTGTTCTAGTCACATTGATAATAGGTCCAACATGATTTTCTGTCACTCGAACCACTGGCGCTGAAAGCTGAAGGGTTCCAAATGCATTGTCGTTGGCAAGGATAATTAGATGGGCTACAGTTTCTACCTTAGGTCCCAGGCGTGGAGAATTTGGAACTAAAAGAGAAGAAAAGCTAATATATCAAATTTCTAAAAACGGGTTAAAAGTCATCAAGAAGCCTCAATAAAACTGCATCAGCCAGATGTCTCTACTATTTATATTTCAAAGGATTTAAATCTGTATATGCACCACCATTAAACTAGAAATTGGAAATACAAAAATAAAGTAAATAGAAAATCCCTGCTCTCTTGCATCTTACAATCTAGGGAGATTTTTCTTCATATAAAAGCTTGGCAAAGGAAAGATTACCCTACACAAGTATTTTTAATAAGTATTGGAAACTTCTGAAAAAGCAGTGAAATGGTTCAAGTATAATTAATCATCAATTTACATGATATTACAAGTCATAATGAGCCTACAGAATTATGTGCTTCTATTTAGTTCATCATCATGCCACTAAAGAAAAACAGCACTCTGGTTATGAAACTGAGTAGAAAAGGCATTTCCTTCTAAGTTCCTTGAGCTTAAAGACCAGCTGCAGACTCCAGTCACCCCACTGCACTACAGAACACCAGAATTTACTCCTCCCATCTAACTGTATTTGAATACCTATAATCCAACTTCCCTCTCTCTTCACTTGCTACTACCTTTCCTAGCCTGTAATAATCACTCTAGCCATCTACTCTCTTTTTTGAGATCAACATATTTAGCTTCTTCACATAAGTGAGAATATGCAGTATTTATCTTTCTGTGCCTGGCTTATTTCACTTTTGATAAAGTTCTCCAGTTCCATCCATTTTGCCACAAATAGCAGTATTTCATTCTCTTTGAGAGTCAAATAATCTCCCCTGTACCATATTTTCTTATCCATTCATCTGCCGAGACAGATAAAGACAGGGATAAATATATATTATTCAGCAGACTAGGAATCAGGCATAAAGAAGTTGAAGAACTCATGTAAGATCCTCTACTAGTACCTATCAGACACAATGAGGAGGTGTACTAAATGGTTGGCCTCATTTTCTTACTTCCTATTTATGATCCCCACCATATCAGCTACCTGACCTTTGGCTCTCCACCACTGGGCACCCTGCCCTGCACTCAGGTGCAGGTGCGAACAGCTGCTCCTCTCATGGAAGTTGATGATTATACTTAGAATAGAGCAGCAAAGATCCTAGCAGGCCCTACACTGATTTGTCTACTAAAATTTGAGTCATCAGCAAGTTTATAAGATGACAGAATAAAGGAGATTGCTTTCCTGACTGTTCTGTGGCATGAAACCAAGAAAGCAGACAGCAGCTTCTCAGTGAGCATTTTTGAAGGCAGTCATTTTTTCATGGGTCAGTTTTTTGAGGACTAGGAGTTTTGTTTTGTATTCTTTCATTTTTTAAAAATTTTTACTTTACATATACATATATATTTTTTCTCTTACCTGTTTTGCTTGATTCTCTCTTTTCTTCCACTAACAGCCTATCTGTATTGTTCTCTCTTTCACTCAATTTTTTACATCTATCTTCTTTCCTCCTCCCTCATAACCATCACATTCTATATCGCTTCTGTTCTCCCCCTGTCCACCATTTGAAATGGAAAACCCTTTTGCAAATTTGTTGTTTTCATTGTAGACAACAGCTGATCATATCATTTCTGTTTATTGTGATAATTAACACTGTAGACATCATAATAGAAACTATTTGGTTTAATGTTGTATATTGTTTGCATTGGTTGTTGTTATTATTTGTCTTCCCCTAAAGAGTGAGGTTCTGGAAACCTTCAGGGATACCATAAGTCCAGGGGGCAGAAACTCTACTGCCTCAGATCCATACTGTTAGAAAGGTGGACACACAAACAACATGAAAAAGCAAGGAGCAAATTGTCCGGAACAAACAGAGGTACTCCAATAACAGAATCCATTGACACCACAGTGGAGGAAATGTCAGAAAATAAGTTCAAAATGTACATAGTTAAACTGATCTGTGAAATAAAGGACTGAATAAGGAGTGAAGTCAGAGAGAAAATATAGAAAGTGATAGATCACTTCAATAAAGGAATAAAGATTCTGAAACAACAACAACAACAACAAAACAGCAGAAATATTCAAAATGAAGATATCAATTCCAAATTAAAAATACAATTAAAAGCATCACCAACAGACTAAATCACTTGGAAGATAGAATTTCATACAATGAAGACAAAATATATAATCTTGAAAACAAAGTTGACTGTAGAGAAAAAAATATCAAGAGACCATGAACAGAACTTTTAAGAAATATGGGATAACCTGAATAAATAAAGATTTATTGGGATAAATAAAGGCTGGGAGATACAAACAAAAGGAATGCACAATCTTTTCAGTGAAATAATATCAGAAAATTTCCAAAACTAATGAATGAAATATAAAATCAAATACAGGAGGATTACAGGACCACAAATATACAAATTTACCCTCATTAAGGCACATTATTATGAAAATGCCTAACATACATAGGGATAAAGATAAAAATAAGGAAAGAATTTTAAATGCTGCCAGATAAGAAGACAGGTAACATTATAGGGAAACCAATCCAGATCTCAGATGATTTTTCAAATCAGATCCTCAAAGCTGGGAGGTCTTGGAAAAATATATACCAAGCTCTGAAAGAAAGTGGAAGCCAGTCAAGAATACTATACCCAGCAAAATTAAGCTTCAGAATTGATGATGAAATAAAAACTTTCCCTGATAAACAAAAATTGAAAGAATTTACAACTAGAAAGCCTACACTACAAAACATACTCAATGTGATATTTTATGAAGAAGAAATGAAAAACAAAAATGAAAACCAGCAAAGGGAGGAACTACACTAAAAGAACACTGAATCATGGCGAAACAAATTCTAATTAAAAACCAGAAGTAAATCAAAATGACAAGGAATAATTATCATATCTCAATAACAACATTGAATATAAATGACCTAAACTCATCAATCAAAAAACATAGACTTGAAGATTGGATTTTTTAAAAAAGGCCCTACAATATGCCATCTCCAAAGAGACTTACCTCATAGGTAAAGACATCCACAGGCTGAAGGCTAAAAGAAGGGATGAAAACATCATTCACATAGATCTCATAAACAAGCAGGGGTTGCTATCCTCATATCAGATAAAGTGGACTGCAAGCCAAAGTTAATCACAAGATACAAAGAAGGATATTTCATACTGCTTAAAGGAATTATACATCAACAAGACATAATAAGTGTAAATATTTTTGCCACAAACAATGGAGCATCTATGTACATCAAACAAACCCTTCTCAAATTCAAGAAGCAAATAGACCACAACAAAATAATACTGGGTGACTTTAACACACCTCTTTCACTACTGGATAGATCCTCCAACCAAAAACCAAAGAAGGTATAGAACTAAAAAATATGAATAATAATTTAGACTTTACAGGCATATATAGAATGTTTCATCCATCAATGACTGAATACACTTTCTTTTCATCAGCACATGGATTCTTCTCTGAAATAGATCATATCTTATACCCACAAAGCATCTCTTAGCAAAAACAAAAAATAGAGATAATACCTTGCATCCTATCAGATCATAATGGAATGAAATTAGAAACCAAAGATAAAATAATAAATAGAAGCTACTCTAACACCTGTAAACTGAATAATACACTATTGAATGATGAATGGATAACAGAAGAAATCAGGAATGAAATTTAAAAATACTTATTTTTCAAAAGAGGGAACCCTTCCAAACTCAGTCTATGAAGCTAGTATCATGCTGATACCAAACCAGACAAAGACACATCAAGGAAAGAAAATTTCAGACCATTATCCTTGATGAACATAGACACAAAAATTCTTAATAAAATACTCACAAATTACATACAAAAACATATTAAAAAGATGGTGCACCATCATCAAGTGGGGTTCAGCCCACGGATGCAAGGTTGATTCAACATATAGAAATCAATAAATGCAATTCATCACATCAATAGACATAAAGTCAAGAATCACATGATTATCTCAATAGTTGCAGAAAAAGCATTTGACAAAATAGAGCACACATTTGTGTTCAAAACACTAGAAAAACTAGGGAGAATGGGAACATACCTCAATATTGTAAAAGCTATATATGCCAAACCCAAGGCCAACGTCATTCTAAAGGGAGAAAAATTGAAAGCATTCCTTCTAAAAACTGGAATAAGACAGGAATGGCCTCTTTCACCACTCCTATTCAATATAGTTCTAGAAACTCCAGCCATAGTAATTAAACAGAAGAAAGAAAGAAAAGGGATACAAATAGGAAAAGAAGAACTTAAACTATCCCTCTTTGCTGATGACATGACTCTATGTTTGAAAGACCCAAAGATATCCACCAGAAAACTTTTAGAACTCATAAATAAATTCAGCAAAATGTCAGGATATAAAATTAACACCTAGAAATCAATTGTGTTCCTATATATCAGTGATGAAACAACTAAAAGAGAAATTAGGAAAAATACTCCATTCACAATAGCTTCCATGAAAACTACAGAGCACTAAAGAAAGAAATTGAAGAAGAACTTAGAAGAAGGAAAAATCTCCCATGTTCTTGGATAGGCAGAATTAATATTGTTCAAATTAGCCATACTACTAAAGGCATAAAACCGATTTAGCAATTCTTATTAAAATTCTGATAACATTCTTTATAGAAATAGAAAAAGCAGTCCTGAAGTTCATTTGGAAAAATAAGAAGCCCAGAACAACCAAGGCAGTCCTTAGCAAGACGCATCACAATACCAGACCTTAAATTATACTACAAAGCTACAGTAACAAAACACCATGGTATTGGCACCAAAACAGACATGAAAACCAATGGTACAGAAATAGAAGTCATAGAGACAAACCCATATAAATACAGATATTTCATACTAGACAAAGACACCATGAATATACACTGGGGAGAAAAGAGAGCCTCTTCAACAAATGATGCTGGGAAATCTGGAAATACATATGTAATAAAACAAAATTTTGACCCCTATATCTCACCCTGCACAACCCTCAACTCCTGGCACATACTCACAATGGATACTACTCAGCCATAAAGAAGAATTAAATTATGGCATTTGCCAATAAATGGATAGAACTAGATATTATCATGGTAAAGTGAAATAGGCCAATCCCCAAAAAACTAAGGCAGAATGTTCTCTCTGTCATGCAGATGTTGACTCTAGGCAACAGGGAAGGGAGGAGTGAAGGTTCACTGGATTAAACAAAGGGTAATAGGGAAAGGGGGGAATGGTAATAGAAAAGACAGTAGAATGAATCAGATATAACTTTCTTATGCTCATATATAAATACACAACCAGCATAACTTCACATCATGTACAACCACAAGAATGGGAAGTTTACTCCATTATGTATGACATGTCAAAAAACATCCTACTGTCATGTTAACTAAAAAGAAGAAATTTTAAAAAATAAAAAAAAAATTGAGTCACCATCACAGACTTGCACTTAATTATTCTTTCTTTATCCTACATTATAGCTATGCGTAAATATGCTGCATGGTTCTGGGAACAGAGAAAACATAAAATATACATTGATTGTTTCTCCTATCCCATAGCACACAGACACTCTGCATATATATCTATATCACACTTTATTATTAATAATTGCTCATATTTATTAATAATGTTTACCTTGTGCCAGTGCTATATTAATTTTTGCATATTTGCTCATATTTAATCCCTATAATACATCTGTATTATAAATAGGGAAACTGGGACTTTAGACGATTATGTTCAATAGCTTATTATTATAAATTTAAAAATAAGTTATCTAACACCAACACACACAACTCCTGACCACTATGATGTGCAATAATCCCTTTTGGTTTTATTTCTATTTTGATACATTTGTGCTCAAAAACCAGAGTGCATTCTCTAATTCTTACCTAATAAGGCTAATTATTATTTTAATTTCTCTGTTATTATAACTAATCCGGCTTTTTAAAAAGTGAGGGGTATTGTATAAGAATTTTTAACCTTGACTATAATTTAAAGATTTAATATTAGCAATTGTAAATTTCCTCTATAACCCTGGACTACAATTACATTCATTGTGGTTAAGAATGTGGCTTCTCATACATAATACATTCACACAGGTGTTGAGACTCAGGGGAAGAAACTTACTTGAAAAGAGCTTTACACACTGACTTTGAATCTTACATTTTAAGCTAAGTCAATATGCTAATCTTAGAATCTTACATCTTAGCCTAAGATATTCCACAAATTTTCACAATTTCCTACCTCTACACAGACCTGTCCCCTTCCTTCATACATGTTTCTTGTCAATACAAAGAGCTTTGGTGGGTTAATGAATTTCCCAAAAGTGGATCAAGGTGAAGGGATCTCAGGCTCCTGTTACTAGGATTAGCCCTGGACTCACCGGAGAGATTCCAGAATGCTTTGAAACTACAAGTATAATAGTATAACTGTAGTAGAGGTCAATTACACACAGATTATACAGAAGCTTCTAAAATCTTGGAATGTAACTGACTTCTAAAACATGATTTCTAAGATAAAAATGTATTCCACATCCAGTTGTCTTACAGATAAACTTCTGTAAGATGATCTTTTCAAAGTGAGAGCTTACTATTTTTATAAAATTTTCTGTTATAACCAATTCTAAAAATTCATTATTTTGGCAGCACACTAATGCATACTTACTTGGTCGATCCTGCACTTTCTCTATTAAAGTAGAATTGAATAGTTCAATAAACACAGACTCCGACCTTTCTGGTTCATCATCATCCAAAATTGAAATAGTTATTGTGGCCTCAGTCTGATTAGCTCCAAAAACAGCAAATCCAGAAGCTGATATATAATCTCTTCCTTGACTTGCTCTGGCTAAATTAGGTGGAAAATAAGGTAGTTTTTTCATATCATCTACTGTAGCATAAGAGACCATAACTTTTCCCATAAGGCCTTTCAGCCTTATTATTGATAATGTGATGTTCTGGGTTGCTTCCTCAACTTCAATAGGTCTATTCTTCTCAGAAAAAATGAATACCCCATAAGGATCATCACTAGCCAAAATTGTTAATGTGGCACAAGTATGAACTCCCAAAGAACCACTGGAGACACTCAGGATTGACACAGAGAATGCCTTATCCAGCTCTGGATCTTCATCCGGCAATATTTCCACTGTGATATGGGCACTCCTCTGTCCAATATCAAAGGTGATGTTGCCAGAGGTGAAGGCAAGATCCCCATCAGGATCAGAGGCTATGTTCCAATGCAAAGTCACTAGAGACAGAGTTCCATGACTCCTCACAACCTGCAAAATAGAGTATTAAAATGTTTCAAAAGAGAAATTGAAACCATTGACCTAGAGGTTTACATGTACGTAATGACAAGTGCATAATAAACTTTAACTTTACATAAATTCCCAAGATTATAAGATTATTGAAGTCAGGGACCATACATTATGCATCCCTGAAGAATCTCAGAGAGTCATACAGAAAATATTTAAAAAGTTATTGTTACATAAAATCACAAGTTGATGGAAAATTTTTAACTTCTGCCTAAATTTTAGCTGTATCTCAGACAGAGTTATAATATGTAACAGTAATGAATGAAATGTGACTACAAACTTATTATATTTAAGCAAGTCCCCTTGAAAGTTTTACATTTACTGCAAAACATGGTGTGTGCTTCATTGTACATAACAAATGGGTGCGCTTTTTCTGAAAAACTAGTCAAAAAATTCATTTTTAAGAGAAGTCATATTTTCTTTCATCTTTGATATAGCAAATACCAAAATTTGCTTGACTCAGTATAATACAATACATTTAAGAGGCAAGAAATGCTTTTATCAATATATTAAAAATCAAAAACTTAAAAATTATTCCTTATTTCCCCAAATAATGTTTATGTAGATAAAATAATGTTAAATTCTAGACAGTAGTTTTATAAAAATGTGATCCACTCCCTTAATTTTTTTCTTTCCTAGGTTTCTCTTTCTGAACTTGCTAAATTAATTCCACAAAAATTTAATGAAGACACACCACAATAATAAAGAAATACAATAACTCAAAAACAAATATGTTTGAGTTAGTGTGCTTAATTATTTGTACAAAAGCTGAGGAAGCTGAGTCATTAAGCAACAGAACACTTCTTAATTTCTTTGCAACAAAGCAGAGTGGACATACACACACATCAAATAGAATTGTTATTATTATTATTGGTTTGGATTTTCCTTCCTTGTGAGTAAGAGACAGAATAGAATGGTACTTCACTCAATGGCATTAGTTATGGCCATGCACCTTGCTTTCACCGTGGAAATCTAAGTAGAAATGATTTAATCTGATTCACAAAGAAGCTATAAGGTCAGTATGCAGTTCTCAACACCCACATTTCTTGTCTCTTTTATGAAGGTTGGGATATAGCCAACTGTAATCCATGGTCCCCAAAGTGACTGATGATAGAGACTCTTTTCAATTTAGGTTGGACATATACCATGAGTGAAAAATAAATTTTGGTTGTACTAAACCCAAGATTTTGCATGTTTGTTATCACAGCCTGCTTGAACTAATACTAAAATATGTTCAAGTTAAATACTTGGAGTACACTCCATTGTATTCTTTGAAGTATGAGGTGATCTCAGAAAAATAAATAGTCTTATGAAAAATTAAACACAAATGCCTAATGACTACTCAATTAACAATTCATAATGTCCATATTATAGCTTCATTCATTTTTACCTACATACAAAAAAAGAAAGCATAAAACACACCTTCATAAGAGAATAAAACAATTTTTATAAGAAGAGAATGTGTGTAGGAATGGAGTACTCACATTTAACATAACAGTGCTATATCCATCTTCTGGTTCCGTTCCATTGACAAAGAGTGACTCCGGGCTAAATCCAAACACACCGTGAGCATGGTCAGAGGCTGCTATTGTCACTAGAATCTGGGAAGCCACTCCTAGACTGGCTGCATGAACAAGTTCCAATGAACAGCAAAAATAAAAGAATGTTAATCAGTAATTGACAAACAACAGGAAAAGCCAAGAAACAACTTCATGAAAGAGCTGTTGCTTTGACTGAACACATAATTTGTTTTAGAAAGAAAGGCAGACACAAATGGTTGCCACACATATTCATGTTTTATGACCTTTCTCTACTTTGGCACCAATGTGATATACAAGTGTTGCATAAGCTCTTGGAGATAAATAAGGAAAACTTGTTTTACTTTTTCGTCTCTGTGAAAGAGATCATTCTTTCACACAGTGTGTATGAGGAAGGTCTCTCACGACCTTTGCTGACCTCAAAAGAACATGAGCCAGAATTACTCTAACCTTTATGAAACAGTAGTTTCACTATGATTTTAGTCAACTGGACTAAACAGATTGTTGGTTTCAAATATGCATTAACTCTGATTCTATTTTTTGCATCATATTATAATATTGATTTGTCTCTCTGATCCCAAATAGACCATGCTAAGATCTGGGGAAGAATTTAAAGTTCTCCTAATACCCCCATTTTCACTCTTTGTTTTATTAATGTTTGCAGACAAGAAAATGAACGATTCTAAAAATAATACAGTAGCTATATGTACAGGTTATGTGGCGCATTGATGGAAGTTAGAAATGAGGAAAAGGAACATGAGTTCTGACATTGGAAAAATGAACATTTGAGGGTTAGAAAGTGCTCTCTTTCTAAACATTCTAAACAAAATTATTCTAAACATCTATCCACATATGTAAAAATATTTGAGGTAAAAAGCTGAATCATGTTTGTATATGAATCTACTTGAAAAGACATCTTCTTTTCAACTATCCCCCATTAATTGATAACTTATTCTCCTTATTTATTTCCTTCCTAACTTCTTTTTCCCATTTGTTTTAATCAAATGTTACATATAAAGACTCATGGTTCATTTTTTACAGAAAGTAAATGTGATACATTTAACATGAAATTACAAGTGTTCTATTTACCTCTTTTTAGGTATTCAAAACTATCTTTTTTTGGGGGGGTACTGGGGATTGAACTCAGGGATACTCTACCACTGAGCCATATCCCCAGCCCTTTTTTGTATTTCATTTAGAGACAGGATCTCACTGAGTTGTTTAGGGCCTCACTGTTGCTGAGGCTGACTTTGAACTCAACAAGCTACTGGAATTACAGGCATGTGCCAGTGTGTCTGGCAAAAACTACCTTAAATTTTTTAACCATCACTTTTATAAATAACATTCAAACAAAACTCTACAATCAGAATCAGGAAATTGCAGTGAATTCATACAGGGAGGAAAGCCTGGGCATCAGAATCAGACATCGATATGATTCTAACTACATCGCTTTCCAGCTGGATAACTAAAACCTAGAGCCAATAACATGTCATAAAGTTGCTTTGACAGTCAATGAGATAAAATATGTGAAGGACCTACACTTAGTTGGTGCCAATAAAGATTTCAGTACTACCAAGCACAGTGGTGGGTGCCTGTAATATCAGCAACGTGGGAGACTAATGCAGGAGGATTGCAAGTTCAAGGCCAGCCTGGGCAATCTAGTGAAACCCTGTATCAAAATCAAAGTTAAAAAGAACCAGGGTTGTAGCTCAGTAGTAGCGTATTTGCCTAACATTAACAAGGCCATGGGTTCAGTGCCCATTACCAATGCACAGAGGAGTGGTTAGTATTTTTGTTTCCAAAAAGAGAAAAAGAAGCAAAAATAAAAATATATACTAGTAAAGAACCTTGGAACAGCTGCTTACCACGTTTGTGAATAGTTGGAAGGAAGAATTCCATGTCCCCATCACCACTACCACTGCCATCAACCCTAAAGAGTTCAGTCACTTCACAGGAGAGACACAAAGACACAACCCACACAACACACATTGACACAATGAGAAAATTAAGAGCTCTTAAAAATATCAAGCAAAGAGGAAAATGAAGTAACAATCATCTGATAATAGTCATTCTTGCACAGAATACAGATTATTTTGAAAGGAAATGCTGTAACATCTGTCATACTACCAAAGTATCAAAACTTTTTTCATGGTTTCAGGAAATGCTCCATGGAAATTAGGATTGGCATTTCCCATTTCCAACCATTTAAATGATTCTACTTTTAAAATTTCACCTATTTACAACAATGTAAATTGCTTTCTAACATTTTAAAAACTATTCATATGAATATTAACCAGGCTCAGTAGCACATGCCCATAATCCCAGCTACTTGGGAGGCTGAGGCAAGAATATCATACATTGGAGACCATCCTTGGTAATTTAGGAAGACCCTGTCTCCAAATGAAATAAAAGGGATAGGGATGTAGCTCTGAGGTAGAGCACCCCTGTATTCAATCACTAGTATGGGGGAGGAGTGTGTGGGGGGGTGTGGGGCGGTGTGTGTGTGTGTGTGTGTAATCATATCTTGTCTTATATGCCTGTGACAGTCATCTTGCCACTCAGAACCACCAATTCAAAATTTGAGAAATGCATCAAACATTTCCTTTCCACACATTCAAATCCCCATCTCAATCTTGTTCACCCTCTTGCCACTGACATTGTGGAGAGAGCCTTAGATAAATAGACAAACATTCTACTTCAGCCCTGGTTGTGAAAGACCCCCATTTTAAAACCATCAGCAATACACTAAACTCCGTGGCATCTCAGTTTTCTCACCTGCAAAAAGTCCTGTCTTTGATAGAAATATTGTAAAGTAATAGAAATATTGTAAAATCAAATAATATAAAACATGATAAAAATATAAAACACCTTGGCAATATACAAGGATCATAATAAAGATTAAGCAGTTATACACCTTTGGTCCAATACATCTTATATGCCAACCATTATATTTGCCAAATGTTTACAAAGATGATGGAAAGGGCAGTGATAATAGCAATAAAAAAACAGAATAAGAAAAGCAAAACCACAGCTATACATATGTGCTCCTGCCAATATACTTGGTTGACAGGCAAGTTTAAGGTCAACCTTGTTCTCTGTTTTTCCTCAATAGAGTTGGAAACTTATAGCACCCAGGACCTACAACCATCTTACAGACGTAAGAAGCAAAATGGATTCCCAGCAGCCATCTAGGCCTTGCTCTCACTTCTACATGATTATATAGGAGTCATAAGAAACAGGTATAAAGTTCAGCACCACATATATTTTGGTTAGCATAAAACATCTAGTCTGACTGTGGCTACCTTATGTAGAATCATTTTAGAGAAAAAACAGTATGGAATAAGAACTGCTTCCTGAACTTTGAAAGAATTTAGCTCCACAAGCTATTTTACAATTAGTAAGCAGTCCCTAAGTGTGAATGAGTCTAGGAGTCATTGTTTGGATACCTTTTCCTGCAATCCTAATTCACTGAGAAAAAGTAGATTCCCTGCCACTATTGTTTATTAAGAAACTTCAAGATTCATTTTCAAATGAGAACTCCTGCTCAATTACTATGTAACAATATATATTCGAGAGAATTGAAGGAAAGTTTCTACGGAAAAACACAAATATCGATATGATCATAAATATCATCTCAAGAATATCTGATGTTTGGGGTTGGATCTGAAAGTCATGGTAAAGCACTTGCCTGACATGTGAGGTCCTAGGTTTGAGACTCAGCACACAAAGAAAAGAAGGGGAATATTTGAAGTTTCATTATTAATTAGTATTGGGTACAGCCACTAACATTCTTTCTTTTAAGTAGATGAGTATTTTTAATTCTAAATGATACAAAGGGAAATTTCTCAAATATTTTTTGTTTACTTTTTATTAATGATTTGAAGATGTGAGGACTTGTCTCTGGAGGGCAAGCAAAGCTGGCATTTTTATATGCCACCTGCCAGAGGTCATCCAGGACATTTTTACTACTTCATGCATTCACCAAGCTGAGGCACTGTTTATTTAATCACTGCCTTACTTCCAAACACTGGCTCAGACTCCGTTGCTTTTCCCTGGCCTTTGGGAACATAGGAAAGGTTTTGCATACTTACCCTAAGTCCTTCTTTATACAAAATGACAATTTTAATATATCTATGCTACCCAATCTCTACCTTTGGATAGCTTATACAACATGACTCTCTTCATATAAACGATGCAGATGATGGTAATAATGATACAATAATACCAGGTTTTGTAATGAAAGGAATTGTGCTGGTGAATACTCTACAAATCTCAATTTCTTATACTTACAAAGGTAATACAATGCATACCACATGTATTCTATAACAACCCTAGCAGCCCCTGATAATCACACACATTAATACTTGTGTAAAGAAGCATGTAAATAACTCAGCTAAATATAACAAATAGCCTCACTTGGATGCAAATGAGATGTAATATGTTTTAACTCCAAAAATCTCTGAAAAATTAGAACTTTCTGAATATCATTTCTCTCTCTTGTTTTTTTCCCCTTTCCCCTCACTTCCTCTTATATGTAATTTTGTATAACCCTGAGGGTCTCCTTCCTTTACCATGCAATTCCCTTCTCTCTCTCTTTCCCTCCCCCCTCTCATCCCTGTTTAATGGTGATCTTCTTCTCATGCTCTTCCCCCCTATTCTGTTCTTAGTGCTCTCCTTATATCAAAGATGACATTTGGCATTTGTTTTTTAGGGACTGGCTAGCTTCACTTAGCATAATCTGCTCTAGTGCCATCCATTTCCCTGCAAATGCCATGATTTTGTCATTTTTTAGTGCAGAATAATACTCCATTGTGTACAAATGCCACATTTTTTTTATCCATTCATCTATTTAAGGGCATCTAGGTTGGTTCCACAGTCTAGCTATTGTGAATTGTGCTGCTATGAACATCGTTGTAGCAGTATCCCTATAGTACGCTCTTTTAAGGTCTTTAGGGAATAGTCCAAGAAGGAGAATAGCTGGGTCAAATGGTGGTTCCATTCCCAGCTTTCCAAGGAATCTCCATACTGCTTTCCAAATTGGCTGCACCAATTTGCAGTCCCACCAGCAATGTACAAGTGTACCCTTTTCCCCACATCCTCGCCAGCACTTGTTGTTGTTTGACTTCATAATGGCTGCCAATCTAACTGGAGTGAGATGGTATCTTAGGGTGGTTTTGATTTGCATTTCTCTGACTGCTAGAGATGGTGAGCATTTTTTCATGTACTTGTTGATTGATTGTATGTCCTCCTCTGAGAAGTGTCTGTTCAGGTCCTTGGCCCATTTGTTGATTGGATTATTTGTTATCTTATTGTCTAATTTTTTGAGTTCTTTGTATACTCTGGATATTAGAGCTTTATCTGAAGTGTGAGGAGTAAAAATTTGTTTCCAGGATGTAGGCTCCCTATTTACCTCTCTTATTGTTTCTCTTGCTGAGAAAAAACTTTTTAGTTTAAGTAAGTCCCATTTGTTGACTCTTGTTGTTAACTCTTGTGCTATGGGTGTCAGATTGAGAATAAGGTATTAATGAACTTGGTTTTTATATGCTTTATATGTGGAAATAGCTTTAATAGGACTATTATGAAAACTCAAAAGGGAAGAAAGAAAAAGGGTAGTTTATGGGGCAGTTAGTATGACAATTATAATTTGGTGATTTAGAATAAGTGTACTATTTTGTTCTAAAAGCACATGTACTTTAGGGAAAGATCAAAGTGTAATAAAAGTGAACTGAATAATACAATATGTGGTATTCATATAATATATCATATAATAAATTGAGATACTACTGAGAACTAACTAAAGGTTACAGAAAATTGAGTTAAATATTAATTTATAAAAGTAATAACTAAAATTTCATAGAGAAAGTAATTCATTCATTAAAAGAAAAAAAAGTAAGGTTAATTCAAAGAAACTTCTTTAATGGAATCTGCTGTCATCACAGTATGTGGAAAAGCATATATTTGATGTTTTTTTAAATTGTCAGTCTTACCTCCTCCCTCCAGGTTTAACAACTCAACTTTAAAAGATTTTTCCAGTTCAGGGATAGAATTATCAGTGATATTGACAAAAATGTATTTATATCTTTCTTCTGGTTGAAATTCTAATGTGCCAGCAACATTCTGAAATGCAAATGAAATGTTAATCAATTAAATCATAATCATTGTATATGAAATCAAAAAGTGAGAATGTTTGCTTTATATCACCTTGTTAGATACTGAAACAGAAGATAAGTAAATGCAAAATTTAAAAACTTCATTGGATATTAATGGTGTTCAATGCAAATTCTAAATACATATTCTTCAACTAAATAAAGGAGATGGGCTTCTAATTTTTTAATTTGTGTATTCATCAAAAATGTAGTCCAGACAAATGATAAATCATTGGCAACATTCACAAATTTCTATAATTACTTTAACGAGATGCAAGGAATTCTCTTGATCAAGTATATTTAGAATTATTACAAATTATATAATTGAGAATTTTATATTCTCAATGTATAATAATAATGGCATTTTTCATCCTGAGAGTCTCCTCAAGCAATAGCATATATTAGTCCATTTGGCAATAATCCTTCCTGTATTATTACTTGAAACTGGAATTCATAATGTAGATCTCAAAACAGAAGAGTTCACATACTTGCAAAGAAAGAGTTATTCCAAATCAAAGTCTTATTCCTTCCATTATTTCATATAAACATTTTCCTCTCAAATTCTGAGAATAAGTTTTAAAGTTGTTTAATCCTTCTGTGTTAGCTTCTTTAGGCAATTGTATTTCACCTTGTGAAGCTATTAATGATTTAAAAGTTAAATTGAAGAACTCTAGTATGAAAAGCAGGTTGTACACTGCTCTGAGTTAACCCCATGTTATATAGAACAGCAATACCTAGCTCTAAGCTATTCCATTTTATAAATCATCAGTTTGCCATGAGTACTTCATTTTGAGTGCAAGTGCTAACGTTGAATGTCTTGGTAACTTCTCTGGGCAAACAGATAACCCCCACATATAGAACCTATTGGGAAGCATAAACCCTAGCTTCCCAGCACAATCATAAGGCATAAACCAATAAATAAATTAATCATGTTAATAAAAAATGACCACATGTGACCTTATCAAATTAAGTCAGAAGCACATGTACATATGGTCACATTAAACCTGTATCAGAGAAATCCGGTGCTGAGATTATCCATCTCACCATACGCAACCCCCTCAACCTGAAACTCGTAAAAGAGAAGCACCTAAGACAGCAGTAGGCAGAAATCACCCACACGTACTCATCATCTTATCAGATCATGTGGGGAAAGCAAGATGAGGTCCACAGGTGATGAACTCTCAACTCTGTCCCTGAGGTTTCAGCTCAGCTTGAAGTCCCTGCATGATGTGAACCTCTTAAAAACTGCCTGCCATCCAGAGCATGGCCAGAATAAGTTTCATTCCCTGAATAGTTCTGTGCTCTGAAACAAGTTCCCCAGGGTTGCTAATCTCTTCTGAGCACCTGCAGTGACCCTTTTACCTTTGTATCTGCTCTTGCCTTTGCACTCAGTGCAGTCTCCAGAACCCTGAGGCCATTGATAACCCCTGTCTTAGACTTTCTGTAACATACACAGCACTGTGCAAAGTGTAATATGTGACTTGAGTGTTACAGATATTAGTAATAAAGTTTGAAATGGAATAAAAAAAAAAAAACTTGTGATTGTCCTGGGTACCATTAATACTCAGTGAATTGATGGTTATGAAAGTGATGTAGTGTTTTTATTTATTTATTTATTTTTAGTTATACATGATAGCAGAATCCATTTTGATACAATTATACAAGCATGGATGTGGTTTGTGAATTGTCATTCAATAAATTCTGACACTATAGAAAGATACAAATGTGTCCAATGTATGCTAATAGAATAGCTTGCTCACAATACCAAGTACCAATTTCACTTGATCCTTCATTTTATTCACTTTTACAACACTTAATCTAACACATAGCATGTGCTAGCACAATTGCTTGGGAGAGAAAAACAAGACAAATCTTTGTCTCTATGAAGAACATTCTAGAAAGAATGTTAAGCATTAACAAAAAAAGTTGGAATAGAATAATAATAATAGAATAATAATAATAATAATAATAATAATAATAATTGCTATCCAACACATATAGTTATCTCAGTGAGTAAGTAATTTTGCCTATAATTTAGTAGACTGGAATAATTCTACAGTTTTTAACAACACAACTGAAAATTGTTTTCTTTCTAGGAAATATTCTTATTTGAACTCGGCAATCTCTTATACAACAGGCCACTTTTCTTCTGGAACATATTCTTCCTTGGTATTCCATGGAACAGGACTCTCTGCTTTTCCTTTTTATCTTTTTACCTCATCCTTTTCAGAGTTCATTGCCAATTTTAACATTATCCTATGATCTTTAAAAATTATTATTCATTAGACTCTTTAGACTTTCTGTCTAAATAAGTCCGGCATTCTCTAGGCTTTTATTACCATGTATATGTTCCCACCTTCCAAATTTCATCTCCAACCTCTGATATCCAGACTTAAATTTGAAAATTTTCCTTAATTTCTATGAGAGTCTCTAATGAGATCTTTCCTTAAAAACTATATTTCATCCAGTTCTGTCCATAGCACTAAATTGTGAAGCCCTATTCTTTTAAGTAAATTACCATCAAACCCTGCCATTTTAACTCTGAAATATTTCCTGAGCCCACTTCCTTCTTTTCATTTACCTTGCCACCAAGCTAATTCAAGACTCCATCACTTCTTGTCTTGCTCCATGAAACAGACTCCTCTCTTGTCTTTCTGCATCCATATTTGTACCATCTAATCCATTCTCCATGGTTCAGTCTAGTGATCTTTTATAAATGCATAACCCCTTTCAAGTATTTCACCTTCTTAAGAAAAAAGAAATCCAAAGAAGTCTAGCTGATCTGCAAGGCCCTGAATGAACCCCTCTGTGTGCACCTTGTCTTTTATCACCACACCTATCTCTCCACATTGTGGAAGCACTGTCCCTCTTTCATTTCCTCTGACAGCTCTTTCCCTAACTGACACCTTTGCTCAAGCTATTTTACCTATCTCAAGCATTTCTTGCCCCTTTGTCTGTCTTTCTTCTCTATAAACCTCAGGGATCAGTAGAAAGCCTTCCAGCCTGCATCAACACCCACCTCTCACAGATCTCATATCTTGAATACTTTCCACAGCTGTAACTCAGTAATTATCTAGCTGTTTAAAATCTCTACAGATAGCTGAGATCTATGCACCTGAGTAGTGCAGATCACTTGTAACTTGGTACATGAGAATAAAGTTAACAACAGTGATATCTGAAAATTCAGTTGTTTTCTCTTCTGTACATGATGCCTCCAGTCGCCTCCCCTCCCTCAATATGAGCATAAACACTTACACACCTCATCTAAGAAATCTTACTCTTGTGCTAACACAGACCAGAAAGAGTTGACACATTGTAATAAGTGGTGACAGCAGAAGTTATCAGGTTATCACAGACTAAGGTAACAGTATAAAGTGGTGACAGGTAACACATAGGGCAGCTAAGTACCCTGAGAATCCTCAAAAATGCCTCCAAGGGCATGAACTTTCTCATATCGTGGAGGATGGGGACAGATGGCTCCTTATTTTATTTTGTTTTAATTATTAAAGAAGATGATAAAACAACTAGCAGTGGGCAGGTTCAAAGTAGAAATTTAAAAACACTGATATGAGGACTAAAGCACTGCTTAAAGAGAATGCAGAGAACACACTAAGCCAAGATGAGATGGGTTGAGGAATACATTACATATCCACCTAAGGGCACAATAAATGCCAGTGGCAAAAAAATATAACCTAAGAAAGAATTAGAAGAAGAAGAAGACATTCAGGACAACTTAGCTAATTGGACTGTAGTTAAAATTAATGGAATTCAATTAGCCAGCATTCTGGGGGTTGGGAGGAAAAGCAGACACAAAATACAGAACATTGCACCTTTGTGTGGGTCTTTTTAGGAAGAAGGTGAAAAACAAGAAAATGAACATTAAATTTAAAGAAAAGGAATCTTTGGAAAAACAAAAATGTTGAAGGATATAAAAATCTTTCTCAAGGAGAACTGCCAAAACCAAAAGCATTTGCTCAATAAGAATACTGGCAATAATAAGAACAGGTAGGTTACTGGGAGTTACTACAGGTGCATCATGTACAATACAAGGCACTTCAACATAGCCATTTATCTTCAGAATGACCCTGCTATATGATATATCTCACTTTTACAGGTAAGGAAACTGAACATAGGAAAAACTAAGTCTCCCAAGGCCACACATTTAAAGGTGAGGTTAAATCCCAGTTCTGTCCATTCTAAATCCCAAGCTTTTTTATGGCACTCCCCACTTGAAGAAAAAAAATGATTAAAAAGACATGTAATTTCTTTACAATCTCAATTTTGTCTGATGGAGATAACAGGATTTGAAATATTATTTAAGAAACTTTTTTCTTTTTCTTTTTGAAACAGGGTCTCACTAAATTGCCCAGGCTGGCCTCAAACTTGGGATCCTCCTGCCTCAGCCTCCAGAGTCAGTGGGATTAGAGGTGTGCAAGAAACAAAATCTTACATGTATCTGATCCAAACCTACAACATTAAAACAAATAATACAAAAGAAGACTATGACAAGTATAAATACAAAAAAGTACAGTAGCTATTTAAGTGTCAGGTTTCAACACAATAAAGCATCTTAATTTGCCTAAAGTTAAAAGGTCAAAAGGCTATCAGCAATCATTTTCTTTGTTTAGTATATTCTGCAAGTCCCTTCCAGTCCTCCAAGGATAGTGTCCTTATTTTTACTCTGCCTTAGTTATTAAAGAAGTTATTTTACAAGCACAAATGGAGCTTCAAAGGATAATGACGTACCTGGTAGTCCTCGGGACTGAAAGCTGTCAGGGACACTGTTCTATATTCCGCAGTCACCCTCCCCAGGAGTCCTTGTGCACGGACAACCAATAACCGGACCTCTCCATCCTCCTCTTGCACAGTGATGTTTGGCACACTGCTTGCCGGCAGGCTCATGGGGTCCTCAGGCTGTGGGGGCAGCCCCGTGGAGAACTGCAGCAAGCCTGGAGGAGGCAAAGAGACAGGACATTCTTCTCCCAGTCACCTACAGGACAATTCCTCATTCATTTGAAGCAATCTTGCACAATCATTTTAATCACCAGGCCAAAATTCTGAGGGCCTTAATGTAGAAAAGATTTTAGCCAAGGGCGGGAGTTGTGGCTCAGTGGTAGAGTACTTGCCTAGCAGGTGTGAGGCACTGGGTTTGATTCTCAGCACCATATATAAATAAATAAATAAAAAATAAAGGTCCTCAACAAACTAAAAAATAAAAAAATTAAAAAAAGATTCTAGCCAAGATTTGATGAACATGCTTTGATATGAAATGTTTATAAGATTTCATAATGTTAAAAGTATAAATGCTAATTTCCTTTGTCTTTAATCAAAGAAAGGTTTTTTTTTTTTTTTTTCCAAAAGAAACATCAGGAAAAGGAACACTGATGGGTTTTTAAAACATACATTTTCAAACACATACTTTTTTTGACTGGAGTCTCTTATTAATTTTTTTTTAAATTTTTTTTTATTTTTTTTTTTAGTTTTCGGTGGACACAACATCTTTGTTTGTATGTAGTGCTGAGGATCGAACCCGGGCCGCACGCACGCCAGGCAAGCGCGCTACCGCTTGAGCCACATCCCCAGCCCTCTTATTAATTCTTGAACCCATTGTAGAACAGGATTAGTGGGACCTTAAAGGATTTGTAACACTTTAAAAAAAAATAACTACAAAAAACAGAGTTTCCAAGGTTTCTTATGTAGATTTATATTACTTTTCAATACAAAAATATTCTTAATTTAGTAGGACAGACATCTATGATAGTTCCCTAATTAAAAAATTATAACTTTTCAGCACACGATCCAAATTAATATAAATAGAGATAACGTCACTTCTTAAAGGCTAATAAAACATAAATTAGAAAATACTTCAATTTGTTAACATACCACCATATACTAATTTTTAAATTAAAGGAATTCTGATAGGCATAAATGGAATTGTTTTTTTACTTTTAAAATATCCTGCAAAACTTTCCAAAATATATTACTTAAGTTCAGAAATCTCTTTTTATTTTCTCCCATAAACAATCTCTCTCAAAATGGCAGTTTAGAAGTTAAAGACCTTAGAAGTTAGAAGGTCTCAAAGAGTTCTACTTCAATCATTTGCAAAAAGTCCCTTAAAAAATCCTTTATAAAACCAAGTACACACAGAGTAGAAAGAATAGCTTTTGAACAGGGTGAGTTACCAAATGGATGATCACTAGCTTTGACGGTGATATCTGTTGTTTCCTTCTCAGGATCTATGCTTGCACCACTGGTAGGAGTTGAACCTAGTTTCCCATCTCCAGGAATTGCAGAAACCAATGTCACCCGAAAATACTCATTAAGCTCAGGAATATCATCATCAAGAACATATATATTCAGGACCTATAAATTTATAAATCCCAAGGCGTTAAGCAATGAGGCATGGAGAAACTACTTACCAGAGGAAAATAAAACAGTTAAATTATATTTAATTGAAATTTCTATTTAATATAACATTTCTACATAAGCTTACACATTAAAGCAAACATGTGTATATGTTTTTATATGTGTGTGTGGACATACATATACATGTGTACATAAATCTATTTTATTTTATATAGAGAGAGAGGGAGAGAAAAGATATGGTGAGAAGGTGCCATAACTATGAAGCAGAGAATGAGCCTTGCCAGACACCAATTCTACAAGCACCTTGATCTTGGACCTCCCAGGCTCCAGAGCTATGAATAATAAATCTGTTATTTCAACTTCCCATTATAAGACATTTTGTTATAGCTGTCTGAATAAACTAAGGAAGGAGCTTCATAGTAAAATTTTCTGTCTTAAAGTATCCTATTCATGAAGTAATATCATGTAACGTAAGATATATTAATGTGCTACATCAATATCATATCATATCCTCATACCAAGGTTACTGGTATTGTCAGTCTCAGGGTAGAAAGAACTACATGATAGCATGTGGTAGGCTGGTAAGAAAGGACAGAGCAGCATGCAGGTATCTAGAGTCTAATACCACTAATAAGTATTTTAGAAAGTAGATTTACAGTGAGAATTAGAAGTCTGGCAGAAGCAATTATTCCAAAAAATGTTATGAAATAAGTAACGATAACTCAACAATGTTACATAAAATTTACAGCAAATAAAAAATTCCCTCTTTTTTTATTAATGGATATATCTAGTGTCCCAGAGTTTAAACACAGACCCACTTTCCAAGAAGCTTACAATCTGTTGTAGGAGACAGATATATAGAAAAACCTTTAAAATGTAATGTAGAAATGTCATGATAGAGTTGTGTACAAAGTGAGAAAGAAACAACTAATTCTACCTGGTAAAGGTTTTACATAAGAGGCATTTGAAGCAAGCCCTACCTAATGGATTTATTACAGTTGAAAATAATAATCAGGAAGGATATTCCAAGCAAAAGACGCAACACTGTGCTGGGAATGGTAATTAGGTCATAAAGTCTGGAGCAGTTGAAAGATCCAGATGAATGACCAGGAGTTGGTACATAGAAGATTTTTATGCTTCTATCAACAAGAATTTAGAATTTACTTCATTAGAGATTAGAGGTAAACTTCAGAATCCTAAGCAGAAGATGGACAAAATGAGAAATCTGCTTTAAGAGGCGCACAGGCAGAATGTAAATGGCATGAACAGAGAGCAAAAGGAGATGCAAGAGGAAGCCTTAAGAAATGACTGACCTGAAAGGTTGGAATTCTGAACCAATGCAGTAAGAAAAGACAAGGAAAATAGCTGAATTTGAGAACTGACTGGCAATAGATGAGGACTGAGGGAAAAGGAGGAATGAAGGGCGACTTCCTGCTATCTCCCAAAAAGAAAAGGGACATCAGTCAGAAAACAAACCAAATCCAAACAGTCTCCAATCAATGACTGCTGGCCTAAAAGTACCCAGACAACTTGTTTATAAAAATGCTTTTCTGAAGACTTTGATTCAATAGGTCTGAGGTATGCTCTAAAAATGGTTTCTAATCACATTTAAATCATATTTTTATGATTACACTTAATAGATGGAATAATCAATGTGTTTTTAAAAAAGCAGTCTAAAAATGACAGTTATTACCTAAATCACATCAATATTCTTGAATCATGTTGTTATTTTCTTTAGGGAAAAAGAAATTTAAAAATTATAAAACATAATATTTAAATAACTCTTGACTAAAACATTTGTAACTATTTTACTTACCAAATTTGATTTACTATTTTATCTCTTCCAAATTGTATATGAATGTTATAAAACAATTGTTCCCAATTACATTTTTATCTCATAATTGGTAAAAATTTCCCCAGTACTGGGGATTGAACACCGGAGCACACAAAAACACTGAGCGACATCTTTGTTTTTTTTATTTTGAAACAGTGTCTTGCTAAGTCCCCTGGCTGGTCTCAAACTTGCAATCCTTCTGCCTCAGCCTTCCAAGTCACTGGGATTACAGATATGCATCATCACACCTGATGTAGCTGGTATATTTTCCACAAGAAAATCTTGGGTATAAAGTCTGTTTTGTCAAATAAAAGCATTAAAAAGTTATCACACACTATCAAATTTCATAAAGAAAGAACACTTTGCTGGTCATGGTGGTGCACACCTATAATCCCAGAAGCTTGGGAGGCTGAAACAGGAGCATCACAAGTTCAAACCCAGCCTCAGCAACTTAGTGAGGCTCTAAGTAACTTAGATAGACCCTGTCTTAAAAAATAAAAAAGGGGGTACAAGGGATGTGGCTCAGTGATTAAGTGTTCCAGGAATCAATCCCTAGTACCAAAAAAAGAAAAAAGAAAGAACAGTTCAAATCTAAGACAATATTTAAAAAAAAAAAAAAAACAGAATAAAATATCATCCTGCAAATCAAATAATTTTAGCTGTATGAAAATTTACTAGGTTTCCTCATTTTACCAAAGATTAGCAAAGTTTTTTTCATAGACCTATTTGCAGATAATAGGAAACGTTTATTATAAACCATTTAATTTGTTTCTTTCTTCTCCCAAATTATATAGAGTTGACTACTATTATGCTTTATTTTTGTTTTAATTTTATAAATGTTTAAATCATCTCTCAACTTCATTTTGTTATCCAATTAATTTGTTAAGTCCCTCAAACTTTCCTCAAAGACTATTTATTAATTACAAGCTTTAAGTTATTTGTATGAATCCATGATGAACAATAAGCTATTTATATTTTAATGTAAAAATATACTGATATGAATATTCTAACATTATATATTAACCAAATATTTAAAATTCTGATACAGGAAGAAATTTCATTCCAGTTTCATTATAGGAAGTATCATTTATTTATGGAGCATCTATTCAGCAGTGAGACTATTTTAATAAAATTTGAGGTAATTTGCACTTTTGAAGCACAAAACAAGTATCTCATTTCTCCAAATTTAATGCAAATAAAGTGAAACTACAGTTAAAAGAATTTCTCATTGGCTGATTGGAAGAGTCCCAATAAGAACTGAATGGTTTCTCTCTGTATCAGTAATAACAAAATACTCACAATGATATACTCTCAAGCTATACCATTCTTATTATGTTGGGATTAAAGAATAAATAAAACTAGAGCATATATTATTCAAAATTTTTAACTTTTCTTTTGCATATACTAGAATATATATGCCATGATATACATCTCATCTCCCAAGTATTTTAAGTTGCTTAAGTAGAAAAAAGCTGCAACAAAATTACAGAACAAACACAACAGAAAAACCTTTCCAGTACACTTTCAAAGAAACAAAGAAGGCAGGGTTTACCTCAGATCTCTGCCAAGGAAGGAATGTGATCCTTCCACTGGCATTAGCAAAATCATCAACAAGGTAATTAATGCCATTAGATTCGATCTGTGAGATGGTGTAAAAAACATGCACATAATCCAGAGCTCCCCTGGTTCGCTCCACCACACATGAAATGGTAGATCCCTCCTCTGCAATCTGAAATGGAACATAAATTACTGACATGCGTTGTGAATATATCTATTAAAATCGGTGATAAAATTAAAATCTTTCACGAAATCTTCTCTTTAACCTAAATTTATAACTTTCCACTTTTCTAAAAGGGACTAGAAGGCTCTACATTCCCCCAGGTATATTTCTGATTGCTAAGAAGTATTTACAATCATTTGTTTCCTCTCATTCATTCATATAGATAAATAAAGCAAATGAATTATGACCTCTAAACTGTATATGCTCACTCATTGAATCTCTTGTGTGCCACCACGGTGCTAGAATCTATGTTTACAAAAGATTTTTTTTTCCTTTCAAAAAATGCATAATCCTTTCTCTGCATAAACATAATCCTAAAGAGAAAGACAAACTTGGGATTTATTGATGATTTCAGCACAGACCAGACCACATGGGGCCAGAGGTGGGGGGGTAGAGAATGAAACCTGACATCAGGAAGAACTTTACAGACATAAGAAGCAATACAGTATATCTGGGGAATCATTCTAGGAATAATATAAAGTACCAAGTGGAGAGCCTCAAGGAATGCCTAATGTGGCATTAGATCAAAAAGGCCATTTGACAGATCAAAAAGGATATTTGATGTCATACTTAATATTTTTTAAATATTTTTGTCATACATATATACAAGTATAAAACACATGTGTATTTTTCAAGAAGGTAATGTTTTGATCTAAAAAATTTAATATCAGTTTAAATATGGAGCAAGAAATTGTAATATGTTAAAAAATAAGTCTTCATACTCTCAAATTCTCAGGCTATCAGTTCAATTTTAGTTTTATATTAGCAGATATGTAATTTGGAGGGAAAAAAAGGACAAAAAACTGAAGAGATAAAAATTCAAGTATTAGCTATGCACAGTGGTGCATGCCTATAATCCCAGTCACTGGAGAAGCTGAGGCATGAGAACCACAAGTTCAAGGACAGCCTCAGCAAATGAGTGAGAGCATGTTTCAAAATAAAAAGGGCTGGAGAAGTAGCTCGGCAGTAGAACATCCCAGATTCAATCCCAAGTACCACAAGCAAAAAAACAATTTGAATAAAACCTGAATTTTGCATGTGCTTTTAAGTGCAATTTCATCCACAAAAAATATGGGGGACACAGGAAACTGAACCCACCCAAAACAAGCTATGTAGGAGCACACACATCTCCAACATCTACCATCTGCCTCAGTTCACCACATGTGCTGCTATCACACTTCTCTACTTCTAGGGTTACGACTGTTCCTCCAATTTTAGATAACCTTCCTTCCTTCACTTTACAATGGCACACAAATTGAAATCCTTTCAATGCCAACTTTTACAAATATTCATAATGTCATTTTCAAGGTAGTATGCTGTATATACTATAGTGTGGAAAAACTAAACATTTAATGTACACAATGTTTAATGAGGTCCCTTTCTTTTTAAATGTCATTGACCAAGTTTTTGAGTAGTGTTCTCCTAACCCCATCTTTTCCATAAACTCAATGTTTCTCACTATGTAATCTGGCATAACATGATGGCTTATAGGGACTCATCAACCATATCATGTTAGAATGAACTGTTCTCTGGGTGAGGCCATCCAGCCTTAACGGGTTGGAGAGAAAAGGAGGAAGTAACAAAAAGACCCAGATGCTTAATACAGCGTCCTATTTAATTTCCACATAAAGTTTTGCATCTGCATTTTCATACTGGCAGAATAGAAACTGAGCAAATGTCTGGTAGAAAAAGTATGGATTTAATGTCATAGACTCCTGAGGGGTGTCTTCATTCCACCACTTATCAAGCATTCTCAGTCTTTTCCTAAAGGAGGACCATAATGTTTCATGGACTCTGTGGAGATTTATTGCCCCTTAAAATACAGACATACACGCATAATAAAAAGCTACATGAAAATACTATCTCACATTATAAGGAAATAAGCATGCATATATCATTAAAAAGCAAACTGATTTCCATATATTTCAATTCTCATTACAATAACAATGGATTTTCTCCATTTCCCACCCTAAATTTTTTTGAGAATGAATATTTTGAATGAGTTAAAGTAATAAATCATTCATCTAAGTATATAAATATTCAGCTCTTCCTTTCTCGGTAAGAGGCATGAATCAAATAGATCCAAAGATTCAGGAATCTGTGAGGGTTCCTTAGCCACTTAAATTTTTCCAAGTCAGAGAATAACCATGCGGCATCCAGGCCTAAGATAAGAGATTTTTGTTTGCAAGAATCACACTACATTTTTCAGTTAGTAAAAGCATCATCAAAATCTATAATTTTTTTAATGTTTTCAGCTTTAAAAAGGAAAAAGCAATCACTATCCTTATAAAATAAGAGTGTGTATGGACACATGCTATATATCAAAATTGTACAGAAAATTTAACAGGTTAGACTATATTCCATAAAGCAAGCTTTATAAATTTCCAACTAGAGAAGATCCTTTAAATATCAAGGGTTTGTTTAAAAAAAATCACCTAGGATGCTAGGTAAAAATCTACCTTTAATTCTTATGAACTTAAAGGGCATAATATTTGAGGTTTGCTTTTAAAACTTTTCAGATGAAAAAAGATTGGCAAAAGCCTGATAATTACTGAAGCTAGGTGATGGGCACACTGGACCAGTAATTTTCTCTTGTGTGTGTGTGTGTTTGTGTGTGTGTGTGTTTGTGTGTGTGTGTGTGTGTGTGTGTGTGTGTGTGTGTGTGTGTGTGTGTATATGTATATCTATATATATATATATATATATATATATATATATATGAATGAAACTTTTCATCATTCTACATTTTGCTTTTTCCCTCCCCCAACCAGGTACATTGATCCAGGAATGGGAACCTGAATCAAGGAGGTTTTCCAGTGGTATGCATTAAATATTTTCACCCAAGGTCTTTTGTAGACAACACCTCAAGAAACACCAGACTACACAATGTAATTATTAATATGAGTAAGATTAAGGCAAGGGGCTAGGGTTGTGGCTCAGTGGTAGAGCACTTTCCTAGCATATGTGGGGCACTGGGTTCCATCCTCAGCACCCCATAAAAATAAATAAATAAAATAAATATTTTAAAGGACTAAAAAAAAATTAAAACCTGAAAGTATTTTCTAATATAAATATTCATCTAATTGACATTTGAATCATGCTACAAACATTTAGGCCAGTGTGTGAAATGCACAAGATCCACAGTACTCTTCGAAACCATACTCAGTAATTTCACAATAGAAACAACAGTCCTCACCACTGTTTCCTCTTTCAACTCAGGAATTTGACAAATCTTCTGATCAAGTATTAACAAAGGTAATCAAAAATACAGTTTTTAAAATGTATTTACTCGGAAAAATAAAACACAGTATTCTAAGCCATGAATTGTCCTCCTGCATTGAACAGAAGATTAGTGTTAAACAATTACAAACCCAGTTAATTTTTAATTTTCTTTCATGCTTGGGTGATGATCTGTGCTATCAGATTATATTGATAATCACTTATTTCATTCACATAACATATGGCAGGCACTTAAAAACAAACACAGTGTAAGAAAATGTAAAAGTGTAACATAACTCAGAGAAGTATTTTTAAAGGATCTCTCGTGCCTTCAGAAAATTTGAAAGGATCAGGAGGGGAAAAAAAGTGGAATTTTCAATGTCTTTGCAACAATACAATGGAAAAGAATTTATGGAAATGACAGTAGTTTTTAATTGTGAAAAACAAGCAAGTTGAAATGAGTGAAGACAATCCCATGCATAAAGTAAATCCAGTTCTCAAATATTTTCTTATAAGGACCCCTGAACAGTCATAAAATTACTGAGAACTCTAAAGGAGTTTTGCCTATACTGTTGAAGTCTGTTGATATTTATCATATGACAAATATAAAATGAACAAATTAAATATTATTTAATAACATACCTTAAATACCTATGAAAAATCCATTCTGAGCAACATCTTTATAAGTAACTATATTTAAAAACAAAACAAAACAGTGATAAGATCACACTGTTTTACATTTTTACAAGTCTCTTTCATATTGCCTTAACAAAAAACAGCTGGATTCTTATGTCTCCTTTTTGAACCAATTGTTTTTCTCTGTTATTTTACTTGAAGTATATGAAGACAGTCCTGCCCTATCTAAATACATAATTGGAAAAGGATGAAGATTTGAAGTCTTTTTCAGATGATTGTATGTTTTTATCTGCAATAGTATACCAAAATTTGACAAGAGGAAGTTCCTCAACATTTAGCTGCAATGTTCAAGCATATTTTATTACATTAAAAAACATTGGCCTACTTTGTACTCTGAATCAATTTTTTACACATGCATGATTTTATAATAATATGCAATGATTATTTGTAAAATATTGGTTTACTGAGTTATACATATCTTCTCTTTGTTGACACATTTCATCATACAAAATAATTATACTGGTTGATATCACTGTCAATCTTATCTGAAAAGTCTAAGTAATGGGAAACAGTCAAGCTCACTTTGGCAGATAAAAGTGCTACAAAATTCAAATTTTCATTTGAAAGATTGAATTTTTCTTATCATCAGCAAGAACTGTCAGTTGTTTTTCTTGTAATCAATAGCTCACTCTGCTTATTTTCATGAAAATGTCTGCCAAATACCCAAGTCTGAATAACTAAATGTCAGTCATTTTAAGTGAAACTGGTGTTCCATGAAAACAGAAGCTAGTTAAACTCATGACTCAAAATTTGTATAAGCACTTTTCATGGAGACAATTACGATGTTCTATTAATATAGCAAAAGTACTTCATTTGTACTTCTTATATCATGAAATTAGCATGTTTTAAACTATGGATGGTGAATAAATAACTGGTACAATGTGGCACTGCAACCTTGATTTGTGTAAAAGCACTAGAAGCTATGTTTTTAGTACAAAATGTCATTAAAAGGAAGAAATAAAAAAACTAAAGTATTATTTAAAAAGTTAGTTTTGACCTTGTGGACCCCCTGGAAAGGACCTCAGGAAACTCCAGGGGTCCTTGGAAATGGAATCTCTGGGTTACTTTGAGAATGACTTCAGTATGCAACCAATAAATATCATTGTTGTTTATGATGATATTGAAAATATTTAAGGATTCCTACCTCAAATCACAGAGATTAAATTTTCTATTAAATTTTTTAAGAATGAAACTGTGTAATCTTCCTGAAAGTCAACAAAAAATTTCCTATTTTAATCATCTAAATATTTCTTTCTAATGTGGACACATTCTATTTCCATTCCATTTTGTTCTTTCCAGAACTTCAGCTTGGGTACTATGGTCTATGGAGGAAACTTCTCTCTTCTGCATTGAAAGGCTTGTCTAGTCATGTTCAAAGTCAGAAGTCAACAGGAATATAGCTACATGCCTAGATAACTAAACCAATACTCACCACAATCTATCAATGAAATTTGAGAGACAAGCCAGCATTGAAATCTTAACTATAATGGCAGGTTTTAAAATTTTGTTATGTATTTTTTCCCATCAGTTTGGTTGTTCATGTAGTTTAACTTAGTCAAAATACATTTTAAATCTGAACTGCTCTGTTTTTTTCATGTTTTAATATTAAAATATATTCATAAGCTCCAACAAAGATTTATTGAGTACTTATCATGCTCCATTCTTGGTCTATAGATACAACAATAAACAATAAGACCATATTACACTCAAAGATCTTTCATTTTTGTGGTGGAGGGGGATAACCAGTAAATAAGAAGATTTTAAAATAACAGAAGGAATTTGGGAGTGTGATCAATGCTATGAAAGAAAAAATAAAACTATGGATGGATAAAGAGTTACAAGGCAGAAATAGAAATCAGTTACTTTAAATAAGATGTTCACACAGAAAATGTCTTTGGAGCTGAGGTTCCAATGACTAAACATGAAGATGTGGAACAACAGTGTTGCAAAGAGAGATCAATAATGCCCAGAGGTCAAAACTGAAGCCACACAAGTCAGACAGAAACCAAAGAAGAGAACAACATGAGGACAGATCTTGAAAGGAATCTGAGTTTGCGTGGCACCCCAATAGTTTTTATAAATTGATAAAAGCCATCGGTCTTTTTTAAAATAATGATATTAACAACTTAGAGAGAAAGATAGCAGCTTAGAATCACAAGACACAGGTATGTTCAAATTCCAGTTCTTCCCATTGTATCTGAGAACCAAAAGGGGAAATTAATATTCATTAAGCACTAGTAATCACTAAGCTACAAATCAGTCATATGACTTGATCATTTTCCACTTACTTCAACTTGGGTTATCTTCTTCTTGTGCCTGAAAATGTCAATTTCTTGTTCTTTACTATAAAGAAACTAATAATTAATATGTGCTGCACCTATAATATGGACTTTCAGAAAGGCACATAAAATTTGATATATAAAAGTTCTCTGAACATTCATATAAAGTAGTTTCACTGTTGATGAACATTTCTCTTTTAAGTTGCAGATTTGTATGATGTTTGTTCTCTCTAGTACTCTACTTATGATATAAAAAATATGACCACCATTTGAAGATCTCTTATGATATCACCAAACCACAGAGCTAAAGGGACTATGTGACATTTCAGAGAGCCAGGCATTCCCATTTAAGCTACAATGATGCCTGTGCTGTAGATGAATTTTTCAAGTCCTATACACCCCTATTTTTCTTAATCATTTCAATTTACATAGACATTCTTCTAAATGTATTAGAATCAACTTGCAAAGGGAAATGTTCTCCTGTTTCTTGGCAACATCCATAGACATTGAGCTGTTGCTGTCACACAAAACACCTGTGAAGTAGTTTCATTCACTCTCATATTACTGAATGGGAAACCAAGATGATTACTAATGTTTGAAAACATGGAAAGAACTGATAAGCACAGTAAAACTGCTAATGAATTTAGCTGGCCAAGAACGTTGGCAAGAAAAGCATCTATAGACAACACTGAAGAATGTTATAACAACTAAAGTATGCTTTGGACAAGGAAAAAACCTCAAAACTCATATTTGAATAAAATTTCATTAACAATTATATATACTAGCTTTCAATATATATTAGTTCATTTACTTATACAGTATCCAAAGCAATACCCAAAAGTAAATTATGTGTGGAATATGACTTGAATTTTCAAAATGCAGTAACTTTAAGGATAATTGCTAAGATTTACTTGCTGTCTTGTTTACTATTTTTTTCTTTTTTTTAAGTACCAGGGATTGAACTCAGGAGCACTAAACCATTGAGCCACATCCCCAAGCCCTATTTTGTATTTTATTTACAGACAGGGTCTCACTGAGTTGCTCAGTGCCTCGCCATTGCTGAGGTTGGCTCTGAACTCGCGATTCTCCTATCTCAGCCTCGGGAGCTGCTGGGATTACAGGCGTGTGCCACCAACTCATTAATTTGAATCAAACTGTGAATTTATAAGGACAGAGACTGTAATTTATATTTGTAAGCACCACCTATACCACACACTTCTGGCCCAAAAAGTAAATACTTTGGCAATCTTACCAAATAAAAGAAAGCCCAGACCCAAACAATCTCACCCATAATAAAATTTTTAATTACAAAATTTTCCAGCTCACTGCTTACCTCTGGTATACAAGCTCCTGTGAAACCAAACAAGCCATTGGCATTGTCACTCTTTTGTATGATTAATCTTGCTGTAGTATTTTCTTCAGAAATGTGAGCTCCTCCATATACAGAGACTAGTTTAAGAATGAATAACTCTTCTCCTTCCTCTTCATTGTCATCTCTTGCAGAAACAATAAATGATTTGTTAGTTTCTCCCTGTCTGAACTCCACATATCCAGAAATAGGATGTAAATCATTCTTTGAAGGCATAGCATGAAGTTCATAAATTTCTTCAAGGGTCAGTTTCCTCTCATAGGACCTTACATCCTGCATCAGACCTGTAAACCGGTCATTACCATTCATTCCTGCCCCAATTCTCAATATTCCAGGACCTGAAATGAGACAGAGGTTTAAATCTACATATCAACTGTCATGTACTAAATTGTAACTTAATTTAGAAAGCAATCCAATCTTATTGAAAAATATTTTTATATGTAAAAATTTAATATAACTGATGTACAAATTAAGGTTATGTTCTACTATGATAAACAATGAATCTATTAAGCAATAACTAGAATTTATGAAATTTTGTACTAATGAAATTAACAACTATCTTCAAATTAAATAATAGCCTTATAAGTCATTCTGTCAGTCTGTCTAAAACCATTTCAGGATTTAAAAATAAGGGGCTGGGGATGTGGCTCAAGCGGTAGCGCGCTCACCTGGCATGTGTGCGGCCCAGGTTTGATTCTCAGCTCCACATAAAAACAAAGATGTTGTGTCCGCCAAAAACTAAAAACTAAATATTAAAAAAAAAAACTCTCTCTCTCTCCTCTCTCTCTCAATCTCTCTCTCTATTTAAAAAAAGGATTTAAAAATAACTACACACATATACACATAATCATACATGTATGTTTGCTTGTGTGTATGTGTATTTGGATACACATTTCTTCATAACTTTTTATTAAATTTACTTGCCCGTCTAAAAATGGAATGGTTTAGTTCACTCACAACTTTAAAACTTTAGTATTCCTATTCTTAGAGAACTTCAAAGCTTGGTGTATTAGAAACTTATCTTGAGCTAAATGAAGTAAGAATTCAGAAAAAAAATTAGTTTCCATGGGTCAAATATATTTCTTTATCTAAACAACTAGTGGAATAAATACAGAAATCAAAGCATTTCTTCCCAGAAACATTATATGAGTCTTAGGGACTTTTTATAATAACATGCAGCCCAACAATGTTACTTCAATCTCAATGACAACACTTCTCAGGATTTTACCAGTTCTTGTTCGTCTCCTTATTCCTTGCCTAATAATTCAGCTAAGATAATGAATTATGTAAGGTGAGAGTTTGGCAGTGATTCTGGAAAAGAATGCACTAAATGTTTCCCATCAATAGTCTCAACGAAGGCAGTTTTACAAATTGTTAACCAGGTTGCTCCTTTAGTGAAGTCACAAGTATTATACACATTATCACAAGTATACCTACTATGGAGACCAACTTCCTTCCCAGTAAACCAGAACCACTCCTCTGAACTCCAGGCTGGTGATAAATCCTATGATGTGCTCTCTCCTCTAGAGTTATTTATCAACTTTAATTTAATGACGTAAGTTTCCCAGTCCTCATAAAACTATCTGTTGCAGCCAAGAGACTGCATAGAGTCAAGGATAAAGAAGTGATCAGCTCTTCTTTAGTTTTGTTTCTGTGATAAACTAAAACAATACTGAGTTAAAAGATTATATTCAGGTTTTGGCTCCTCTATGACTTGGCCATGTGATGCTAGTTAATTTATTTACCAATTCTGACTTGTATTTTCTTACCTATAAAATATTTAATAAATTATAGTGAAGTTAAAATTTGGTAATGTATGAAAAAAGCCATTTAAGTATAAAACACTATATAAATTTGAGGCATTCTAAATGCTTTGTTTCTATGACTACTTCTCTGGAACAAACATCATCAATATTTCTCTAATTTTAGTGTCATCTGTTTAAGCTAAAATGCTAAATCATCCAAAATAAAAAAGTTATAGACTCTACAATGTCATAATGGTCCTTTCGGAATGGAGAGAACATGGTAATATTCACCTTACATTTTTTTAAAATTTATATATATTTTTTTTAACCTTTATTTTATTTATTTATTTTTATATGGTGCTGAGGATAGAACCCAGCACCTCGCACATGCTAGGCGAGCGCTCTATCACTGAGCCACAATCCCAGCCCTGCATCGTAATATTATTCTATGCTTTTTAAATTTTGTAAAATGCATATATATTACTTTGACAAGGAAGTAAAATTGGTGATATATATATTTTTATAGATATAAAAATTTCAACAATACACTTAATGTTTATAATGGTGATCTTAGAATTATGGTAATGAGAATGATTGTTATTTTTTGTTTTATATGTGTACTTTTAAATTTTCCTTGATTTCTGTATTGACTGTACAATTATTTCTTTAAAAATACAAATTTTTGAAACCATCACAAACCTACCAAAATGGTTTTCTAAAGATAAAATAAGCATTGGTGAAATGGTACTTTGATACACCAAAAGTGAGAATATAAATAGGTTCAACTATTTTGGAAAACTGGTAGGTTTTATCTATTAAAACTGAATAAACACACACACACACACACACACTGATTCAGCAATTCCATCCCAGGAATAGACAGCAGAGAAAATTTCATCCAGAAAACATATATAAGAATATTCAAGAGAAATGCTGAATGTAATAGCCAAAAATTGGAAACAACACAAACAAATTTAAAATACCATGAAAAAATACTGTTCTAATTACACAATGGAATACTATAAAAACATGAGCATGAGGTATGTAAAATAGGCAAAAAATATGGATGAATCTCAAAAACAATGCTGAGCAAAATAAGTCAGACATTCAATTCTATTCACCTAAATTTTAATACAGGAAAAATCAATATTAATGCTCTTAAAAAATAGCAATCATAGGTGCGCAGGGTAGTAAGTTACTAACTAGAAAAGAACCACCAGTTACTTCTAGAATGCTCTATTTCTTGATCTGAAGGCTGGTTACACTATGTGGTTGATGAAACTAATGATATTCAAGTTTTATAATTCATCTATCTGTACTTACAATACTTATCATTTATACACTTTAATATGTTTTCCTTTAAATTAACATGTAAAAACACATAGGGTACATCTGATGTTTCAATACATATGTACAATGTGCAATGATCAGATCAAGGTAAAAGACATATCTATCACCCAGACATCATTTTTCATGTCGGGACGTGCAAAATTCTCTCTACTAGTTATTTTGAAATATTCAATTATTTGTTGTCAACTACAGTTAACCCAATGTGCTATGTAAAATTAGAAGTTATTCTACACCCCTGTACCCATTAATCAACCCTCTCTCTCCTACATCCTTCCCAGCTTCTGGTCACCACGATTCTACTTTCTTCTTCTACAAGATTAACTTTTTAACTTTCACATATAAGTAAAAACATGTGATATTTGTTTATGCACCTAATTTCCTTCTCTTAATATAATGTTCTCTATACTTCTATTCATGTTAGAATTTCATTCTTTTTGTGGCTGAATAATATTCCATTGTGTATATATATTTTTCTCATCCATTCACCTAGAATAATTCCATACACTGTCCACTATGAATAGTGTTTCAACAAATGTCACTTCGACATATTCAGTTCAATTCCTTTGATTTGGATATATACCCAATGCAATTGCAGGTTCACATGGTAGTTCTATTTCTAGATTTCTGAGGAAAACTAGAATACTGTTTTCCACAATGGCTATACTAATCCATATTCCTACCAGCAGTGTATGAAAGATTGCCCTTCTTCACGTCCTCACCAATATTTGTTATTTTTTGTCTTTTTGATTACAGTAACCATTGTAAGTGGGTGAGATGATATCTCATTGTGGTTTTGATTTGCATTTCCCTGATAATTTGTGATATTAAACATTTTTTTCATGTAATCTATTTTGAGAAATGTCTGTTCAAGTAATTTGACTAATTTTTAATTTGATTATTTGGAGGGTTTTGCTGTAGAGTTGTCTGAGTTCCTTATATACTACAGAAATTAATCCCTTACTGGATAAATATTTTCTTTTTTGCAGATATTTTCTCCCATCCCATAGTTTCCCTTCTCTTATGTTGAATTTTATTGAATGCTTTGGCTGTATTGATTGAGATGACCATATGGTTTTTAATCCTTCATTTTGTTTGTGTTTGATATTGATCAATTTGCATATCTTGAAACATCTTTAATTCCTAGCAATAAATCCTATTTGATTGTGTGTATGATTTTTTTTAGGTGCTACTGGATTCAATTTTGCTAGTATTTTTTTGAGGATTTTTGTACCTCCATTCATCAGGGATATTGACCTGTGCTTTTCTTGTTGCGTATATTCTTGTTGGTTTTGTGTCATGACAATGCTGACCTCAAAAATGAGCTCTGGAGCATTCCCCCTTTCACTTCTTTGGACTAGCTTGAGAAGTATTGACATTATTTCTTATTTAAAAGTTTGGTAAACTTCAGCACTAATGCCATTTGGTCTGGTCTTTTCTTTTTGGAAGACTTTCTATTACAGATTCAATCTTGTTAATTGTTGTTGGTCTGTTCACATTTTCTGTGATCTCTTGGTTAGATTTTAGTAGGTTATATGTGTACATAAATTAATCCACTTCTAGGTTTCCAGGTTTTTGCATATAGTAGTTCATAATAGTTCCTAATAATTATTTGTATTTCCCTAGTATCAGATGAAATGTCTCCTTTTTCATCTCTGATTTTATTTATTTAGACTCCCAAAGACCAATGGTGCGTCAGTGGGGGTGAGCCTCTGCTTTTCTGGGCCACAGTGATCTAAAAGTCTGAGAAGAGGAAGAGGCTATTCAACTGCTTCTTGAGGCAATGGAGGATGGATAGGGATGCTCAGTTGCTTCTTGGGTGCCTCAATGGGCCAAGCTACTCAGGAAAGGTTGCTTGGCTGCTTCTTGGGGTTGTGGGTGGATACATGGGGCTTCTGTGTGCTGAGGTACTCAGGCACTTTAGTATATTTTGTAATATATGTTATATTTCATTGATAACTTCAAAAAAATAAATACATATGTGGTTTTAATTTTTTCTTTCCAAGTGACACATTCAAAAATAGTATAAGTTCTTTGCAGGAAGCCAAACAAAGGAAAGAAATACCAGTATTCACAATCCCCAATCTTTTTCATTTTTGTTCTACCACCATTACTTTCACTAAAGGAATCAAGGTTAATAGATGAAAGTGTGAAAATACATTTTCATCTGTTAACCTTAATAAAATAGAATCAAATCATAAAACGGAGTGAATTGGTGATATAATAGATAAAACCAACATTTGTGTGTATACATACACACAATCAGAAAGTGAATAATTTAATGCCATAGAATATTTCTAAGCACAGTCCTTGGGCAGAAATTGGTAGATGTGTACATGATGTTTGTTTTTTTCTATATTATTTATTCTGGAAAAACTGCAGAAGTTATCACCTAATGGTGGAGATTCAGAGGGAAAATACAACACTATAGCCACTTAATCTCTGTTCTATCTTCTCATTTAATATAAAATAGAATCAAATTATAAAATGGAGTGAATTGGTGACATAATAGATAAAACCAGCATTTGTGTGTATACATACACACAGATGAATTACTCATGGAAACAGTATGTGGTTTGTCTTAAAGCCAACAAAAATGATCTCTTCAAAACACTCCACAGAATTCACTAATTTATCTCCTGATACTATAAATACTGTAATTATTTTAATGTGATTTTTCTCCTGATTCCTTTTTACCTTATGCCTACCCACATCTACTTCCAACTACACTGAATCAGTAGCAGATCCCCAGGTACAATACTCTGCTTCATATGTCTACAGTTTTGCTATTCTTCTGCCTGAAAAATTATTCTCTACTACTCACGAGAGGAATAAATGATCTCCTTTAGAGTTTTTTCAATAAATGATCCTTCTTTAGAGTTTTTTCATTCTTTCTAAATTTATTACATTAATCTGTCTATACATCTTCTAAAGCCTATTTATGAGCAAAGACTATTTGATGCATCTCTGAAACATTTAGTGCAGAATTTATCATGGTCTTGATAGGCACATCATTTTGTTCAAAGAAAATAAGGCAATACAAAAACAGTTTTTAAATATCTGCAAGACTAGTATGGCAATATGTAAAAACGTGGATGTGTAACCGATGTGATTCTACAATCTGTATACGGGGTAAAAATGGGAGTTCATAACCCACCTGAATCAAATGTATGAAATATGATATGTCAAGAGCTTTGTAATGTTTTGAACACCGATAATTTAAAAAATTAAAAATAAAAAAATAAATATCTGCAAGCTTTTTTTTAAAAAAATCAAAATTTAGTTGAAGATTTTAGAACCTAGAAATTTCAAAGTCCTAGTTGCAAAGATGACACTCACCATCACTAATGGCTTCCCCTTTCAGACTCTTGATTCCTCTTGGCATTGCATTTCCATCCAAGTAGAATTCAATTATACCATCGTCCACGATAATTAGAAGATGAAGCCAAACACCTTCTTCTAAATATTTCTTGACTGTTGTCTTGGCGATGTATGTAGCATTGGATCCCAAAGTTTTATAATGAAGGGAAAATGTCACATGGGACTCATTTGTTTGAATTTTCACCCCATAGTAGATGCTTCCATTACCATTATCCTTTGCTAGAACAAATCCATTTGTATTGGCATTAGGCATTACCCAAGCTGAAAATGTGAAGTTGGCAATCGTGTTATTCCTAGAGGGGTGATATTTTGCATTAACAGTCCCAAATGCACCTTCCAGTCCACTGAAATACAAAGCATCTGTTCCAGTATGGTGACGCCGCATGTGTGGTTGTAAATGCACAGTGCTGGGGAAAATTCCAACCAGTACAAAATCTATCATTGGGGGCAGACCAGACATGAACTCACTGGACACAATTTCCCAGCCTACTCGTACATCACCAAAGACACCTTGTTGCCTCAAAATGGTGAAGTTGGTAATATAAGACATGTCATCTTCTGAGAGCACATCTTCTGCCACTTCTCTCTCTAAGCACTCTGAATCCAAGATGAAAATTCCAAAAGGGTCATCATTGAATGGAATCATTACTGTCACCTGAAGGTTGGTTTCTGCAAGTTGGCCTCCAGGACCTGGGGACCCACCTGTAATAAGAAAATTTGTAATGAATGAAAAACCAATTGAAGTACTTTCCAGTTTAACATATAAAAAATTGTAGCATATGAACTTCTAGTTAAATAATTTATGCATCCTCAATGAGCAATAGTATCACCATGTAGCTTTCATCACACTTTTGGGGACATATCAAATAACACTGATTCATCACAATTTTATAATCAGTCAACCCTGAACAAAAGCTATAAACTGGAGATGTTAAATTCCTATGCTTAAAACCAGAAGTGACAGGAAAGCAAATCGTTTGAATTATGGCAAAGCTTTAAAACACTATGAATTTGTACTTCCTAACTTCCTTTAATGTTTTAGGATAAATACAACATTTGATGTAGAAAAAGTCTATTCACAAGTTTCATGGTGAAGGTAAGCCTCTATCTATAAAACTGAACCCAAGTAAGACCATAAAATGAGACTAAAAGCAACACTTTGGGGCTGGGGGTTTACATTGGTAGAGTCTGTGCTTAGCAAACACAAGGCCCTGGATCTACCCCCAGCGTAAAAAATAAATAAATAAAAATAGATAATAATTCTAACAAGAAGGGTACTTTGATATTTAAAATCAGAAAATCAAGATAGACACACTTCTTTCATCAATTGGATTTAAGTTATAAAATATAAAATTTTGTTGGAAAAATAAGAGATGGAAAAACACAGCACCTGTAATGTTTATGAGCTTTAGAATATAAAATTCATTGAATTCGGGAATTTTATCTGGAAAAGCATGGAGAATTATTAGTTTTGCTCCTTCTCCATCCATGAAATTAACAGTTCCTGAAGTTTCATAGAATTCTTGTCCATGTTGCAGAACAGAATCATTCTGGAACAGCTGCCAAGCCACAGTCACATTACCAAAATGTCCTCGGTGCCTCAAAATCCTACATAATAAATTGAATAAAATTAGTTTTTATGAATGCATAGGAAATATAACTCTAGTGGGAGCAGTCAATGCTATCTCCTTAAGTGACCTAGCCAACCAAGAGAAGATGAAATAGAACTTTCAATACACAGAAATGTCAGCTGAAAAGTCTTCAAAGCAGAAACTTGAATACAAATTCTAAGGTCAAGTGGAAAATATTTTAATGATAACTAATGATATTTTTTTCAAAACAAAAGTACAGAATAAGAGCAGTCAGTGTGTCATTTTAGAAATGTTTCTGACGATTTGGATAATTTGTATTTTTCAATCTTGACAAATGATGGAACTGGAGTGAGGAGAGTGAGCAGAACAATTTCTGCTTACCAGCTGCAGTGTTTTTGTTTCCATTGATTCTTGTTTAGACAAATGGCAACAGCATAAACAGAGTTCATCACTCATTGAGACTGAAACTTTAAAATTATTCAATTTTTGATCAATTTTTTTATTTTTGAAGGATTAACAAGTATTTCAAATTTTCAGTACTCAACAATTTTTTCATTCTACCCAATTTTTAATTTCCTCATCCAAACAGGCTTACCAAAATGCATTAGTCTTTCCTTCTTCCACTGCTTTGTCTATAGGCTCCAGAGAAAAAATACCATTTGGGTCATCATTAGCTTCAATTATGACTGTAGCTATTCCATACTGATATACTACTGTATCACCTAAATTAAAAATGGAAAAGTCAAAGCAATAAAAAAGTAGGTAGCTTGCTATTTTAATATTTTTAAATTAAGAAATAGTTTTATAATTAAAATCAAATTTTCTGCAAGAATTTCCTCAGTGAAGGTCACACAATAAGTGTAAAATATTGCTCTATTTCTCCAAAGATGTTTATGTGTGTGTGTGTGTGTGTGTGTATATATACACACACACACACACAATACATACATATATATCTGCATGTTTATGTACATTGTGTACAGAGATAACTAGTTTATTGTGAAATAGTTCCTTTTATCCACTGAGAATACATTTAGTTACAGAGGAACTAATTTACTTAAAAACAAACAATACATTTCTTCCAATAAATACATTGCTACAATAGCTTAATTAAAAATAAAAGTTTTTTTCTAATTTCACATTTTTAGGACGATTCATTTATTGCACAAAAATAATGAAGGATTATTTTTGTGCATTAAAATGCTCCTGTCCATGTTTATTGGAATCATCAGCTCAAGCATTTATCTTAGGTCTCTTCCTTCAAACAGCAGAGTCTGACCTGGTCATACATAGAAATAAGCAATTCCAGTGGTGTCAAATCAAATTCCTTTCTTCTCCACACTACCCATATGTTTGGTCTCTTCATCTTACTTCCCTGAAGTCCCCACCACTTTACTTTTGCTCCAAGGGCACTCCATGTGAACAAAAGTCCTGCCCAACTTCACTCTCCTGACTAACTCTTACCACTCTTGAGGACCTGCTTCAAGCAGCAGCTTTTCTGGAATCCTACCTTGACTCCCCAGGCTAAATGCCTCTCCACTGTGTTCCCACAGTACTTTGCTCTCTGTTGATCTATCACAACAACTGTCACACTACACTAGTGTCCACACACACACACATACATAAAGACACCCATAAATCCATTGTAAGTCCCTTGGGCAAATGATTCCTATTAAATTCTATACCTAGAAGAACAGATACTCAGTCACTGGTGTTCAGAGTTATTTATTAAAGAACTGATACACATAAAACTCTTATTATTAGAAGAGGACAAAACCTCTGACTTTGTCATGGAAACAAATTTCCAAGTTTGCTAAATTATACATAGAAAACTAACACATCGGGAAAAAAATCATATAAATATATGATTGTAATCAATGTCAATCAACAATTAGCCAATGGAAAGAAAATATACATTTTAAATTGTGTAGAAAATGCTAAAAACAAAAATAAAAAAACAAAGAGCATATCATAAAATCTAATAAAAATAAATAAAAAATGATAAAAAACGAATTTTAGCAGGATTCTCCTATCATGTACAATTATAATGCAATATGTCATAGGCGGTGCTTAAAGCTCATTCTGTTCCTTTATAAGATGAACCAATAATATTTAACAGGGGCTTTAAGGGTAGCCACAGCTTTTTATCCATTTAGGACATGTACTATGAGCAATAGTTCTTAGGCATAAACACCTACGGTCAGCACTAGGTCATGCAGCGTGATGTTTGTTCAGCCCTCCCACCACAGGCCCAAAGGCTCATCAGGTTTGGATGCCATATCAGAGAAAAGAAAAGGAAGACAGAACTAAGAAAAAAAATGCATGAATACATAAATTCTTGTCATTCAAATCTTCATATCTAAAGTAATTACATCCCTATATGCCACCATGTTTGGAAAAGTGTCAGAGGTAAATACAGGGAGAAGCATGTAATTCTTCCTATGAAGAATTCCTATGGTAATGTAATGCCACCTCAGACTGGCAACACCCGTACTTCAGGCCAGTAACCCAGTCACTTCTGTGTGCACTTGTATGTGCACTTGTGCTTGCACGCTCTCCCTCTTTTTCTCTCTCTCTCCACACTACCCACCTAACTCTCTCAAAGTCAAAATTCTTCCCCAATAACATAGTTTACAAAATTCACTGAAACTCTTTGAGGAGTCATTTTCCATTCTCTTTATAAGAAATTCAGGATACTTTAATCTACTATTTAATCAATAGTGAAATTTTGTTTCTGATAATATTTTAATTAATTTTAAACCCAAAAATGTTTGAAATACAAAAATTTCACCAGAATTATGCCAAGTAGTTAATAAGTTATTGTTAATAAATATTAATAAATGTCATCCAGAGCTTATTTCTAGAGCAAATGGTTGTAGGATGAATGATCTCATTCCTTCATAACTGTTGTGTTCTTCCCATTAAAAATTTCTGGTTTTCCACTTTTACTTCAACAAGATTATTTTATCTATAGCAATTTCTTTCATTTTAATATTGGGAAAATAATTGGACTTACCAAATTTTTTTGGTCTATGTAAGTCTGTTTTTTGCAGTTGTGAGATATCTTTTGTGGTCATTATTGTACAAAGTCATTTTTTTCCTTAAAGATGATAGATTTTAGTTTCCACTTTTTTGGGGTATTCTTAGTTAAATCATGTGAAAAAATGAGAAACAAAAAGACAAAAGGAGAAAGAGGGGAAAGAGGAAGAGAGTCAGCAACGAAGAAAGTCAAGAGACAGGAAGATGGAGAGAAATAGCAAAAAGAAATATCAGGAGATCTTTCATTTTCTCTGCTTCTTTAAATACCAAAAAGCACAAGGTAGAACACAAGATCGGCATTCACACTGGGCATGACAGGCAGGCACTACAGTGTCCCAGTGTCAGGGGTTATTGCTCACATGGGGTAAGGGACCCTCTCCATGGGAACTAAGCTTGGTTCTGGGTGCTGGAGCCGGAGTGGGGTGCTCAGAGCAGGAAGTTAAAATCCTGGTGGGGTAATCCCTGAGTAACCTTATTGTAGAAACAGAGAAATAGAAGCAATGAGAAAGTGGTTACACACAGGGGAAGTTGGTCACGAGCATAAATATATTAAAGATAATGGGAACTAGATTTCTTAAGGAAATGACAAAAATAGAAAGGGAGGAAACTAGACTGAACCTGATATATTGGATAGGAATGGAAACAATGGCATGAACTAATGATCTTCAACATACATAAGCACAGAACTATAAATGCATGTACATGTATGTACATGAACGGCATATACCCCCATCTGCACACTAACAGAACCCAGGAAGATCAAAACCTCATTAATAGTGCCCAGATTCTAGTTACTAAATAACTTTCTTCACTACAAGGAACCAGGGCTTCTTGGAAAATGGCTAATTTCAGGAATGTAACAGGAAAAGTACAAAATGGGCTTGGAAGAGCTTGTAATGTCAGAAAGTAAGAAAATGTCCAAAAGACAAAGAAAGTCATCTGAAATAGGTTACCACTGGTCAAATCTGGCGCACTGTGGCCCTGAAAATAAATGATAGTAGTGAAAAATAACTCACTGTGTTAAATAGAAAGTTTAAGTCCATATGATAAATGTATCAATGAAAAGACTGAATATTTTATGAGTAACAAGACATTTTCATAGTTTCAAAGTAACTCCCCACAAAATATTTATTAATCACAATGGGAAACAAAGCACAGTAGAGAAGACTGAAGGTCATCACCTAAATTGTGGTCAAAGTGAACAGAATAATGAAGAGGCAAATCAGAATCTTGTGATGATTTTATAAAGGGATGGATGATAAGAACACAGAATTATTTCTGTGAAATTCCTACCAAGGATTCAAAAACTGAAACCAATAATAAAGGAACAACAAACAAACTCAAAACGAGGGACATCCTAGCTTGTGGTCTTCTACACTCAGCAAAGACTGAGGAATTCCTTCAGACTGACAAAATTAAAGGGACATTAAAATTAAATGCAATGCATAATTAAGGAAAGGATGATTTTTCCAGAATGATATTAAAACAACCAGGGCACTATGAATGGGACCTGGGAAAATAACCCCATAGATGTTAACTTCCTGATTTTGGAAAGTTATGTTGTGTTTATGTTGGAGAATGTCCTTGACGGCAAGAGATACACACTATAATGTATTTAGCAATGATGGGACATCACATCTTCAACTTACTCTCAAAATGTTCAAGGGAAACAGTTCCTTGTAACCCCAAAAGAACAAAATAAATATCAAGAAAAGCTACAGCCTTTCCAATTTACTAAAGACAGAGTCAATACATTCTCAGGGTGCACAGAGCAGAATCAAAATTTATGGAATGGAAAAGAAGGAAGAGCACATCTTTTCCCCCTTATAAATTGCCACTCATTTAGGGATAACTCCAGAGAATTATCAAGGAGCCAATTAGAGTCAGCTGCCTACAGAATTAAGCTTCCAGACCAAGTGTGCCATTCTTCCAGATAGAGGAAAAAGCATTACAGGACACTACTAATCCCTAAGCAATGGACCCATAGACAATGCCCGTGGCACCTATAGGTTCAAGACCCACTGCTTTGGGACTTTATATAAGAATTTTCTATTTTTGTAATATTATGAAAGAAAGGTTCAAAAGCATAGCAGGGTGTATATGACACAAGAAGTTTTAACACTTATATCATTCATCTCATTCCTTAAGAAAGCAGTAGAAGACACAATTTTGTTCATGGACAGTCACAGAAAGTACAGCTGGCACAACTACTGGACAGTGGTACTTAATGTCAGAAAAGAACTGAAGGCAACAGATCTACCATAACAACACAGTGTGCTTACCTGTTGAATTAAAGAGGATTATATAAAAAGGCTCATCTGTTTCGGGGATACCATCTTCATTAACATATACAGATAGGCTCTGCTCTCTACTTCCAACCTCAAAAATGAGGGTTCCCTCTTTTTCAGCCGGAACAAAGTCTCCCTCTTTGGCTGTGGCCTTCCCATCTACAGTAGCATACTGGATGGTACAGATAACATCTGCAGATCCATTTCTGAGGACTGTAAAGTTAGCAGTCTCTCCTTCCTGAACCCTCACCACACGAGGCTCTGAAATATCCATAGAGAAGGAACATGTGAGCCTTCAAGATTCCATCTATGTATTTCCAGATCACCTTTTTCTTTTCTTAACAAGAAATTCCCAGTACTCTCTGTGCTTAAAATTTTTGCTCTGGGGCTGGTGCTATAGCTCAGTGGTAGAGCACTTGCCTAGCACGTGGAAGACACTGCGTTCAATTCTTAGCATCACAAAAATAAATAAATAAAATAAAGGTATTGTGTCCCCCCAAAAAATAAAAGAGTTGGCTGTTTCCAGCTCTGACATGAAGCCCCTCTGATTACTTCAACCATCAGTGGCCTTCCTTTTCCCTTAATTCCTACAAAATCCATTGTCTTCAGCATTCATTGTCTGACAGCACCCCTGTCAGTAAATTATGTATTATTTAAAATCTTCTGCCTACCTGTTTGTATATATCATCTTGTAGCTGAAATTATAAGGTCTCTGAGAATAGGCCTGGATATCTTGTTCTATTTTTGCTACAGCACTTGGCAGAAGCCTGAATATAAGACTAATTCATTAAGCACAAATTCACTGGAGGCTAAGAATTGTAATCCACAAAATTCGAGAGGTTTAAAAGGTTCCCACATCAGTAAACTGACCTTTATACAACTTACAAAAGTGGGATTTAAGAAAGAATTAGACATCAATTAAATCTCATCAATAAAAGATGCCTCATATAGCAAAAGACAGTTCTAAAAAAAAGCAGTAAATAGAGAATCCTTAACTAATATATCCATTAAATATTAGCTACTATAGTTAAGTGGTCAGTCACTAGGTACAATATCAGGTCCCAAAGTGGCCAACCTCACGCAGAAGTGTTTTCCTCACAGAGGAAAGATATACTTTGGCATTTAAAAGGAAGAACTAGAAATAACAAAAAGCACTTAATGCTACTTTCATTTTGCTTCAGAAGATATTTTGAAAAATGGTTTAAACTTCAAAGAGACTGAATAACAATCAGTGAATGAATCATGAAATCATATACAAGCATCAATTAATTACATTTTATTTAAAATGATCAGTTACAATTAATTTAAAATATACTGTTTAAGAAAGAAGCAAACTCAGTCAAATAAAAATAGCAATACCACCTGCAAAATAAATGGGATCATCATTTCTTCTAATCCTTAGAGTTGCAGTTGTTTTATTTCCCACTTTAGCTCCTCCAGTGGCATTAAGTAGGATAATGGTAAATTCCTCCATTTCCTCTGGAATCTTTTGGAAAAATGGTATCCATTTTAAATCAACTGATTTATACATATAATTACATTATGTATTCCTAAATTATTATTTCTTTTTTTAAAAAAGTTCTATTAACAGTACTAATCTTTACTTCCATTTCTGAGGCTGAAGCTTATGAAAGTATTTCTACAAGACTTAGAACCCCCCCCAAATATTTTAATTTTTATTCATCTAAACAAGCACTTTAAAGTGTAATGGAAGTATACATATTTTGTCTTACATAAACTAAAAATAGATATGACCTATATCTATATGTATATAGATA